GCGTCGTTGCTCTCTGCTGCTTGATGACAGTTTTCACCATAGGAGTAAAGGTAAAGGTTTTACACCTTCCTCATCTTTCAGTGAGAGCTTTACGCTTCAGCCGATAAATGTTCTGTTCAGCAATAGTGGAAGTTTTAACATACACAGCATGTTCAGTTCACATGTTTTAGTTGAGTGTTTCTGAATATGAGAAACTAACTCTGTAGCATGACATCTGGCCTGAAACCACCAGAGAGCTGCCCCGATTACACTGCCTTTAGTTAGACTATAGCATTGAACTGTAAATGTATTTTTTCTGTGCCGGCAGAATTAGAATTGTTAATTCGGTAATATTAGGCTACTATATAGCTCCATGAAAGCTTCTTAACATATCAAACACAGGCTTAATGCGTTGTTGGAGGCAGTTAATCACGTGGCAATGTTAGGATACATGACCAAGAAGAGAAATAAGTGCAGTTAAGCATGCCATTTATGTGCACAGCTGAGTGGCCATTGCCTCTTGGGGATCTGTGTGTGCATACATGTGGATTCATAGTGGCAGTGTTATCCATGTTATGCGCTATTGGGTGCTGTAGGGTAGAGGGGGGAAGGGGAAATATAATTTTCCTTTGAAGCATCTTGTCAGCTTTTCTTTAAATTACTTAATGTAATTTTTTTACCAGAACTATGCTGTCCAACAATCACCCTTTGTCAGTGACAATGCTGGTGTGTCTTTCCACACTGTTGACCTGAATGACTGCTGTTGAACCGACAGGTAGAGGTCGACAGAAAGCATCCAGTGACAGAATTAAGATTAATAAAAGGGTACTCGACCAATGATTTGAGCCTGCTGTTCTCCGTCATAATAAAAGGAGTTTATTTGTTTCTTTCTCTGTTTCTGTTGTCAGTGACTGTTTCTGTTGTCCTTTCAGGACACTAGCTGCGTTACAGAAGAGTAGTACATATGTATAAGCAACTATATAGTGTCCAAGAAATAATTGCGATAAACAATATTATTGTCATTTTAAAATCCTTTTATGCCACTGATATAATGATCAGCATAATAATGCTAATATAATAATAATAATAATAATAATGATCACGATTCCATTTTTATTAACTGCAGACCCTATTCTGAGGTAACAAAAACCCATGAATACAGGAATTGTTATTCCTGTATTAAGGTGATTATACACTAATGACAACACAGCTATGAATATTATATTCCATTTCTGCCTATAGATTATCCTAAATGTTACACACTGGACCTTCAACAGGCAATATACTGGTAGTAATGGTAGGGACAACCCTGCTGTTTATTCTGGCATCATGTTGGCTAGAATGTTGGTGACAGTCTGAGGTGAAAAGTCGATATTGTGACAGGCGACAATTGCATATCATATATATTGTATTATTGTGGCAGGCCTAGATGTGCTTATGTTTGAATGAATGTGTGGTACATAATGAAGTATAAGAGTGTATATAATTTTTGCAGTAAAAGGATTACCTTGCGGGCATTGTGTTGTTTGCAGCAGGAGTTTAGTTCATTGTTGATGTGCTGTGCCATTCATATGATTAGTGTCCGTGGGCGGCAAGCAGAAGCGTCTTAATCCCTTGCATCATTCCACTCACAAACACCATTTTCCTTCAGTCAGTTCCTGGCTTCACAATCCTGCACAGGCGGCCAACTGTAATCTCTTGCTCTTTTTGTTAAATTCACTGAGTCAGTCAGTTGGCTGTCCATCTTTGTGATGTTCAGACTGTGAGTGTGAGCCACAGTAATTCAATAGTTCACATGAACGTAAATGCTTCAGGACTAAACTGGGAGATGCTGCATATTGAATTGGGGTATTGGTGTTAAATGTTTAATAATCAAATATAAAAGCTGGGTACTATTACTGCATTAAATACATGCTCAATATAAGGAAAAATATCTTAAAATGACATGCTAGGCAGAAATAGAGGTGAAGTTCCGATTGTTTTCATCGGGTAGATGAACTGTGTTCGACAGTCCTAAAACAAACCAGAAAATGTTTTAAGACAAATTCACTCTTGTCTTCTTTCACATCCACTAGTGATTGCTTATGTAAAATATCCCAGAGTCTGCTTTAGATCTAATTTGTATTCATTAATCTGCAAAAATACTGATTAATTGATTTGGATAGCAGAATCAGACCGAGCGTGAAAACATGTTGATGGAAGTATTTTAGTGATAGGCACTCTGCATTATTCATTCGACTGGAAAATGATGGTAATTGCTGGTAATTTAAGTTTGGAGTGTGTGGATGATTCTTCTAGAGACACTGGTGAAGTCTTCCTCAATCTGATCATTGTGACATTCAGTTTGGTTTGAAGAAGTTCACTGTGTGTCCTTTTTGTTTGCTCGGTTGTTTTATTTATTGGTCATTCAATTAGTTTGGTTTTGGTTGACATCTTTCACGTGAGGTGTATCAGGACTGTCACATATCAGCCGTCTGTCAAAGAGCATGTCCTTTGTTGATGACAAAAATGAGCTTCAGTTTTTTTTCTGTTTCAATAACAAATTATGTGCACACGCACTTTGACCATCACCTTGCACATAAGAGCAATTATGACAAGGAGAACAAAGAAAAATTTATAAGAATGTCTTGGTTTAGTTAGAGTTCATTATTAATGCAGATTGATAACAATGAAATATCATTAACAGATGCTGTCACATGGAGCCACAGGTGTTCAGTGATGCAGTACTAGAGAAATAATAAGAAATATTTTATTTGGCGGTCTAATCAGTGTTGAAGGTAAATCCAATCCAATCCAACTTTATTTGTTAAGCACTTTAAAACAACCAAAGTTGACCAAAGTGCAGCAATAAACTCCTCAATGCGTGTTATATTAAAGCCAGCACCAAAGTCCCAAAAACTTGAAAAAAACTCAAGAGGCAATTAGAGCAACTCCAGAAGTGAGTCCACAAGGCCCCATATTAAAATGCCCATCTTAATAAACATGTTTACAGCCTGGTACTAAAAAACACTTTTGGTCTCTATAGCTAATTTCCCCGTTAAGGCTTCAAATTTGAGTGACAGGTGGGAGCCATCACAGGTGGCTGTTTTCAGTACATTTTTGGATTAGCCTGGAGTCGGCGGAGTCAGGACTGCCAAGATGGCGACGGCCAGAGCCGACCACACTGAGCTTCACAGCGGCTCTTCAGAAAGCTATGGAGACTACGTTCCATTTGTACTGTATATTGACCAAGAAATAGCCACACAATCTCCAGTGCTGTCATTTGACACACACAGTGATGTAGTTGAACTACTGGCTGTTTCATCTCAGAGCTTGAAGGTACTATATAGCTACATATGAAAAAGAAATGGTCAAACTTCCGGAATAGATTTGCTTGGCAACATTGTGTAACTTTAATTAGCACCAGCAGCTAACACGTAATGCCTCCTGGTACATGTAGGCACTGCTGGTACATCTCCGTGAGCAGCAGACCTCCGCTTCCTCAGCCGATAGAGCACACACTGAGGAATTCATTGCTTCAATTGACTACACTTACCAACACTGACTGGACATAAAATGAGGCACATTTTCCCTTTAATGGTGTAATTTACTCTTTTCAAATATAAAGGTAAATGCCCATCTAGCAGTAATAAAAAGAAGCAGCCAGCGCTATAGAGTATAGTCAGGTCACGTAACCAGTCATCTCATCTGGATGGTAGTTGTGATGGAGACATGAGTGGACAGGCTGGGTCTCTGGCTGATGACATGTGCTGTCACCAGACTGATGACCAGGCAAACCGTCTCGTCTTTCACGGCATCATGTCAGTCAGATGCACAGTGGGTGCTCAGTCTGTAAGGTGCCCTGAAACTACACAACAGCACTGACATAAATCTGTGTGTGTGTGTGTGTGTGTGTGTGTGTGTGTGTGTGTGTGTGTGTGTGTGTGTGTGTGTGTGTGTGTGTGTGTGTGTGTGTGTGTGTGGAAACTGCATACAGTGTGACAGTCCTTCTAGCTCATGAAAACTCCACATAATAAAATATGTTTCAACCCTAGATTCAGACAACTGTTATAAAATAGTATAAAAGATGTTCACTTATAGTTCACCTTTTGCACACAATATGACACACTACTTGATATGCATAACATTCTTTTTTCTAATTATTCACAGGAGAATGATTAGCCCTTTCTTTGCTTATTGCCCTTGAATTCTATTCATCTTGTGAGGATGGATTTCAAAGGAATTTCCAAATCCAAATGCATGAGCGCCATCTTCATACGTCAGGCTCGTTTAGGTAGTGTAAACTGAACTGCTCTTAATCTGATGTTTGGTCACTGCTCTCAATGTGTGGCCAAAACACAGAGCAGCTCTCTTGGGAGTCCTGCCTTTAACCATCTGCTCATTTTCAACAGGCTATCAGGAGAGAGCATTTTGTGTGCACTGTGTGGCATTGGTTTCATTTCATCCTGCACAATTTATGACTGCAATATTATTACCTGACTAGAGGTCAAATTTCCAATTTACTGTACAGGCTAGAGTCTGTGTAGCAGAGCCAGAAGGGGCGCAGAGGAGAGACATCTTGAACTTGAAAGCTGTTAGTTGAATAGGTTCTGACAGTGTTAGCATTGGTGTCGTTTATATCTGAACATTTTATTGCACATTTCAACACCAGCCGCAGCGCTGTAAGCATCATAAATTCTGCGATCAAAATGCTCGGGTGTCTTTGTTATCAGTAATGTGTAAAAATTGCATATATGCACGATACAAGCTTACTATGTGCACTCGTTTGCTACCCGTGTTCTCATTCCTGTCTCTTGTTAAAGCCATTCATTCAGCTATAATAACGGTATCAGAGTGCTGCATATGGGAGGGGAGCAAATGGAAGTCTGTTAAATTGTTGATGATACAGAGATCCACAAGCTTGTCCCCTGGATGCATTTATGGAAAGTAGGACAGCGATGAGCCCTGGCGTCTCTCTCTATCACTAAAACCTAAAAGTCTTACTCTTTTCTCCCCCTTCTCTCTCTTTGTCTCTCTTACAGGCCAGCCCTGCCCCAATAATCGTCAACACAGACACTTTGGAATCAGTTCCTTATGTGAGTTTGATTTTTTTGTGTTTTTTAATTAGTCTTTTTGAGTAGATGATCAATTCCTGCAGCAGATTAAAGCACACTGGAGGAGGAGCACATTAAAAGAAAGCTGCTGAGTCTAAAGGGAGGTAGTATGGGTGGCATATAAGTACATTTTGACCGTGTGACTTATCTTAGTAAAACAAATTAGATCGCTGTGATGAATTATTGATGTTTGTCATGAATAAAAGACCAGCAAAAGACTTTCTAAAGGCCTTCACCTCTGGCTCTTTTCACAGTATTTTACATCAAAACAAATAAATGAAGCCGTGTTGCAGAGCAGAGACTCAATGAATAACAAAGTCAAACAGGGATTGGGCTTCAAGAGGGGGTTTATCTTTCACGATTTTTTTTCTTCTGCCAAACATTACTTACTTTTATTCTGGCACTTAGTGCATATGATAGATCTTTGACCATAAACTGAAGAGTCAAAACTATGGAGGATGGAAACAAAAATGAAAAATAGATAGATAAATGACCCTATTAATAAATAAATGGATTAATATATATGCCATTAAATGTACCCAAATGTTTTATTAAACATAAGTAGAGGCATTAATTGATTTATGAATGTGACATAAATTGCTATTCCTGTTTTAATTTGGTTCTGTATTTATTTACATTTGCATGAATTCCCTAATTTAATTACTTTCCAATTTAATTTTCTATTTTATTTATTAATTTCTTCTTTTTGTTATTTATTTTGCATTTCCCCCCTATTTATTTCCCTGAATGTATTTATCTCTGTCTTCTTTTTACTTACTAGGTAAATAAATACAGAAGACAGAAACAGAAAAATATCTGTCATATTTATATATTAATGAATGAATGAATTAATGTATATTTATTATATTATTTGGTGCATTTAATAGCATATCTATCTATCTATCTATCTATCTATCTATCTATCTATCTATCTATCTATCTATCTATCTATCTATCTATCTATCTATCTATCTATCTATCTATCTATCTATCTATCTATCTATCTATCTATCTATCTATCTGGTCATTTATTTATTTTAGATTTTGACGTTTCGGTCCTAAATATCCTATAGTAACATCAGATAAACTCTGCCTATTTCACTGCTGTTGTTAATTCTACCTTCAGCCATTTGCTTGCCTCTACAATCACATGAGGTTCTGATGATTATATCTGATGCTACTCAAAAGTGATGCCCAACTGGGAATATGATCTGCAGCATCTCATATGCTCATGTGCTATTCCTGTATGAATGCATAATGACGGAAGCGCTCGCTGCTAATTAATCATCTCAGTGAGATACAGGATGAGACTGACTCTTCGGTAGCTAACTTCCACGTTGCAGAAATAGCGAATGTTGATTAACTATCATCTTAAATTGTTTCCCTCGAGGTGGGGCCTATTTAGCACAGGAAGCACAAGTGGCCCTGGAAAACACCTGTCACCTTCAATCTAAGTATGTAGAGTCGGCCTTTGTGTAGAGCCGACGCATAATATCATCCTCTATGGATATATTTCAGTGTAATTTATTCAGCAGCACTGGCATGTACTTTTATTTTACAGCAATGTTTGAAGGACTAAAACATGGAGTGAATGTCTTGGCTCAATCTAATTTCTGTGTCCTCAGGTCAACGGCACAGAAATTGAATACGAGTTCGAGGAAATCACTCTAGAGCGGGTGAGTATCACAGATCCAGCTACGCTTAACCTCAGAAAAATCTATCAGAGCCTGCCTGGCCACTGTGGTTCAGTGAAATGATGCAAGGCAGGGATAGAGGGAAGTTAAAGGTCCAGTGTCCAGGATTTAGTGGCATCTAGCTATGTAGTTGCAGATCCCAACTCCCTCGCTTCAACCTCTCCTTTCAAGCAGGAAGGAGAAACTACAGTGGCTGTGACAAAGCGCAAAACTCAAACGTCCCTATCTATAGCCAATCATCATCATCTTGTCCATGGAGAAAAGCCTTCAGTGCCGTAAAGTAGAGATGTTCCGGTTCCATTTTTTCCTTCCTTGGCTTCAATAACATACCAATCCTATTCACTTTAATGGAATTCATTTGTCACTTCATTTATGAGCTCAGTAAACAGTTTCCTGATGAGTCTGTGTTCTTAATCGCTAGTTTCACATCTCCTTCAATACATTATAATGTTTATTTAGTAAAGCCAAAACACAGAACTCGAGGATTCAAAACGGCACTCTACAAACCAATGGGTGATGTCACAATAGGTTCACACTTGGTCTACTCTCAATACCACTTTTTTATTTTATTTCTGATACTGGTATTTGTATCGGAACAACTGTACATCAAAGCAATGCCAATCTAAAATAGCTTGTTATATAAATATATGTATAAACATTATGAAAGAATTCCCATGATCATGGCTTATACATAGTTCTAAAGTCAAATGTTACACCTCTTTCTGACTTTAGTTAGCAGGTGATTTGATTTAAAAATGAATTCATGCAAACAGCATGAATCAGTAATTGTCATCCTAACCCAGATGTGGCACAGTTGGCAAGTGGATACTAACAGGTGTAGATTGGAAGGAGTTTTGACAAACCCAGAGCAACAGCAAAGATGAACACCAGCAACCAACCAGCAAGAGGAGCCAGCTCTAAGAGATGTAATAATACACACAGTGGTCAGCCTCCATCCATACACCTCCATATTTATCATCAGCTATCAGATGAGGGCCAATACCATCTCATGTGTTCTCTGAGAACAGACGGCCCTGTGTCTGGCCCTCTCAAGTCGTCGCCCTGGAGAGCTGAAGGCTTTTTGGTTCCATGCCCCTTCAGGGACACTCAGTGGGTTGTGTAAGAGAAGTTGCTATTCCCATAAGCTAACAATTTAATCAAAGCTTGACTTTCATTTTGTGAGTGGGCTTCCAGGGGATTTTATTTGCAGAGCCGAGTGTGAAGTGCAGCTCCTGCTCTGAAAGACATGGTGTGATCCTGCTGTTTTTTTAAGTACAATATCACATAGTAAAGTCACTGTGATAAAGAGCCAGGAGAGAGGCTGTGACCTGGACTTACAGCAGGAGGCAAGAGCCATTTTGTGATGGCAAACTGAGGACACCTTTATAATCCTACTGAGATCAGTGTTTCACTGATTTTTAAAGAAATTGTTGCTCGCGCTCAATAGAACTGAAGGTCAGCATTTAGAAAAGGAATGTCTATTTTAATGCATACTAAAAGATCCTCTGCAGACGTTTATTAAGACATATACATATATACTGTATAGTGTATATATACAGCTTGGAAGACTAATGTGTTTGTGATATATATTTTTTCCACATTAATATCCTTAAAAAGGCATCTCCTACTTCACTGTAAAGTCCATTCTCAGTGGATGTGCACTGGTGGCTTTAAGTTTCTACATCACACTGTACAAGCTGATACTGGACCAGGACTGACTTCCAGACTATATGTGATGTCACAAATCATGCTGGTAGGCCCCGCCCCTTAAAATCAGATAGGAAACTAACAACCGCAAACTCAGTTATATTTGGTTAAAGCAGAGCTATGAAAAAATAAATCATCCATCTTTGCTCACTACATCTTACCCTTTCTTACCCTCAGGTGTGTAAAACCCACAGGGGTAACTTCTTTTACTTACTTCTTTTTAAAATACAAAAATGTGAGATTATAGATATTATATATCTTATTGATATCAGCCGAAAAACATATTGTGCATCCCTACTAATTTGTATGTAATTAAAGTAAAAAATTAGAAGAAAAATCTGCTCAAATGAGTACATTTGGAACATGATAGTTGTGTTGATAGTAGAGCTTTGGTCTGGGCCAAATAATCATGCCTGACCTGACCCGAACCCTGAAAAACTCTGTGCGAGCCCAAACAACAGAAGTTTTGGGCCCAAACCCAACCTGAACCCCAATTTCCCATTGAAACAAAAAACAATATAAATAGTTTATTACAAGTTAAAGTACATTATATACAACCTATGACAGCCATTTTAGACCTGTTGGGCCCAATCATGTTTAAGCATAGAATCAAAGCTCTAGTTGATTGGGCTGTGGCCATACAAGGTTGATAACCACTGCTATATGTCAATATGTAAAGGTCCAGTGTGTAACATTTAGGATCTATTGGCCTGAATATAAGAATCATTGTGTTTTCCTTTCTACAGAGGGAGTGGGTCCTCTTCTGGCGGAGTCAGCCATGTTGAACCACAATGTTTCTACAGTAGCCCAGATTGGACAAACCAAACACTGGCTGTAGATAGGGTGTTCCATGTTTATATTAAGTCTCGCGGCCACCATAGTTTCTCCTTCACCCCATCAAATACAGATGTGAGCGGTGTTCAGTCAATCTGCAGCATCGCTACTAGATGCGACTAAATCCTACACACGGTCCTTTAAGAAAATACCACAGAACATAGTAAATGTGCAATGTGTGTATTTTGCGTTAACATTAGCTTCAACAGTTGCCAGGAGGAAGACTACATGGAGAATAAGTGAGTCCCTGTTGTCACTGACTGCTTTCCATGGCCACAGGGAAACTCAGGGTTGGGCTTCAGCATTGCCGGAGGGACAGATAACCCACACATTGGGGACGACCCCGGCATCTTTATCACCAAGATCATACCTGGAGGAGCCGCAGCAGAGGACGGACGCCTGAGGTCAGTCACCGATGCACAGGTTTTTAATAACAGATACCTAGAAAAGTTTTCAGACCTGACGCGGGAACAATGTGCTGGGAAACTCACATCTAAAAAAATGTCAGAAAAGGAGGATGACTTTAAAGATAATCTCTCGTACCACTCTCTGGGGACTGGGCTTACTCCTCCACTCCTGCTCCAACATATTTTTTATATTATACTGCATTATCATTTTCTTGTTCGTCTCTTGCATTTAAATTGTATTAGGAACTAGAACCTGTTGATCCTTCATAAAACGGATTTATCCTGCATAAATGATCCTTTTTTGATTGTATTTTTCCAGTAGCGTGTATCCTAACCATAACACAAATTACACAAATGAAACTTCTGGTTATTTCATCTCAAAAGTAACAAGCCACTTCCCAATTATTCTGGCACTTGAATCTTTTCTTTCCAATTAAACTCCACAAGAACAAACCTTCAGCACTCCGCAGCATCAGCACACACTGACGCGGTTGTCTATATTACTTAAGGGTGACCCACCATCTGTAACAGCCTTATTAAATGAACAGAGGGGGTGTGGATACAGTCCATCAGATCCTTTGTTACAGTAGTTTATCAAGGAAGCAAGGACACAATGTGAGCTCATTTCATCACTCTACTCGAGTGACAGGCTTACCTGAGGGAAAAGTGTACTCGACACTTTGGACCATGGCTAGTCTAGTAATAAACAGTTGCACTTTAAGTATGAAACTAGAGGGCCACAGCTTGATTGACAACCATTTGGCATTTTGTATCATTAACCCTTACCTTTATTTATTAGGTACTGCTGGACAAGATAGTTAAAGGTCATATAAAATATCTGTTGATGTCAGGTGGATTTCATGTAAGTGACTTACATAATCACCATACAAAAAGGGTACAGTGACAGAAAAAGATGTATTATTAGCGGGAATTTTTCTTTAAAAATACACTAAGCAGAGGACACATTTTTGATGCAAAATATCTTGGTTTCCAATTTCTTTTCTAAGGTTACATTTTTCTGTTGTCTTATAGAATACACTTACATCAATATTTCTTTATTTACATATTTAGTGTTGAGGTAATCCAAGTAACGGAAAGTAATCAAGTTATGTTACTTTAATATTGTGATATTGTGATATATTGGTCGAGGCAGACGACCACCCACCTAGAGCCGAAGGGTCTGTCCTAGGTTTCTGCCTCTAAAAGGAAGTTTTTCCTTGCCGCCATTGCCAAGGTCTTGCTCATGGTGGTACTGTTGGGTCTCTGTAAATAATGTTATAAAGAGTTCGGTCTAGACCTGCTCTATTTGAAAAGTGTCCTGACATAACTTCTGTTATGAACTGGCGCTATACAAATAAAATTGAATTGAACTGAATTATACTTGATACTTGGACTAGGTTACTAACTACAATTTTCAACAGGTAATTAGTAATTGTATCAGACAACATTTTAAAGGAATCCTTTCAACACTGGTTGATATATAGTAGGGCTTTTGGCATATTTCACTAACAGCGATGGATTGATTGTCAAATTATTTTACAAAGCTTATAGCCTGTATAACAGTGAAGGGAAATCCCAGACATTTGACAAAGTTTGGCATTTTGATACAATTTCTTACTTTTTGAAAACATTTATGGTAAAAATTAATTTCATATTGTCCACCTATAGTTTATACAGTATTTGTAATATTTGAACAGCTTATTATTAGAATAGTTTATTAGGAGATTAATCAATCTGATATTACACCACTATGATTAAGGTTTGGTTAGGTTTAGCCACAAAAATTATCTTGGTTATATTATGTTAATGAATTGTCACATATTCTCTGTACATAATCTGTTAAAAATCTACAGACACAACTAAACAGTCAAAATGTTACAAATACTCTGTAAAGTATCTGTAGGTGGACTATCCAAATAAAGTGTTACCACATTTATAAACTATTTAACAAGAAACAACAGAAATCAGAATATTGATGTATAGACCTTACAGTAATAGTTATTGTTTGTGTATAGTGTTTGATGGTTTTTGTATTACCAACTGATGGATTCCCTTTGTAAGACCCTGTACAAGGTAGTCTATGTTATACATGATGTTTGAATGGGTCAATGTAGATTCCCTAATACGTTTAATAATGGGTAGGCATTGGGTATCAGGGCTCCACATTAAGAGTGGCCTGTGGCCACAAAAATATGCTCTGTGGCCACTAAATATTACATGGAGGTGGTCCTCTGTGGCCCCCAAGTTTTATCCCCATACAGCACAGAGGTCGCAAAAGTACACACATTCTTTACTTCAGTAGATATTATTCAGATATTATGGTAAAAGTAGAAGCACTTCCTCATTCAACTTCTTTACTCAAGTAAAAGTCAAAAAGTACAGGCTCTGAAATGTACAAAAGTAAAAAGTACTCTTGGTTTCTCTGAAGGACATTTCTACCAACTGTTTCTGTGCAAAGCTAACTGAAACTTCAAACAGGGCCATGTCTCCTGTATATATGGTGCCCATACACCGATCAGCCATAACATTATGACCACCTGGTACCCTGGTGGTCCTAATGTTCTGCAGCCCCATACCAACAGACTGCTCTGCACTGTGTGTTCGGACCCCTTTCTATCAGAACCAGCATTAACTGTTTCAGCAGTTTGAGCCGTCTGTTGGATCGGACCACACGAGCCAGCCTTCACTCCCCACATGCATCAGTGAGTCTTGGCCCGCCATCACCCTGTCTCCGGTTCTTTTCCTTTGTTTGGAGCACTTTTGATAGGTACTGACCTCTGCAGACCAGGAACACCCCACAAGAGCTACAGTTTTGGCCTTTGTCAAAGTCGCTCAGATCCTCACACTGCCCATTTTTCCTGCTTCTAACACATCAACTCTGAGGACAAAATGTTCACTTGCTGCCTAATATATCCCACCCACTGACAGGAGTCATGATAACCAGATAATCAGTGTTATTCACTTCACCAGTCAGTGCTCAGAATGTTATGGCTGATCGGTGTATTTTCACATAATTATAGCCTATATCATTACAATGTTTATTTAAGAAGAACACACAGGTTGTATTTTTTCACAATTTCAGACATAAGTAAGAAAAATGTCTGAAATGCATTACAATTTATTTATACATTAAATATAACTAAATATTGTTTCTAGAGCAGCAAAATTATAGTTTACTAACTCACAATATTACTCAATAATATCTCACTGGAATCAAATTGAAAATGTCAGTAAAATAAACCTTATTCCTGACATCAAACACACAGACATCAGTCAGTATCAGTCCTTCCTCCTGTCCTCTCAGATTCGTGGCAAACTTAAATAAACAGAATACATACATAAGCCCTGCTTTCTGTCCTGTAGAGGAGAGAGACATACTGTATCATCAGCTCCATACCAATTGCATTGCGCCTTTTAGTTCAATATTCTACAAAAATAGCAAACAGTACACGTCACCAGATAGCTACTGATACATCGGGGCTACTGAACTATGGTTTTACTCCAGTCCACAGTTCAAAAAAGAATCGGCAACTAAACTTAAGTGAATGGAGTGAATGGAGGCAGGGCTGTAAGTGGCTAGAATAGGACAAATCTGAGGACGTAAATTACTGCAGTATGTGCCACCATTTTCTTTCAACTAGCCTCAACTTGTTTTCACTTAAGTTAACATTCAGGCCACCAGAAATGGACATAGAAATATGCACTTGCATATGTTGTATGATATGATTATAATGGAGACTGTAGCAAAGTAGTTGCTGTCTTCCATATTGTCAGTATCTTTTAGCAATGTGCACCCCCCTTCTGCTTTTTAAAGTAGCAGTGATGGATAATGCTGGTTTTGGTTGCAGGCCAGCCCCTCATTATCAAAGCTGCAGCTGTGGAGCATTACTGTCAGATCACAGATGTTATAGAGGTATTGAATGCATGCACAAAGTCAGTCTCGAGCAGATCGCAGAAGAAGCAGGTCGGGCATAAATCACACTTAGCCTAATTGATGGTCACCCCCTCCAAGGTGGGCAGCAAGACTAATACATTATGGATGGAGGGGAAGTCTAATCTCTGTGAGGAAAGAGGCCTGATAGGGATTTGGTTTTCTATAACATTATAGAAGCCAGACACATTTCCTGTCACTGCTCTGAGACTCTGTAACAGAGCACTAAGCATAGTTAATGCACCAGCTCGCCTTAAGGGACCGCTTAGAGCATTTTAGGTGTTTCTCATGGAGACTGCTGTTTTAATAAAGGCATGAATGTAGTCAAACCCTCAATAACACCACCATATCATCTCTGAAACCTGATACAAATTCTCAATGTATATTTAAATTTACTTTATCTCTCATTGTTATTGGCTGTTGTTCATTAGTGATCGACCAACAAGAGCCTCCATTTACCTACTTAAACATTAACTACAAAATAACAACATACTATAGGTATACTAACTTAAGGTATTGGTATAATAATTCTAATGTATCTGTATCCTTAGTACTTTTGAAACAAAAGAGAAATAAAGTTTTAAAGATAATGTTTTTTGATTCTAAAAGACATTTTTCGCTCTGCTTCCCACTGGTTGAAGTGTGTGTGTGTGTGTGTGTGTGTGTGTGTGTGTGTGTGTGTGTGTGTGTGTGTGTGTGTGTGTGTGTGTGTGTGTGTGTGTGTGTGTGTGTGTGTGTGCGTGTGCGTGCGTGCGTGCGCTGGGTCCCAGCTGGTCCCTATGAGCATCCCCCGGGAGAGTTGTGTCCTTGAGTGCCAGGGCATGGATGTTTTGGTCGTCACCTCGGGGGAATTCAAACAGAGCCGCTCACTGATTCTGATTTTTACACACTTGTGTTTCCGCCATCATGCACACACTGACTCACAGTCCAACCCACTCTGTCTCTCTGTCACACATCACAAGACACACATATACATAAAATTGTATAATATTCACAACATTGCCTGCAGTCTAAAACTAAGGCACAAACACATGGGTCACAACTGCATGTAAACACGATCTACTGCCAGCAGCCACACACAGTTAACTGAAAAATCTAGTTTGCTCTGACTATACTGTAAACCTATTCTGTGTTAATGTGTGTGTGTCTCAGTTGCTGTTTTATCAGGATAAAATTGTTTTCAATTGTCTTATCTTTATTGACCCTTCCTAAGTCTCACCATCAAAGACATCGCAACTGTGATAGCCCCAAATGTCTAAGCGTTGGGGGCGCCTTATAGTTTACCTGGTAGAGCTAGTAGCCCATGTACCAAGGCTGAGTCCTTGCTCCATGAGTTTGACTCCAACCTGTAGCCCTTTGCTGCGTGCTAATGTAAAGATTAGCTAACTAGCTAACTAACTATTTAAATAAATTAACTAGCTAGTTAAGTAACATTTTGCTAACATCAGCTAACATAAGATGTGACTATATATATGTAGCTTTTTATATTATTTTTAAACATCTTCAAAATGTGGTTGTTTTTTCAATATATATTAGCCTAGTATATAGCATATCTAAGTACAGCCAAGTTAAAGTTGACTGAGGCTTGCTCAATTGTTATTGGAGCACAGAGCAAAAAAGGGCGGGACTTTGGAAGAGTCAGCTGTGATAGAACGGCTATCAACAGAGTCCTGAACGGGTCGAGTTTTGCAAACCCGCAGAATTTACTACCGGAACAGACTGGTTAAGTGCAATTATCTCCAATTCCAGACCTGTCCCGCCCTGTTCATATAAGTCCCACAAACCAACCTGTCATTAAACACACATGTTACACACACAGTGTGCAATAACAAGTGTATCTGTAGAGACAAGAATTCAAATCATAAATAACCATAGTCTGTTTGGCAGAATCAATCACCAACTGTTGTTACTCAGTACACTGCTGCTGCTTCCACACAGCCAGTTGGGCACCGATGTCAATCAAGCCCTGTGCCAGTCTGAATCCATCAACACACAGTTTCAAATTATGTGATGTCCTGGCACGCAAACTTTATAGCGTCCTTGTCCTCCTGTTTTGGCGGTTTGAAAGTTGTGTTCTTAGAAAAAGTATATATAAACTGGTGCAGCACCTGTGCTCCTGCTGCAGCTGTATATTTCCTCAGAGAGGATGTGCGAGCTTGCGGCTTTCACAATAAAAAAATTCATACCAGCTGATTAGGTTTGATAAAGTTTTGCTGATTAAGATGTTAAAAATAGCCTGCACTCATTTTCATTTCTGATTTCTCCAGAACACATTTTTACCCTTGCCTGTACCCATGAATGTATATAAATATATTTTTTACCTGTTACACAGTGTTTTTGTGGGTTACCTGGTGCATATCCAAACTGGTGCAGGACTCTGGCTCTCAATAAAAATAGTCATCATCATGTACGTTAGGTACAGCTTGACTCTGAAAAAAGGTTTCATCAAATGGTGTCTGCTGTGGATCTGCCTTGTGCAGCCTTGCTCTTAATTATCAATAATTATCATCACTGATTTACACTGTTCCTCTTCCAGAGTAAACGACTGCATCCTGCGGGTGAATGATGCAGACGTGTCTGAGGTTTCTCACAGTAAGGCGGTTGAAGCCCTGAAGGTTGCAGGCTCTATTGTCCGGCTGTATGTGCGGCGCCGCAGACCAATGCTGGAGACCATCATCGAGATCAAGCTCATCAAAGGACCAAAAGGTGGGCTCACACACACACACACACACACACACACACACACACACACACACACAGACACACACACACATATACAGTCCTGCTAAGTCAAGCACACAAATATTTACAGTTGTTAATAACTTCTATCCAAATAGTGGTGGTATTGTCTCATGCCCAACATACATATATCTGTCATACACACAGCTCAGCAACTAACCAACTACTTTCATATATATACGAACACACACACAGGGCTTGGCTTCAGTATTGCAGGTGGAGTTGGAAACCAGCACATCCCTGGTGACAACAGCATATATGTCACCAAGATCATCGATGGCGGGGCAGCCCAGAAGGACTGCCGACTACAAGTTGGAGACAGGTTGCTAATGGTGAGGACAACAATGTGTTCAATTTTAAAGATATTTCATAAAATAGATGTTGACAAATAATTCCAGTACATTTTCACAGATTATTGCACTTGGAAATGCAGTATAGCTTCAGTGAACCTTAGTGGAAACATTAGAATTGGGGGTGGGGGGAAGCGGTCCAAACTGTTTCGAGGGAGTATCTGTTTGAGATTAAAAGCATTTCTGTGGACAGAATGGAAGTACAGAAAGTTGTTGATATGGAGACTATACACCGTTTCCTCTAGCGGCATTGATGTAAACATGTTTTTTATCATGTAACACAGTGTTCATTATTATTGAGGCAGATCTTAGAGATGAATTAGGTTACACTGTGTATTACACATTTTGAAAGCAAGAAAGGGGCAACCTACTGGCTCAGTAGTGTAACAGCAAGCTTTCTCTTGAGGAGTGCATCCTTCTTGCTTAACCAGTGCTTAATTTAATTACCTTCCTACTGTCGTGTTCTCAGCCGAACACCATCTGTCATAATCCAGTCCCCTGAAGGCAGGGAGCACGCCGGACTAATCTAAACAGAGCAGTAAGAAAACACAAGGCAGCCTCTAAAACTCCTGCCTGAACAACCAAGGACTGTATCTGTGTTCCGACAGGTGAACAACTACAGCCTGGAGGAAGTCTCTCATGAGGAGGCTGTTGCCATTTTAAAGAACACGTTGGACGTGGTCTATCTAAAGGTGGGGAAGCCCACCAATGTCTACCTATCAGATCCCTATGGGCCTCCTGATATCACACACTGTAAGTCCTCACCTCTTGTTTTTGAACTGATCAGTAGTAACCAGACTGCAGACGGCATTATCCTGTAAAGTGCTGCAAGTCCAATATACACTTTCCTGTAGTTCTGGTTTAGTCTCCATCATCTGCTGAGAAAAATATCTCTTTCGCCTCTAAATGCCCCACTATGTCCACCAGCTAGTCTCTAACTGTGTCTGTCAGCCGATTGGTTCTGGGCAGGTAGCACACAGTGCGCAGCTGCCTGCTGTTGCCAGAAATGGGTTTGATAAGAATATTACGTTAAACGAAATTATGCTGCACGATATGTGAAAAAAAAAATATTGCAATTGTGTTGAAAGATATTATGATTGCAATGTGATTCATTTAGTAGGAATGATCAGTTTTGCATTACAGTTTTCATTTTCACTAAAAAAAATTATTATCTCGGGATAAACCCCTTGAAGATGTAACATCTCGTTTTATCCTAAATGGAGAACAATTAGACAAAGAGTTACAACATTAGACTAGACACAATCAATAGAAAAGATCAGTCTATATATGAATAATTTGATGTATAAAGAACAAAACATTTAGGCAATAAAGATAGTTGTGTGACATTTGTTAGTGTCTGTACCAAACCAAATGTTTTCTTACATTTGGAGGACATCTTTGCAGCCCTACAGTACTTCATTATAACACTTTTTGTTACACATTTGACCTTTATCAAAAAATTGCAGCTCCTGTCATTTGGATATTGCAATTTCTATATAATGCAGCCCTAAATAAATTAATAAGCTAAAAGAGGTCAAAAGCTCAATTTGACTGCAGAATGATAATTCACTGCACTCAACCTTTTTATTTTCCCCCTCGGGGGGGTTCACACCCTCCCGGAAAAAAAAAAAAAAAAAAAAAAAAAAAAAAAAAAAAATTTTAAAAAAAAAAATAAAAAAAAAAAAAAAAAAAATTTTTTTTATTTTTGGGGGGGGGTTTTTTTTTTTTTTTTAATATAAAAAAAAAAAAAAAAAAAAAAAAAAAAAAAAAAAAAAAAAAAAAAAAAAAAAAAAAAAAAAAAAAAAAAAAAAGCACACTTTCTCAGCATGATGGAAATGCGTCAACTTGTTTGTCTGTTTATGCAGCTGTCACTTTACTCTCTCTCGCTCTTCCTCCACAGCTTTCTCTCCGGCCATGGAAAATCATATCTCTTCCCCCGTCAACAGTGGCACTCTGGAGTACAAGTCTGGCCTCCCCCCCATCTCCCCCGGGAGTTATTCCCCCCTCCCTAAGCACTTACTGGGGGAAGAGGATATAAACAGGTTGGATGGTTTTTCCTTCTTACGGTAATTACCTCCCTTCCTACCAGACTACTAGAACTACAGGTAGAAGCTTCGTCCACCCCGCTCCTCCTGTCTCCGCCCTTGTCCTCACTGATCTGTGTTGATGTTTGGATCGCCTGTTTTTCTGTTAATCCCACAGTCTGTGTCAAGTTCTCCCTGCAGTGTTTTTCAAAGATAGCCTCAAATAAAAAGACATCTGGGACAATAAAGGTGGGTCCCTTAATCCCCAATCAGGATCTCCAACATTCTGATCACATTTATCAAAACTAATATTTATAGAATAGAAGCTCCCCAGAAACAGCGATTTGAAAACCGCTGGTTTGCTGTAGTCCTGTGTTTCTGTCTTGCTGTGTCGTGTTTGGGGCTGAATGTCTCTCTTTATGATTTCTTTCCAGAGAATGTGTTGTTTAGTGCCGCTGTGATGCACACCTGGAAACTACTGGAGCAGCAAGTCCTTGCTTCATAATGAAACCCAACAGAGCCATAGTACTTACGTTGTATTCTGGTGTTGGTGGTACAGGCTGTTGTTTAGATAGGCTTTGGCAATGTGGGTTATCGGTTGAAATAATGTTATTATAGCTAAGGCTGCTTCAGGTCCAGCAGCAATACAATCACACTAATATATATTTTCATAGAAAGCAGTATGTGTGTGAAAAGGATGTTGTTTTGCTGTTTTATCAGGGCTTGCTGTGTTTTTCCCTGGGATCAGTTGAGTCTTTTGGGTTGCTAAAGTGTAACTAAACCCTTCAATTCTTCTAGCTCCCTCCCTTTCAGCAAATTTTAAAATCCATCAGAGACCTGCAAAGGACAGTGACTTTAGGGGGCGTGACCTCAACACCGACCAAAGTGAGACTGACTGACCACAGCAGTGTAGCAGGAACAGTGGGCTAGTAGTCCGAGCTAATGAGCAGTTGTTGTAAGACTTGTTGTAAGACTTTACAGTCACTAGAAGCACATTCACACTGTTTGTAAAAGTTTTTGTGTGTTAACTGTGTTGTAGCTAAGCTGACAGATCAGAGATGCTAACACTCTGTCTGTCGTGGGACTATAATGCAGTCTGGTATTTCTATAGCCATCAAAAGTCCAAACAACTGCCTCAAAATAGAAGAATACAAAGTAGAGGGTTAGCAAAAACTAGCTCCCGCTCAAAGTAAAGGCTGGATACTCTTTTTTACGTAAATGTCTGATGATGAAGTAGTCCCAAACAGTCGACTCTATGTCAACATTGGACTTTCAGACTTTCAATTGGAAGGTTCAGAGTGATTTAAAACAGTCAAGGGTGTGTTGAGACATTTTCATAAATTCAGTCAAAGTCAATGTTTACACCAGCATTGATGTGTTTCATCACAGTACAGTAATATAATTAAGTTTACAGCTCAAAAAAGTGAGTACCTCTTTAAAGAAAACTACCATAAAGGAAGATACATAATGTAGCATAAATCTGCTGTGAGGAATTCTAAACAAAATTTTACAGCATTTGGGTGGGTTGTGGAAAAGTTTTACACCCAACATAATGCAGCTGTGTATGCGCTCTATGTCTTTTTTCCTCTCCTTATGTATTTTTCTACCTGTTGGCTTTTCAGTCAGTCCTCACTACCAACTGCTACCAGTCCAAACTGAAGAAAAGCTTAAGATGTCTTACTGGAGTGAGTCACAGCCAAACATTAACAGCTCCCCACCTCAGCTGCCCCAACACCTAATCCCAAAGCAAGCTGCCATACGGCTCGGGACCAAGTGGGCCAAAATTCCTATCAAGTCAAATCGGAAAGTAAAGTATTTGTGTTTCTGCTCAGCGAATCTTGCCAGTGGTGGATGTTCCCCTTGTTGCTTGTCAAACATAAGGTTTGGTCTGAGCCTTTTTATTGGTTACATGTCACAGCATTTGAAGAATTTGATTAAAGCTGATTTTTAGGCAGCACAAGAAGGAAAAGTGGTGGATACAAGGAAAAAAAAATTATTACATAAGACTCCATAATGCTTCTTTGTTAGATTAGGTCATTATTGCGTGCTGTGGCAAACATTATGTTGTGTTGTCAGATTCCATTTGCAAAATAAAGACTGGGGGAGGAATATGGCAGCCGAGGGATAACAAAAGCTCATTTCAGAGGATAACTGAAGGACCCCTGTGTTAAGCTTTGTTGAGTGAGGGATTTAGTCCTCTATTCTCTTTGGAGTTAAGAGGTTTACTGTTTGCTCTCGGCCAAGGTGCGTCCCTAATAGCCTTTGAAATTACCTTGCTGAACTTAAGTGTAGCACTCTGGCAGTAGCTCGTGTTACTCTTGTTCAGTGTTCTGCATACACAATCAGAACAAACTGTGAATGCTACAGAGCCAAGTGGATCCTCACTTTCTGTAATCATCGATAAAGCCTGTATCCAGCAGCTCCACTCATTTTATCACTGTGAATGTCAAATGTCACAAATTGTTCCTAATTTCATAAGCTAATTTCTAAATGTCAGAATTCTGAATATTGATATTTCTGTTTACTTGTTCTTGCTTACTAGAGGTGGGACCAAGAAGTCATATTTTTGCAAACCACAAGTCTCAAGTCAAGGTCTAGATCATGACTGACAAGTCCCAAGTTCTAAACTTTGGGTTTCAAGTCCTAAACAAGTCATAATGCACTCTTAACAACAGATTAATTATATATTAAACATATAATTTGTCATTTCTACTCTCACATCAAAATTAAGAGGTGGCGTAGCATGGGATCATGGGAGTTGTTGTCTTCACCACCATTGCCATCATTGAAGTCAACTTCTCCCGGTTAGGATTCCTTCAGTGTTCATGGTTCAGGAGGTTTCTACTGGGAGCCCATTTATCCATAGAGGTCTTTTCCTCTCCAAAACAAACTGATGATTAATACCACTGAAAACACTGAATAAAGCAGTTCCACCTTAAAAATCATTGTTTCTCCCACGCTGTTGGGCAGACAAAGCTGCTGCTAATGTTAGTTCAGCTTGTTTCTCTGATAACTTAAGATCATGTGTGTTCGTGAATTCAATAATCTTTGGTATCATAGTGTTAGTTCTTCATGGTTCTCTCCTCCAGCTTAATTGGATGCTCTTAGAGTGGTTCAATCAGTGAATTTGGTGAATTAAGTGTCTTGCTGATACTGAATTCCATTAATGTTAGTTGATTCAGGAAATGAACTGATCGTGGCACACTTTTTAAATCACATACTTTTGAATCAAATATTTTAAAATTAAAAGGCTCAAGTCTAAGTATTCACTTATAGTATTGCACATTGGTGTTGCATGTCGAGTTGCAAGTCTTATTTTATTTTGTTGAGTCTAAAGTAATCAAATTTGTGACTAGAGTCTGACTCGAGTCCACATCTGTTACTTACCCTAGATATCCAATGTAGAACCAAGCAGCAGCTATTACATTAGACGCTCAGAAATACACTAAGTTACCGTACTTTCCGTAAATTCTTTTAGGCTAATGAATTAAAGAAAAACAGAGATGATCCACACACCCCACAGGCCAGCTGCTCAGTCCCCCTCCAGACTTTTAATGGCACCTACGGGTCCTTACAAGGTCACTGCATTTCGGTCTGATGTGGACTGACTAGCTGCCTCAGCTCAGCTCATTGCAGTATGAATGATTCAGCAAGAGAAACGAAGCCACCTGTCTGGACCTCTCTGGCTTCTGCATCTCACCAGTGGGTCATTTTTGAGACTTAGTATGAGCACAGAATCCAGAAGTCGGAGTAGAATTAGAGCTCGTATAGATGATTCGGTTATAGGAATGTTTTCGAGCAGTTAAATATAAAACATCATTTACATCTGTGACCTTTGACATGCCTTAAGCTTCGACCCTACAGTGTTCACCCGCCTCAGTCTCTGGTCATCACGTACTGCTGTCTAAAGAAGAACACTTTGCAAGCAGAGGAAGTGACCTCATTTTGTTTGGTTTCCTGACACATTCACACCAGGATGCATTTATTGGGAAATTCCCAATTTGTTGGCAGATACTTGCCAATACTGATGTGTTTTGTTTTATTCACCCTTTTTGTGCCAGTCTACAAATATGCCTTGTTACAGCTCAGGCAATTTCTCTTCTCATCCGATATTGTTCGATATTTTCTAACACCTCTTTCCAAGATGTGAGACACAGAGATGAACAGTCGCTCACTATCCAGGCTGCGGCATTGGGGCACATAGGTTTTTGCTTGCAATTTGTGCCAGTGCTGGAAAACTCCAATATCCAATATTTGCACATAGGCCAATGTCAGTCAACAAGGGCAAAGATACCGATGTTCAAGCAATACATTTGTAAATCCCTCTCTTTGTGGAGTTCTCTCTCCTGATTGTAAGTGGGATCAGGAATGCCAGAAATTGCATTCAAACTCTGTTTATTTCTTTATTTTAGGCTTTAGTGCCATCTATTTCTTGAGATACCTAACAGTCCATAAGGACTGCAGTGTGTGATTTAGTGTAGCTGTTACTATGATGATACCAGATAGCTTCCTTGAGCCACAGTCAGGCAGTGGGGGCAGAGTTGGTGAAGATGTTCTCATGTTTGAACAGGATGCAAACACATAACAGTTGGTCAGAGAGAGAGAGAGAGAAAAGAGGAGAAGGATGAGGAAGAGAGGAGTGTGTAGGTGGCAGTATGCTCAAGGCTGTGTGTAAATGAGCTAGCATGTAGGCAAGACCATCTACTCTAATGTTATCCGCATTAAGTAGTGTGATCACCAGTCTCACATCTACAGACTACACGTACACACACAGAGCAGCGTCTCAAACACACACACATTTTGCCTAAATTACTCCTTTCCAAAGCCACATACTGTACTGCACGCTCCAGTTAACACACTTGAATCCACATCAGGTCACAAACAGCAGACACGCACACACTGAATGTGAAGCCAGCGATGTGAGTTTGCAGTGTGTTCACAGCAAATTAGTGTTGCATCTACATGCAGGCACACTGTGTGTGAGCAAACACACTGATGTTAGTGATGATGATGTTGATGACTATAAATCCCTGACATGGATGTTTGTTTCAGTACTTTTAAGGACATGGCTTTTTCTGTTTTCTGTTGTCTCATGTTCTTCTATGTAGCATGTTTGTTTGATCAGTGTCTAAATGTGTAAAATGAATGTCAATAGCAGAATTACATTTTACGATAAAAGATGTTGTCAACAGTGGTTGTCGGTGGTTGGTTATCAAAAGTTGACTTTTTCCATCCTGTTAGAAATCCTTCGCTAGATGACGGGGAGGGTCACAGGTTTGATTCCCAGCATTTCCAGTTGAGGTGAGACATTTAATGTATTTAGTCGCCTGCTGCATGGTCTTGCATGTTTGTCATCGCATGTTTTTTTGTCACAAGCAATTGTTGGAAATAGAAATTACATTATGACACAGTTTTAAACATGAGCCCCTTTAATTTTGTTTTGGAGGCCTGACTAAATGTTTAGAAGAAATGACTGTTGAATGTTTTTTTGTTTAAACCTTTCTCTTTAGAGATAACCTTCTATCATCTAAAAAATACACAAATAATAACTTACCCTAAAAAGGTTATCAGGCATATGTATGTTGTACAAAATACTGTAGATAATTCTCTATCCAATTAAGTTGGCCACCAATGAGGAAGTTTGTTCTTAAAGAGTATTTCCAACAGATCACACTGTTTGATGCGCATGCTAACGTGTTAAAGGTCCAGTGTGTAACATTTAGACAAATCTATTGGCAGAAATGGAATAAAAAAAATGTCAATATGGATTTCAATATTAGTGCATAATCACCTGAAAATAAGAATCTTTGTGTTTTTGTTACCAAATGCTACATTTACACCAAGGCAAATACAATTATTTGCATGAGTAAACTTTAACTCAACGTGTAATGTTGTAAAGAAAATAAAATGTTTTTCACACTTTATACCCTACCTCAAATAAACAAATATTCTTTTTTGATAATTGTTTTGATAAAAAATATATTTTGTAGATTTTGGTCTGAGAAATGAAGGAATCTTTTTCTGTCATAATTTGTTACATTCTCATTTTGTTAAAAGAAATTGTGAAATTGTCATATGCATCCAGTATCATTGTGAGTATATCGTTACATCCGTATAGCAGTGCCCCTCCCTCCTCCCCCACGTCACCACTCTTAAATTCTGCTGCCTGCCCTTGAGGACCACCTCTGTAGAGTTCTCTCTCCTGATTGAATAAAGTGGGAACGGGATACCAGAGAATGTATTCTCTGTTTACTGCAGAAAAGAGGGACTGGGGGACCAATGTTAGTGACTGAACACTCTATGTCCGTGATTGCTGCCAGAATGTAGAGCTATTTAACATTATTTTAACAAAGAAATATCACGTACAGTTCCTTTAACAATATCCAGATAAAGATAAAGCTCCTTGCCAAACCAAAACACTGCTTTTATGGATGTGCTATGGCTCTTCATTTAATGGTAAAAAATTGAATTAATCGAACAAAATACATTATTTGTAGAGCTTGCTGCAGAGATTTTCACAGCATACATTTTCTTAATCTTTTTAGCTTTCAGATATTAATTAATGTTAACACCACTACCACGTGTGACATGATGATAAAGAAATTAGTTTAATGAGTGTCAGCTGAAACAGTTACTGTACAGTTGTCGATTAATCAACGCCAGAACCTGGATTGTTACCAATTTTAATGATCGATTAAAGTCATTTATCAAGCAAACACCATATTGCAGGGCTTCCTCTTGGTCTCTCTACCACGTCTCATACTGCTTGATTTTTTTTAGTCTTTCATCTTTGTCATCTCTGTCATCGTTGTTTATTCCAGACCCTTCAACCCCACCTCTGTCTCTGGACACTAACCTTTCTGCTCTTGTCTCTCACTCCACTGTAGGCCTCCTGAGCCAGTTTACAGCACTGTGAACAAACTATGTGACAAAGCACCCTCCCCCCGACACTATTCCCCAGTGGAGTGCGACAAAAGTCTCCTCCACTCCGCCCCCCTCCCAAACTATCACTTAAGCCTGTTCCCTGACTCGGACATCACCAGGTACTTTCCATCACCACCAGCACCATAACCACCACTCTGCCACTGTGTCCCATCCCACCATATAAATGCCATGTTACCACATCATCCTTTATACCCACCTGGTTTTCTCTTATGAGTTCAGTTGCTTGCTCCCTCCTTCGAGGCCCCAGCCACCACGTCCTGGTGTTGTTTTTCTTGAGCTAGCATGCCTTTCTTCCCTCCACTTCTCTCTCTTCAGGGCTCCTAGCCTTATCTACCACCAACACATTGACACTTTTATCCAGTGGTGGAAGAAGTACTCTGATCTTTTACTTCCAGTCAGTAAAAGTAGCAGATTTTAATAGTGTAAAGTGTTATTAAAGGAGTATTCTTGTGGGACTACCACCTTACAAGGCCCATACTACACAGCATATTGAGATTCATGTATATATGTATATTCAGCTTCCTTACTTACTATCAATAGGTAGTGATTAGGAGGTTGTTGAAGGAAAACTTTTAGTTAATGGCCTAGTAGTTGTAGAATATGGTCATACAGAATAAGGCATTAATAGGTGCTTTATAATGACTTATAAAGAGCCAATGCCAATGTGCATGCTATTGGTGAATATTGCTCCTTCACATCAGTTCTGTTATTTAAGTAATTGTAATTAACCCCCAATGCAGCAGTACATATATAATCAGTGTTAGAGCAACAATCATAAGACTTCAGGTGTTTATCATTTTTAGACATTGTAGGACAGATGTATGGCAGAGGATTAGAGCCACGTAAAAGATTTGTTTGAGTTCAGCATTTTGATCCTAATCTTCTTGGGCTGAGTACTGCTGTCTCCTCAAAATGACGTTGGAGCAGGCAAGGATCTTCACTTTGGTGAATACAGTCCCTCCATCATCCTCACATCTCTGTCTCACTTCCCTGATTGGTGGATGTGAGGAAGAGACGTGAGCGAGGGAAGCAGAGAGCATGTTAGCCAAATAGTGGGAAGCACCCAAATGGAAATGGAAAGTCATAAACTGCTTTGGTCATACACCAATCAGCCATAACATTATGAGCACTGAAGGGGTTAGTGGCAGGACACTGTTTATAACGTTATCATGGCTCCTGTCAGTGGGCAGGATATATCAGGCAGCAAGTGAACATTTTGTCCTCAAGTTGATGTGCTAGAAGCAGAAACAATGGGCAGCGTGAGGATCTGAGCAACTTTGACAAAGGCCACATTGTGATGGCTAGACGACTGAGTCAGAGCATCTCCAAAACTGCAGCTCTTGTGGGGTGTTCCCGGTCTGCAGAGGTCAGTACCTATCAGAAGAACCGGCAACAAGGTCATTGATTCACGTGGGGACCAATCCAACAGATGAGCTACTGTAGCTCAAGCTGCTGAAACAGTTAATGCTGGTTCTGATAGAAAGGTGTCAGAACACACAGTGCAGAGCAGTTTGTTGGTATGGGGCTGCAGAACATTAGGACCACCAGGGTGCCCAGGTGGTCATAATGTTGTGGCTGATCGGTGTAAATATGACACTGCAGAGGCTGTTGCATGCTGCCAGGGTGACTCGTGAGCTTGCTTGCTGAACTAACTTACTAACCTGATTCTTTCAAGCTTGAGCTTTAACCGCCTACCAGTGCCTAACCCTAACCACATACCACCTCTCTGTCTTTATACATGCATTCATTTCGAATAAAATAATGCTGTTATGTATTCTATAATATTAAATATGTTTGTGTGGGCATGTTGCTGCCTGCCATATCAAACACGTTTTATAGCTCTGCTCATGTGAAACCACGCAGACTTTTTACTGTTTAACTTCACCCTTTAAAACAACTTTGGTCAGCAAGATACATTTCCTGGTTTTTGCTGTTACCATGGTAGCGTATTTCCTTCGCAGATTAATTTTAGTCTCAAGTGAATGAGAGTAGAAACGAGTTATAAGAGCATTCTTCCTATGACTGATCCAATATAGGGAATCACATCTCTGGGACTGTGGGCAACCAAAGGTACACCGAAGGGCCGTGAAGTGAGGAGCCCGTATTGACAGTTTTAAGATTGTGTCATTCAGCAGCCAGGCTGAGCTCTTGGCAGTGCCTAGCTGAGCTTAAAATGAACTGTAGTGTTAAATTGGATGAGCAACCACCTTTAAAAATGTCTTCTTTTTGATAATAGAGTTTTTTGATGCAGGATAATTCATTCCTTTAGAAATAGTGTTTGTTTTTCTACCACTATTCCTCTCTGGTACGAATGTATTTCATCAATGTGAGAAGCGGATAAGATTTGGATGAATGCTGTGAGTAATTTAACATTACATGTAGAACTGACACACTCTGTTATGGTCTGATTATTTTACATAACAACAGAATATATTATGAACAAATTTGGTCCTCTCATGTCCATGGGTACAACATTTAATAAAAAATTCACTCATAGAAACCTAAATCTACCTCTAATATGTGACCTACTGCAGTTTTACAAGCTATACAGTATAGATGTGTAGATCATAGACATGTAACTCATAGACATTGTGTCTCCACCTCAGAAGTCAAGTGCAAGTAGATGTAGATGTTTTAGCTTTAGTTTCTGGGAGCAGTCACGTCATCCATCTTTATATATGTAGATGATTTTCTCTCCTCTTCTGTTGTGAATGTGAATCCTCTGCTGACTCCACAGTTGCATGCAAGTATGACTGGATGAAAGATGTGTTAGATAATGATGTAAACACAGGGGTTTCAGTTCCTCTTTTATGCAGTTTTACCAATCCAAGGAACGAATCAGTTTGCCATGTGGCAAAAGAAACAGGTGTTTACTCCATAGAGACTTTTTCTTCCAAACCTTTTTCCTTGCAAAACAAACTGCTTTAAAGGTCCAGTGTGTAACATTTAGGAGGATCTTTTGTCAGAAATGGAATATAATATTCGGTATGTTTTCATTAGTGTTTAATCACCTGAATGTAAGAATTAAGTTTAGAATAAGTGTTTTAGTGACCTTGAGAAAGAGTCGTTTTTATCTACCTCTTCTGGTCGGGTCCACCACGTTGAACCGCCAGATTTCTACAGTAGCCCAGAACAGACAAACCAAACACTGGCTCTAGATAGGGCCTTTTGAGTTTTGCGCCCACTGTAGTTTCTGCTTCATGCTTGGAAGGGGAGGGTGAAACGTGGGAGTTGCAATCTGCAACAGCACGGGTAGATGCCACTAAATCCTACATACTGGACCTTCAGTTCAGGAAAATACCTTCAGTTCCACCCAAAGAATAATTACGCAGTTTTAACCTGAGACTGTACCTTATGTGTGTATCTTCTTACATTAGGTGTCTCTGCAGATACGGTACAGAAATATTTTTTACTGTGACTATGAAAATTTCAGGAACAAAATGAAGTTGAACCACCAAAGTAAACTAAATATACTTAACTTTGAAAAACAATAGTTAACTATTATTCATGTTTATAAAGTTCCCTGATTAGTCATGCATCATGCATTTACAGTAGGGGGCTGATTAAGTGTGAAACCACTGAATTCTTGTTCAAGTGAATGATCAAACACTATGGCAGGGTTTTTCCACAGACATGGTTCTAGGTATGATATACATGTGAAGAAGAAACCTTTCTGTCCACATGAAGTCTCCTCTGCATTAATGATTCCATCATCTGCCCCACTGCAGCTTTCTGCAAACTCTATTTATAGCTTAGACAAAATGTCAGTTCTTTCTGTAGGGCATCAAAACTTCAGTGTTTTTGCAGTTCTTGTCATAAAACCTGCAGGGTTTGCAGAGATGGTTGAAAATGGCAGAGGGAAGATTGGAATCAGGCTATCTGTGCTCCATTAGAAATGCCTGAATGTATGCAAATCAGCCTGTTGTGGGGGGGGATTTTATTCTGCCTGTTTTCAAGGTTAGACAAACTACAGTTTAGCATAAAACATCATGTGTTTGTACACTGGCCAGTCAAGACACCAAGTTTCTGTTAAAGCAGGATGCATCTTCTAATGACGGTGAATAGGAGGCTGGCTTTGTTGACAGTGAAAGAGGGTCCTGGAACAAGTGGTGGAACACAGAGGATACATAGCTGGTACTGTGAAGAACAAGAGAAAATTAAGCAAACACTCAACAGCTTTGCTCTTAAAAGAGGAAGGAAAAAGTGCTTTTTCATGCTCCTGTAGTTAATTAATTCACAAGCAGATGGCAGTATTCTGCTTCCATTGACGGTGACAGTCCTGTATTGTGTTGTCTCCTGAAAGGGTAATGTGCTGCTGCTTTTAGGTTTTTTAAGATGTCACTGGATTTGATTTGATTTCACTTTATTGTCAGAATTGCTTCAGAAATATGTCTCCTATCCAAAGACATATACTGTTTCACATAAATAACACAAATAGTACAATATGTATTACTCAGGTGATCAGATGAGAATGGGTCAAAGTCAGGACAGGGAAGTTGGGGGTGGGTGCTGTCACCTATTCTGAGTGAGGATTGATAAAGCAGTGTCCTAGCTGTATTTACAGGACACGTGAACAATTACACACAGGTATGTTATAGTGATTGTAAATGTCTTCCCAGCAGCTAAGATTGTCATTCAGCTGGAGGAGACTACAAACCCATTGTTTAGATATTTTTGTTACAAATTCCTCCTGCAGTGGCAGCTGCACTCTCTCTCATCTGGTTTAAAACAGGTTGAATGACCTCAGCAATCCATTATTTATGATCAATCAGAGCAACAGACAAGTAAAAAAACACATCAATAATACTCATATATTTTACAAAACAAAAAGTACTTTTTTAACAAATAAAAGCAGGTATAGCCTACAGAAGTGATTAAAGGGTTCTCTCTTAATTGAATTTAGATCAGCTTGTTTTATCTCTTGGTATGTTACGAATCATTCAGAATATTAAGGCAGCGCTCCAAAATACACAATACATTCAGTGCAGCATTTTCAATATTACTGAGTCACCAAGTCAGGTCTCCTCAGTGTTTCTGCCTTCAAGTCTCAAGTTAAGTCGAGTCTGACAGTGTACAGACAGCTCTCTTTCGTACTATCACTATAACGGTATGTACATTCAGGACAAACAGGACAGGATTCCGGATTTAACTGCTTGTAATTCAAGACGGTGCCTAATTTTTCAAGACGTCTGGTCACCCTTTTTTTTTCTACATCAGACATTATGAATAAGAGGCTGCAGTGGATCAATTTAACCACTCCCTTTAAAATTCAGTGTTTAGTCCACACAGGCACATTGAGGCCAACTTACTCAGAACCCAGACTCTGACTTTAACAGTTTGACAGACTGAGGAACAAAAGAGTTCCATGTTCAGTAGAGCTGTGGGACTCCTTCTGTTTGATGGCAAAAAACTGATATTCTTCAAATATGAGAGGGGTCGGACATAATATTACCTGCACTATAATGCAATGCAAAGTTATCTTTATTCAAAATTGTTGAAACTGATTACATTGAAAATACAACACAAGTCAGTTTTGTGAGTTAAAAAACATTCTTGATTAAGTACTTTTTACTTGTTATTTTGTTTTCACAGTACAAATAAGAATTACAAAATTAAGTCAGTGTCACTTAAAATTACTAAAGATCAAGAATGTTTTTTAACCCACAAAATGTAGTTGGTTTTACCAATTTTCAATATAATCAGTTTCAACCTCTTTTGAGTTAAATTCACTTATGTGGTTTAACAGTGTGCCAGAGAGAAGGTTCTTTTAGTATATGCAGATAAATCAAGTTAATAAAAATAGTGGGCAAACATGTGAAATAGTTTGATTACATTGTTTAGTTTACTAGATATTATTCCTGTTTGACAATCTAGAAAAATGACTGCTGTCATGATAGAGTGGTTTTAGCCCTCCCTATCATATGGATGTCTTGAACCAGATTTTCTGTCTATGTTTGTGTCTCTACCCTGAAAATGTTACAACAACCTAACTCTATATGTTTGTACACAACCCATGAATGTATCCTAGTGTGTGTGCACGTGTGAGAGAGAGACAGAGAGAGAAAACAAGCCAGTGTGTGAGTGCTGCATGTGACGAGGTTTCTTTTCCGTCAGAAACGAATTGGGGACAAGTGATCCTAAGTAGAGCACCATCCCCCTGTGGAGCTCCAGCAGTCTTTGAGCTCCTTTGCCCAAGCAAAGCATAGCTGAGGCTTCTGTCGACGTGCTGTGGCGATTGTTGTCCACCTTTCTGTCCTCCGCCATCCAAGCTGAAGATGCTGAAACCCAGCGACTCCCCCGAGCTGATGTACTATCTCAACTGTCTGTACAGGGAACCCAGGAAGGTGGTGCTCCACAAAGGCTCCACAGGCCTGGGCTTCAACATCGTGGGCGGTGAGGACGGCGAGGGCATCTTCGTCTCCTTCATCCTGGCAGGAGGGCCCGCTGACCTGAGCGGAGAGCTGAGACGAGGCGACCAGATCTTATCGGTAAGTGCACAAGAGACAATTTTTTTGTGGAAAACATTCAAAAGTGAGCAGGATTATGAATCATGTGTTATAGAAATGGCTTGTTAATTGAAAATGATTCATTTGATTACCTGTTACCTGGTAAAAGGTCACAAAAAGCTCAAACTAGCTGAACAAAGGCTGGGTGGCTGGGTTTTAAAATGGTCTACTCTTGTTACCTGTGTGTGTTCCCAGCATATTAATAGAGAGTGTAATAGTCCTACTGGCCTAGATTCATTTTCAGGGCCAAACGCTAACAACCTGGGCCTTTTTTTCCATTCCTGTAGTATTTCTCTAATATTATTACAGAGAGGTGTATTGTATTTGTGGTAGTTACTAGTAAGTTTATTTTTAAGGCTGGACCTGTTAAAGAGTATGCTCAGCTCCAGAAGTTGCATTATATTCGTGGGTTTCACATTCAGCTGTATCACTATAGTTATTTTTGCTTGGGTTTAAGCCTTTTTCAACCTGTAGTCCAAACATATGGTAGGTTGTTGTCATTCATAAGATATACATTGTCCCAAACAATGACATTTTTACTTCTATAATAAACATGGTTCTGTAGACTAAATTAGTCTCTTTCACCGTCTCTCTAGCATATATAATGCTACAGTGTATTAAGGATTTAAGTAATGAAAGTCATTTTTAATTTGAGTATTCGCAGGGTGAATACAACTGAAATGAATACCCAAACGAAAATTTGGGTGGGGTTAGGGTTATCCTACCTTTCTGTGCTACACAGGCTGTAAAGATGACTCAACATGAAAATAAACCATATCCACAAACATTAAGATGTTGCGATAATTAAATAATTTGGCTTGTAAAAAAGCTGCTGCTCTTTTTTTTTCTTCCACCCACAGTCACCTTGGTCTAACCTGACTGTTAGAGACCGTTTGTTCCACAGAACCATCCGGGAAGTCATCGCTGAAAACTGTTTGGAAAAGGGCTGGCACGTTCAAAATATATTGGATCGCAAAATGATTGGATGAATCATCTGTCAGTGTATTACAGGCAAACTTCAACCAATCAGATCAAAGAACCATGTAACGTAGTCAGACTCTTACTGAAGTCAGTCAGGAGAAGAGAGAAAACATCTTTTCCATCAAGAAAAGCCTTCAGTGCCGTTCTTTGGTCTTCTTTCAGAAACACTCTCAAGTTCTGATAGAACTGATGCTAGCGGCATCTATGCTAACCTCTTTAGCAGCCGCCATTGTTGTTTTTGAGCGAACAATCACTTCTCACACACCTGATGTTAAATCACTGACGCTAACCCTAAACCACGGCGATAGCTCATGCCAGTAATTCCTCAAAGGACGCTAATTGGTCCAAACCACTGTGGTTGGGCACTAGCTTATCATTTTGATACAAAACTCCAACAAGCAAAAACTTTTTGCCTCCCATGGTCATTGCTGCCTTTGTGGGCAATGTCAGTTTTGTGTTTTCCCACTGTGGACATGACTCAGTCAGCGTCTACTGCCTTTACAATCTTTGGTTTAAAAAACACATCCTGCATTGTTTGGTCACAGTATTCACAAATAAAAGAAATGACTGCATGTATGAGGACTCACTGAGATGATGAACAGACTGCACAGCTCTCCAGCAGCTGGGAGGACGTGATTGCTCTGCCTCATTATAGTTAATTGTAGCATTTTGCTACCCACACTTATGGCACACTGTGCTACAGATTACACTGTCTCCTTTCATTGCAGTGTTATGGTATTGTATAGCCTGCACATTGTTAAATCAACATGGCACGTCTGCCTGTTAATTTGCATCCAATCAGCACCTCCGTCTACACTGATGAAAGCAGGCAGTTAATATTCCAGCAGTGGCCTGGTTCTGAAATCTAACTTCCTCTGTCTCTCTCCACCACCTATTGACCACATATTCTACTATCTCTTCACACACTATACATATCCAGTGTGGTTCTTTGTGCGCTATTACCTGAGGCTCTGTGGTCTGCCACCGTATATTTGCCCGAGTACTGAAACAAGCAACAGCAGCTGTGAAGGGAGAGGTGTGTCGAGATAAAAGTGTAAACCTGTGTCCATCCTCTTGTGTAAAGCGACACAGAAACAGAGACATCCTTGGATTTCCCTCTTTTAATGAATCGAGCCCAGCCTTCTTCACACTATGTTCGTGTGCGACGTTTGATCTGGTTTCAGCAGCAGCTCTTGTGATAATGTGAGAAAGATGCAAAGAATACATTCACCAATGAAACCTTTAATTAATGTGTTACAGATGTATTTAGAAGCATTCACTCAACAGTATGTTTAGATGCATTGCACCTCTTCAAAAATGTTTGTACCCACAAAGTCTTGACGGAGTTTAAACATTTCTTGCATATTCAGGGTTCCCACACATCCTGGAAAACCTGGAAATTTAGAGACTAGTTTTCCAGTCATTGAAACTCCTGGAAATTGATTAAAATGACCACAAAAGGAGGCATAAAACTAGACTTTATGTCAAGGCCTACCAGTAAGGAAATGCTGTCCTGAATTGTCAAGAAGAATTCCAGGAAGAAGTCCTGAAAAATGTCTTGAAAAATATCCTGGAAAATGTCCTGGAATGGTCCAGAAAATAAAAATATTTCTTAAAAAGAGTGGGAACCCTTCCCTACATTTATGGTACCAGATTTAGCTAAATGTTGTCAGCAAAACAATTAGCCAAACAGTGAGAGAGAAATCTACAATATTGCATTACATTGCATTTCTTTCTAGTGTCTACCACAATATATCATTCTCAAAAGATGCCCCAATCCTTAAATAGTCATCTACTCCTTCTACTTCATTAAAAATTCTCAGTGTATGTGCACTGGTGGCTTTTAAGTGAGAAATAGTCAACGCAGTAACAGAATCTTGCTTCGTATTTGAGCAGCACTGCCTAGTTTGGCAGTTTGATCTGAGTCATGGAGAATGACCTGTCAATCAAAAGGTAGCCCCGCCAAAAGCATACAAGACTTTATTGTCTATTTTGCTCTAAATTGGACCATAATTTACTGAATGAATATCATAATGTATTGGAGAAGATGTGAAACTAGTGATTGAGACCCTAAATTCATCATGAAACCGTTTACTGAGCTCATAAATTAAGTGACAAGTCGGCTCATTTTCCATTAAAGTGAATGCGATTGGTGTGTTATTAGAGCCAATGAAGCTCCCCTGCTGGAATTTACATAGAATGTAGGTTTTAATTTTTTTTCCGCGTTGGCTTCACCTTTCAGACCCGGAAGCTCTGTTCATTATATATACTGTCAATGATCAAACTCTGCACAGACATCATTCAAACAAGTAACAAGAAGAAACACTGGAGGGGAGCTTTAGAGAAATATATAATCCTTCCATTTAAAGGATAACATGTTTTTTTCACTGGTGCTGAATAAAGTATAGCTCATTTGTGTGGCAGGTTTTTGTACCAATAAAACACTAAAATAATCCTGTGAATTGTGCTTGTGGTCAAAACAGGTTAATGGCATTGACCTGCGAGGAGCTACGCATGAACAAGCAGCAGCCGCGCTGAAAGGAGCGGGACAGGTGGTCACCATCTTTGCCCAGTACAGACCAGAAGGTGAGTCAGCACAAACCAGTTACTGTACAAGTACAGGAACCCTGTGGTGTAAACATCCTGCTAAGTAGCACAAACATTACACAGGACAGTGTTTAGGTAGGTCTCCCCTACCCACTAAGTCATTTGGTTAGAATCAGGCCAAATGATGGGGTCCCCTTATGTTTCACTGCTAACTCTGTTAACACATCACTGCCAAACACACAAGTATTGACTCTGTTGAACAGTCACAATAAAACCATCCCACATCATTTTCTTTTCACATATGGTGAAATGAAAATAAGAATTAAAAGCAAAAAATGATAATGATTTATTGGAACCAGCCCGTACACTGTATCTTGGACAAAAGACAAACACTAAGAGCCTACAGGAATAATGTAACACCTACACACTACCTTTAGGATTCTGAACCTCATAACCTTGCAGAAGAAGTGTATGGATATTTTGTTCCAAATCTTTTCATTTAAATGCTAAACATGTAATTAAGAGACTGTTTTTAGTGACCTCTCCGGCAGCCCTGCCTCCATGTTGTGACAGCTTCATCTTAGCAGTGATGGTGGGATTTATGCAGCATGAAAAACATTCTGCCTGTAGCTTAAACTGGTTAACAATGCAAGGTCACTGCTGATTTCATGTTTGCGATGACATTTTTAAATCCAAGGCATTCTTTTGTCCTGTCATTACACCTACTCTGCCACTCTAGCGCTGAATGGACTCTTATATGTTTTTCTTATGGGTGAGATCTGAGTTGAGGTGACATCTCTAAAGGACCATTGAGTGGGATTTAGTGGCATCTAGTGGTGAAGTTGCTGATTGCAACTAACTGAACACTGCTCATGTCTGTATTTGGCGACCTGGGAATGATAACGGGCTGTGTAAAGGAGAGACTACAGTGGCCAAAAAACTTGGGAAAACTGTAAAAGGCTCTATCTACAGCCAGTGTTTGATTTGTCCATTCTGGGCTACTATAGAAATATGGTGTTTCATCATGACCGACTCTGTAGAAGAGAACCCGCTCCCTCTGTAGATAAAAATGGCTTGTTTACACATTGGAAGGTGACACTTTAACTGCACAACTTCTGTCAGGTTTCACCTTCAGAATAAAAGCCCTGTGAGCCTCAGTGAAAGTGTCCATGAGCTCTTTTTGGTTTTCACAAGTGTTCACCTCAGCATCATGAATTATCGGTTATCTGAAAAAAGCAGGGAACGGGAAGTAGTTTTTATTGAGTTAATGAAGCTGATCAGTGATTCAGAAGGTGTTTTTTTTTAACCATCTTTACAGAGTGCCCTTGTGCGCCATATGCTTAATGCAGTCTTTGCTAAAACTTTTAGGTCATTGGTCTTGGACAAGAAGTCCATTTAAGTTTTCCTACTCACACAAAGTTCCTGAAAAAAAGAGGAAGTCATGTTATCATCTGAACAAACAACATTCAGTTTGTCTTAAACTGGTTTGTGGTTTCTTTGTCCTGTAGCATTAGCATGTAAATTACAACAACCCATGTGGGGCATACTAATTCAGATCTACAAAAGACTGTCTGCCAACCTTGTGTAAGTTAACATGTAGTGGATCAGACAGCTTTGAATGGTGACATGCCTCCTCTGATTAAGGTCAGCAGCGGCAGTATCTACTCGAGGGCTGCAGTGACTGTGACTCACCATCAGAGACCTCTCGATATCTCAGAGGTGCCAAATTCACAAACTGTCCAGAACCCTGTAACGAGAGCTGTGGTTTAGCTCAGAAGTATCTCTATCGAAATCTGGCAGGTCTAAAGCCTAGCGTTCAAGAAGTCAAAAGCTTTATCTGTTGAGCCAAGGTTTCTTTATACATTTCTTCATGTATGCTTAGTACATCAGTTAGATCAGCCAAAACCTGCTGGCGACAACGGCCTCAAGAGAGTGCTCTTGGTGTTAGATTGCTTTTGCTTCTCAAACATGTCATATTTTTTAAGATCTTGCAAAACCTCTTCTCTATAAACTCAGATCTGCTCCATCTCACAGGAAACTCTTCAGTATGTGGCAAAGATCATAGGTTGTCCACCAGGTCCTAAGAAGTCCAAAATCCTATAATCTTAAATTTCTGCCTTAAAATATCTTACATATGATTTTGACAGGTCTTACAAATTGATTGGATTAATGAAGTTAATGTTTTTTTTTATAAAGTTGTATTTTTTCTTACTTTTGTGTTTTTGTGAAAAGTGTTTATTGATCATTATACAAAATGAAACCAACATGTAACCAATACCAATTTTCCTTCATATCTTTTGTATTTTTGTTTTTATTTGTCTTGAATATTGTATCCTCTTTAGCTGCCAGCAGGGTAACAGCTATTCCTGACGTCCACACACAACAAAACATACATACAAATAAGACACGTAAAAAAACAACTAAACATAATTAGATTTAATTCATAATTAGATCAGTTAATTGACAGTGGGGTTATTCATAACATGTTTTTCAAGAAGTCTTAGTGGGTTCTTCAGTGATCATAGTTTGTAACTTGTTCCACATTGTGACAGCTCCGTTCATTACAGATCTACACACTGCATCTGTTCTAGGTTTTTGTTTCACTAGATAACCCCTGGTAGCCTTGTGTCACATAATTTAATTGTGAATACAGACAATCTGATGTTTTGCCAATATGGATGTAAAATAATTGTATTCATAATGGTCTTAAAAAGTCTTAAATTTAACCTGTTGAAACCTGCAGGATCAATAGAGAAGGTCTTTGACTTGGCATCAAGTTCAATCTGACGCCCAAGCCTCTTAGTTTAGGGATGACAAATCCCATCATCCAACTTGTTGCCTTGTTCTCATCTGAGCTGACATCTCAATGCTGACTAACTGGGCTTTTCTTCTTACCCATCAGAACTTGCTCTATGCTCACCCCGACGGGCCCACTCTCCTGCACCAGGTTTGTGCCACTGGCACCTGTGGCCACTCTGAGCTTTAGCCTCATTCACCAGGGCTCCGCTATGTGAGAGTCACTGAGTGAATGCGATCACAGACAGTCTGTCCACTCCTCTTCACCAAGCGTTTGGCCCACTGAAGCACACCTGATCCTTTCCTCTCCCAGCCTGTTTGACTCTCACTCCTCCACTGCACATGCACTTTTCAAAACCTCCTGACTTTACCTTTTGTTCCTGTGTTCCCAGGCCATGTCCTCTCTTCTTCCTCTTTGAAAATGTGTGTACATGCTCTTTTTGAGTGTGCTGTATTCTGAGGATAATGTGCAGACACTGTACTCATGTATTGCAGCTCAGTATAATAGCTTTGTGTTGTTTTCTTACGTACCTGTGTTTAATGCTCAAACTATTGTTTTCTAAAGTCAAAACAGCCCACAGTGTTGTTTTTGGACACTGTTTCTGGAAAGAAGCTTTGCTATTTATTTTTTAACAAATCAGGATTCCCATGCATCCATGAAAACCTGGTCTATTTTTTTCCAGTCATGGAAACAATTGGAATTTGATTAAAATGATCAAATTCTCTTAGAAATAATCTGTGTTGTCCTGAAAAAAACGCAGTGTTACCAATGATACCAATAGAGGTTACATTCCTTCAGGTCAAACGGAGTATGGAAATGGAAATGCTCTGCTACACTAAATGGAGTGATTAGTATCATTGGTAACACCTTTGTTTATCCTACTATTTCATGTCAAAATGGCTGTTGTGAAATTCTGAAAACAGAAAATCGGCTGTGGTGAGAACAGAGTACCTGAGAACAATATAATATGAAATATCTATGAAATATGCCACTAAGTCAGCGGTCACCAGTTTATTAAATGACAGAAAAGGGGTCCCTGTAGGAAAAAACATGGGAACCACTGCTCTACAGGAAGGAGCTGGTGGCTGGTACCACACACACAGTGCTCCAGGAACTTTGCACGTTCATTAAAAAAAAGGACAGATGCTTGAGAGGGACAGTCACATAAACTGCATGTGAGATGGTGCACAGTATACAGTTACATCAGTTTAGTCTAGTTCATTTTTTCCATTTATATTACTACAGCGTTTCCCAAATATACGGAACCCAAAATGGGTCACAAAGCAATTTTTATTGAGTAAAATGCACAACATTGCTCTGATATATGAATTAATTTTCCTAATTCGAATGGAAGAAGAGAGAACATTCTTCTTCTGTTTTAATTAGGGAAATAAAATTAGAGGGTTACGCATGTACTCACAGAACTCCAGTAACTACTATTTTTGCTACACTGGTTTGTTCAGCTCAGATTCTGTGTATGGGGGTTCCCTTCTCTCTCTCTTCCCCTGACAACACCCTACAGTAGCTGTACAAGTGTTCTCGCAAAGCAAAGTATTCTTAAAAGCAGCTGCTGCTGCCAGAAGGTTACTGCTAGAAGTTCAGGGCACGTGCAGATAGGCGGCAACCACTTCATACCACTGTGATCAAAACCCCTTCCCGTCTGCCACCTTCCCCTCATTGAAATAACTGGAGTGTGTAAGCCCCGTTAGTAAGGATCCTGGGGAGGCACCAAATTTCTCTTTTGGGTCTCGTTTGGGAATCCCTTGTCTACACACATACACATACTGTACACTCTTTGGAGTGTGTAAAGCCAGTGACAATAAATTCCTCATATAATTGCGAACATAGGCCCTTCCTCCCTAAAGTGTCTCTTTTATGTGTGATCCGATATACGTACAGTGAAGGAAGAGGAGTTGTCCAGTAATTCATAGACTGATAAAGCAAACAAGCACTGCTTTAAAAACACTTATCCTGTTTGTTGCGTCCGTTGGCATTTGTCTCCGCCCCTGCACGACTTCTGAGCAGGCACAGAAGAGAGAGAGGTGTTTCCCTTTCTCTACTCAGTGCTGCACTCAGCACAGCATTGGACTGTGTGTAGTGAAAAGAGAGAAGGAGCACAGGGGGAACACAATATAAGAAAGAGAGGACAGCAGTAGAAGATATAACATCAAAGTGAACATGCAGAAAGGTATGTGAGACCTATTTTAGAGTAAGTTGGGCAGAAAACAAAATGAGACTAAGATAAGTTTAAATTGAATAATGTAGACATTTCTGTTATTGTTTCTGTTAGATGATTCTCCAGTATGAGAGGGTTCCTTTGCTCACATAGCCTCAGTCTTGTTTTATCTTGAACTTGTAGGATGATGAAGCAGCATCAGTATTAGAAAAAGGAAGCGTTTGATGCAAGTGTGGCAGTCATAGCTGTAAATCAGGTTTCTCTGGGAAAAAAAAAACATATTTAGTATTTTTAGCTTTATTTACAGTATATCTCTCTTATCTTTTCTTGCCTTGATGTGTAGAACACAGGTTGTGCGGTCAGCAGTTGGTTTTGGTTTTGTGTCACAACAGAACATGTGACATCTCTGTACTGTTTGATCTTCTTTAAGTGACAGATTAGCCAGCCCTGCCTCAAGTTATCAGTTGTTTTGTCCTCATAGTAACTGCACTGTCAGGAAAAGCACACTTGTCAGCGGAGTGAAGGGTTCTCACATCCTGACATCCTCTTTTACATTGCCAAGAGCAGTTCAGTTCATGGCTTGAGTCACTGACTGGAAACACTGGTGGGTCATATGAAGTGCATCAGTGTAAACCAAAGAAATAAATTGTGTTCTCAGTTTAATGATAGACATTTGTGAATACAGCAGCACAAAGAATTGACTTCATACAAACAGCAATTTCCTTAATGCATTAAGGTGCAGTTTATCTCATAGTCAAGTTTGGCTCACAGTCACTTGCTAGGCTTAAAATTATTAAAGCTGTTTATTTTTGGCATTATTGAGAAAAAAATGTACCTTTCAGCATATTGTAATTCAGCTAGACCTCTGCACCTCCTCTTGGCTCTGCTCTCAGGCATTAGAAATTCTAGCCTGTGACAGGAGAATTTGGCCAATCACAGGTCAGTAAGATAGTTGATTGTTGAGTCTCATTCCATTCGGAGGGTTGGTGGCTCCAACCCAAAGCATCAGTGTTTAACAACCTGGAAATGAGACTCAACAATCAGCAGTCATTCTCTAGAAGTGCTTTCTGCACCTTTTCTTTTTTTATTGATTTCAAGGGGAATCCAACTGAATCCAACCTGGTGGCAGGCATTAAGAAAAACTAGAAATAGCCAATTTTCTCTCTGATGGTTTTGTTTGTTTCTATATGTCATATAGAGTCATCAGTATTAAACTGAGACTGTTTTATTTCCACAGAGTTAATAATTCTGTGTAGTACATTTAAATAATGGAAATGTGCATCCAGTGCAGCACTGTGTAGAGCCCACAATGAAAATGATAGGCAGTACCACATTTTGACGGTAGTAACAGGAATCAAATGAATAATTGTTCACTTTAACAGGAGTCTCTTTCAGTTTTAGTAGCATCATTACATCGACCTCCTCTTTCCCAGGATGCACTGGAGTCTGAATGCAGACCTGGCTGTCAGGCTTGATTCGTTCTAATCTTGTCTTGCAGAGTACGGGCGTTTTGAGGCCAAAATCCATGACCTGCGGGAACAGATGATGAACCACAGCATGAGCTCTGGGTCGGGATCACTGCGAACCAATCAAAAGAGATCGCTCTATGTGAGGTTGGTCTTGTTTGGATTTTACCCTAGTTTTGGATGCTCCGAAAAATTCAGTAAATGAAAAGTCCATCCCCCAAATGTCTTCCATATGATGTCTGTGCCAATTTATTCCAGGCACCATGGTAAAATGATATGAGTACTGTCTTTTTAAAGACAAAGGTTTAATTTGTACTTTTCGTACAGATGACTGAGAAAAATTATTTCTTTATGTGGACTGAACACACACATACATGTTACTGGAAAACCAGGTTTGAGATCTGTAACTGAAACAGAAGAACATGTCTTATTATAGCAACCCTCATGGACCAACAGTCACTTTTCTCTCTGACCTGGTAAAGCTGTGCTTCTAGTTTCTCTTTGCCCAATTAGAAAGGACCTCCATGGAGGAATTAGAGTGAAATATTAGGAAACTCTAATCCTGATAATCCTGATATCTTTCACTAAACAGAGCACTGTTTGATTATGAGAAGGCAAAGGACAGCGGCCTCCCCAGCCAAGGGCTCAGCTTCAGGTACGGGGACATCCTCCACGTCATCAATGCCTCTGATGACGAATGGTGGCAGGCCCGCCGTGTGACCCCGCATGGGGACAGTGAGGAGATGGGTGTCATCCCCAGCAAGAGACGGTAAGCAGCGGAGAGAAATCTGTTTCTGCTGGAGCCTGTCAATGATTTGGGAGAACAATATTGATTGTGCTAAAAGAGGAACAGCCATTAGTCAATGAGGCGGCAGTGCCTTTTGATTATTATTAATGATATTTCTCAACCGACTCAAACATTGTTTATTCAGAGAAAGAAGGACTAAGGGAGTTTCTGTAGTGTCTTTGGAGGCACAAAAATAATGATTTTAAAAAGAAGAAACATATAAACATACGCCCTTATCCATTACTAGGAAGTTGCATAAGAAATCCAATTCCTGAACTGGATAAAAAAAAAAACTAAAAACTTTTATTGCAGTTTTAATGTCAAAAGGCTGTATGTACACCGCATTCCAAATTATTATGCAAATTATATTTTTCTCAGATTTTCCTAAATAGTCGATGCAAATGACAGTCAGTTTAATTTTCAAGTCAACCGTTAGGGTATAATTCAAATTTTATTAAACAAATCTCCTAATGATAACAGATTTTTTTTTTTAAATAAAAAAACTCAAAATGCACTGTTCCAAATTATTATGCACAACAGAGATCAAAACATTTTAAAGGTTGTGAAGAGAACTAAAATGGTAATTTGTTGAATTTGCAGCATCAGGAGATCATATTTACAGAAATCAAAAGCTATTTCAATCAAAAAAATCTTAACAGGCCAAGTTACATGTTAACATAGGACCCCTTCTTTGATATCACCTTCACAATTCTTGGATCCATTCAACTTGTGACTTGTTGGAGAGTTTCTGCTTGAATATCTTTGCAGGATGTCAGAACAGCCTCCCAGAGCTGCTGTTTTGATGTGAACTGCCTCCCACCCTCAGATCTTTTGCTTGAGGATGCTCCAAAGGTTCTCAATAGGGTTGAGGTCAGAGGAAGATGGGGCCACACCGTGAGTTTCTCTCCTTTTATGCCCATAGCAGCCAATGACACAGAGGTATTCTTTGCAGCATGAGATGGTGCATTGTCATGCATGAAGATAATTTTGCTACGGAACGCACGGTTCTTCTTTTTGTACCACGGAAGAAAGTGGTCAGTCAGAAACTCTACATACTTTGCAGAGGTATTTTTCACACCGTCAGGGACCCTAAATGGACCTACCAGCTCTCTCCCCATGATTCCAGCCCAAAACATGATCCCGCCATCTCCTTGCTGACGTCGCAGCCTTGTGACCATTCACCAGCCATCCACTACTCCATCCATCTGGACCATCCAGGGTTGCACGGCACTCATCAGTAAACAACATGGTTTGAAAATTAGTCTTCATATATTTCTGAGCCCACTGCAACCGTTTCTGCTTGTGAGCATTGTTTAGGGGGTGGCCGAATAATAGGTTTATGCACACTTGCAAACCTTTGGTGGATCCTACACCTTGAGGTTTGCGGGACTCCAGAGGCACCAGCGGCTTCAAATACCTGTTTGCTGCTTTTCAGTGGCATTTTAGCAGCTGCTCTTCTAATCCTACGAATTTGTCTGGCAGAAACCTTCCTCATTATGCCTTTATCTGCACGAACCCGTTTGTGCTCTGAATCAGCCACAAATCTCTTCACAGTACGATGATCATGCTTAAATTTTCTTGAAATATCCAATGTTTTCCTACCTTGTCCAGGGTATTGCACTATTTCACGCTTTTCGGCAGCAGAGAGATCCTTTTTTTTCCCCATATTGCTTGAAACCTGTGGCCTGCTTAATAATGTGGAACATCCTTCTTATGTAGTTTTCCTTTGATTGGGCCCACCTGGAAAACTAATTATCACAGGTGTCTGAGATTGATTTCAATGATCCAAAGAGCCCTGAGACACAATACCATCCATGAGTTTAATTGAAAAACTAAAAATTAAATGTTTATGACACTTAAATCCATTGTGCATAATAATTTGGAATGCGGTGTACTGCTAGATGGCGTGGGGAAATGTTATCAAGATGTATACTCGGGTGGTCCCCTTTAGGCCACATAAAACAGAAGTATAGGCTGGAATTGGGACACTGATATCCTACACACTGGTCCTTTTAAGGTGCAAGCACATATTTAGTGCGCACACATATTAGACACTCATTAACAACATATTGATATTCCTCTATTCATTCCATTCAGATAAGCAAGAACCTGTTGGGGGCCAGCCTGAAATTCTAGGCAGCTGGTCTGTGCATACATAGTTTGCAGTGATGCCTGTGGAGAATAGAAATTTTAAGACACTTAGAGCGTCAGACTTGTCCTCACCTGGGGTAGCCAAAACTTTCTGTAGCTGAGCGTGTTGTCAGCGTGAGTAATTTAATTTCCTCTCTTTGGTTAATGGCTGGCATGTCTCTTTGCTTGGCAGGGTGGAGAGGAAAGAGCGGGCACGTCTAAAGACTGTGAAATTCAACGCCAAGCCTGGGTCATTTGATTCTAAAGGGGTAAGTGCCTTTATGAGTGATGCAAAGTGACAATTTAAATGGCTGCATTATTTTAATGATTCATAGAGTAGCTCAGATACAGCTGTGAACTTTTATAAGTCTTTCCAGTGATTGTCACCAGATGTAACTGTGTCATATGTCTCACCATAGTTTGTTATCCATTCATAAGTTAGTCTGAAAGTAAAGACTGCATTTATTCAGTAGAACACATCAGCCAGTTTCATTATGTGTGTGTTTCTTCATTTACACGTCCATCAAAGACACCACTACTGTGATAGCCCCAAATGTATATCGTGAAATGACAGAAAATAGCAACTTTTAGGGCTCTTGGGGGATAAAATAAATAAATAAAAAATATATATATATCTATACATATATACACACACACATATCTATACATCTATATATATATATGTGTGTGTGTGTGTGTGTGTGTGTGTGTAAGAGTTGGGCTTGTATGTTCTGTCATTGATTTTTACCTTCCAATTGACTCTTCCTAAGTCCCACCCATTTTGGAACCTCGGTCAACTTCCTCCTTTCCTGTACGTAGATATGCTATGTGCTAGACTCTATGTCAAAAAGAAACATTCTGAAGATGGTTAATGTGATTTTTCAACATAGACAGCCTAGCACATAGCATATCTACGTACAGGAAAGGAGGAAGTTGACTGAGGTTCTGACCGAGGCTTGCTCATCTGTTGATGGAGCACACAGCAAAAAAAGGGGTTGAACTTAGGAAGGGTCATTAATCAGACTTTCTGAGATAGTACATTTGATACTTTTAACTACAGGTCTCACTTTTAAGACAGATATTAAAAATGCTAGTATATTCTACCAACTTTTAAGCTAAAACCACTATACCACATGACCCTCCACATGGAGCCCTTACTGTATCTGTACAAATATCACACAAATATTACACATTAACAGCAGAACTGATGATGAAGACGGCATATTCACTATTTGAAGTCAATTTGGAGTTCCATCTTTTCTTTTCATCACTGCATGTGTTTTTTGTGTGTTAATGACAATCTTTACTTTGACTAAACCCCAGTTATGTAACTTATCTCATAGCATGATCTCTGTAACTTTTTTCTCACCTTGCTTTTACTTTAAATGTCTCGGTGCAACTGTGGCACATCAAGAAGTACTGAGATCTACAGTATTATTCCCCCAAATGGAAATAAATGAAAAAGTTTAATTCTTACACTTGGAGACAATGGGGCTCTATGTAGACAAGTGTTTGGGGGGGGGTTAGCTTATAGTATCAACATAGAATCTACTCTGATATGTTATATCAAATTATTAACAGTTTTTCATTTTTGATGAATGTTTCATCATAATCCTTTAACCTCATGGACAATATGTAATTCGACTAAAGACTAGCAGCCACTGCTATTGTGGTTCTGTAAAATATAGAGGAAAAAGTGCTAGGTCAGGACATAATCTATGATGCACATTTTTACAACTGGAGCATGTAAGAATGTTTTTGTCAGAGCCACAGGAAGCCACTGAAGAGCTGCATGTAGCTCCAGGGCCACAGGCTGCCTACCCCTGGTCTACACTGATGAGCCATAACATTATGAGCACTGACTGGTGAAGTGAATAACACTGATTATCTGGTTATCATGACTCCTGTCAGTGGGTGGGATATATTAGGCAGCAAGTGAACATTATGTCCTCAAAATTGATGTTAGAAGGAAAAATGGGCAGCGTGAGGATCTGAGCGACTTTGACAAAGGCCAAAACTGTAGCTTGTGGGGTGTTCCTGGTCTGCAGAGGTCAGTACCTATCAAAAGTGCTCCAAGGAAGGAAAAGAACCAGAGACAGGGTGATGGGTGGCCAAGGCTCATTGATGCACGTGGGGAGTGAAGGCTGGCTCGTGTGGTCTGATCCAACAGACGAGCTACTGTAGCTCAAACTGCTGAAACAGTTAATGCTGGTTCTGATAGAAAGGGGTCAGAACACACAGTGCAGAGCAGTCTGTTGGTCTGGGGCTGCAGAACATTAGGACCACCAGGTGCCCAGGGGGGCACGATGTTATGGCTGATCGGTGTATGTTTATCGACATTTTAATGTGGAAATGTTACATATTATAGCTTTAATTGTTTAGTCTGTAACAGGTTGCATTGTCTCCTTTTGTCAGACCAAGAGTCCAAAACCTAAAGTTATTACAATTACAATAATATAACATATATCATAATATAATTATATGAAACAGAAAAGCTTGATGAAATACTTGATAATGAATCAGTTAAATTGTCAAAATCACTGACTGAATCTGGGAGGAACAGATCTTCACTTTTTACTGTAAGAACTTCTTGACGTCCCACTTTGTGCAAGCAGTTGTTTGTCTGCATGACTGTGACAGATATACCTGTTTGCCCCATGCTTTCTCTCCCTTCACAGTCATTCAATGACAAACGTAAAAAGAATTTCATCTTTACACGAAAGTTCCCGTTCTACAAGAATAAAGAGGGTGAGCAGGATGGCAGTGATTCAGACCGTAAGTAAGCTCACAGACACACTTACATGCAAGAGTGAGTGTAGGTCCACACGTAGGGCTGACGGGGGGCATTCACAGGTGTATTCCCGGTGCGGAGGCTTCATGGAGGCCTTTCCTGTTTCCTCTCATGATCATTTCCTGTCGTCTTTGTTTTCTTTCTGTGGGGTCACAGTCAGATATTCTGGCTCAGATGCCGATCAGTCAGCAGGAGAGAGGCCAAGTTGCCGCTGTTCATTTTTGTGTGCTACGTCCCCATATGGTGATATTTTGTGACCCAGTTTCGCTTCAGAGATCATTTAGGTTCAAGCCGCCTGCGTGTTATCATGTAGTATTTGGCTCCCCCTGCTGGCTGCTCAGTGTCAGATCTGTGGGCCCACAGCTCCCACCTTTCACTGCCTCCAACCTTCTGCTTACGTTGAGGCTGTCCTCCTTCCTCTCTCTTTTCTGCTCTGGCTCTCTTTGGACGGCCAATAGGACATCCTGGGGATAGGTGATGATGGGTATGGGACAAAGACCTTCAGTAAGTTGGCCCAGGAATGGTTCTTGATCTGTGCCCCCAAACCCCCCGTCCACTGTTGACTGTTGCATGCTGCATTTGTTGGATTTGTCTTGTTTCTCAGTTTGCAGTGTGCTAATCTCTGTCATAAGAGCTGAAGCTCAGTGATGGCATTTAGGGGGTGACATGAACATTACATGTTTTTTTCAATCTTATATTTATTGGATAAATAAAAGTCATGTATTTCTTCTTTTTCATTTAATGTGATCTTTTAACCGAGACAGTCATTTAAACATAGTCAGAAGTGGATTATATCTTTTGTTTTCTTATGGTATGGTATTAATGATATTAAATCATGTCCTTTTATAGACTTATTGTGAGGGCTCCGGCCTGTAAAGATGCGGTGTCAGGCAGTCACATGCACAGGCACTACTGGCTAGCTGCAGGGTTTTCACATTCCGCTTAATGAGAGATTCCTCCCAAACTTATATTTGCATGCTGAACAGACATAACGTGTTTTATATAACTGCACCCCGTACTGATGTTGATTACGTTTGATGCATGTTTGCATGACACTAGCACTAACAACTAAAATGCCTTTGCCTTTTCTTATGAGCATGTCAGTTTGAAGTAGAATTTTTTTTTGTTTGCTTTGTTAGTTATGTTGTAATGTGTTGTTTACTGTTGGTGTAGACATTTTAGACATACCTTCATATTGATTCAAGTGAAGAATTCATTTGGAACAAAGAGCCCTTACCTGCGAGCAGCGTTATCATCATTAAGATTTTCTTGTGCAGGTGAAATACTTCAGGGAATCCCTTTTTATTTAAAAGCTGCAGTAGGTAACTAGTAGGTAAAATAACTTTTTGTCATATTAGCTGAAACTTTCACTATATCCCGACAGTCCCACATGGGACAGATATTGTGTTAAGAACCAGGTTCCTCTGGCTCGTTCTAGTACTCCTAATGGTATTTGCAAGAATCCACCAAGTCAGTAATTGACGACAGGAGCACGTCCACACTTTTTTCGACTGGGATGGCACAATTCATGCAATTCCAACACTGTTTATGGACCCCCAGTATGAAATATTCAAATACATAAACAAATAAATATACTGCATGCAAAAGACTGCCTGGGATTAGCATAAATTGGGCATATCTGTAAAGGGGAGAATTGTGGGTACCAATAGAACTGATTTTTTTTCAGATATCTTGAGGTCAGAGGTCAAGAGATCTCTTTGAAAATGATTGCCAACATTTTCCCTAACTTTATCCCCCTTCCCGACATGCTAGCATGAGCACAGCATATTGGTACCACTATCTACAGCCTCTGAAAGACTCAGTGGCAGAGATAAGGATAATGCGGGACTTAGGGGGGCTCAGATTCCCATCCCAGGCCCCTCCCCTGAACACGCCCCTTTTGTTTTTTTGTTTTTTTTAAGTTACCTACTGCAGCTGTTTTGTCATGTTTTCTGTATCTGTCACATGATGCAGAGGGTTGTTTCTTACAAGTTCTTCAAATAACCTAATGTCTCTTTGAAACCACATTAAATACACTTAACATCATGAGCTGAGATAGAGCATCACTCTTGCCAACATTATGTACAGTAAAGAAACACATCAAGTATATGATTCAAATCACCATGCTTTACTAACTTTTTTGCCATGTATCTGTAATTCCCAGATTAAGTTTTAAATGGATGATATTTTGGTTAATGATTTGGTTCAGTTTGTAATGTGACCGTTCACCATGTGATTCATTTATGTAGCATTAACTGTATACATGCCTTTTGGTGTCCCAGGACCAGAGAAGTCAGTAAGATAGACCAGAAATAACAGAGACATGTTCTGTGATGTATGCTTCCATGCATGTGCATGTTGTTTATGTCAGTCATGAGTATTTTTCCAAATAGCATACTAATATTTTTCACCACCAGGGAGTCAAGAGGACGTGATTCTCTCATATGAGCCAGTGCTGCGGCAAGAAAGTAAGTTGTCACTTCCCACTAAATGCGTCCTCAAAGGCAGCACTCAGCATGTGAATCACAGTGTATTAATGCATTTGGATCTTTAAAACACTTCAGTGTAATGGAGGAAATTTAACAAAACTTAAGCTGTGCTCTGGGCTTTATGTCGTCTGTGATTAGTAACTCCAGGTAGGGAACATTTCTCAATTAAACACTGATGGACCCTTGCAGTAATTTGCATTTCAGTTTGGCGGCGTGGCTCTGCTCATGTCATTCTTCGGAGCAAAGCATCGTCTACATACATGTTTGGATGACGTATGGAACATGTGACTATATATTTTTTAATTTTATTTTTATTTAATTGGCCACATTCATTCTGCAGGCCAAAGTCTGATTTTATTGCTCATATGTGACTCAGATCCGATTTTTTCATGACTGTGTGAACAGCACAAATCACATGGGATCTGATCTTTTCAGTTCAGATTTGGGCCACTGTCATATGTGGTCCAAATCAGATACAGGTCTGATTTTTTGCAATGTGGCCTCAGTGTGAACAGTGTGAATCAGAATTCATGTGACTTTTACATCACTCTAGACATTCATCATATGGGTCAGGAGCTGGAATCTGATATGGGCCACATTAAAAAAAAATAATGTGCCAAACAAACAAAACAAATTTGAAAAAAATTGAGTGCTGAGGCTTGCAGTGTGAATATAGCAACTGCATCGCTTTTCCAAGAGATACCTGTGAACAAGAAACATTCACAGAAACATAATCCACAAACAAAAACAGCACATAATAAACAAGGAATAAATAAAAATAGTCACAAGCACCACAAAAAACACCAAAACAATACTACTCCATTTACTTGAAGATAACAATGAAAAGACTATATCTGAATCAACGTCAACTATCCTTAATAATCTTACTATATATTTTTATGTTCTATTTTATATTTGAACTTTAAACTATTTAAATATACACACATTAGTTGTGTCACGTTGTTTAACAAATGCAATGTTTGTCTTTTAATAACCTGATTTTTTTAGCCACTTTAGTGTTTTAGGAATTGCAATGATCATGATCACCCACAGTAACTGTTGCTATCAAATGGCAAAATGACACTTCCTATTGGCTAGTATTCCACATTTAAATGCAATACATTTTCATATATATTATCTGAATCCCACCAATCACGCCAAAGATTGCATTTTAGTTTTTTCAGTTTGTAGTTTGCTTTTATCACAGACAGTAAAGAGCCAGCGCTCAATAATAGGGGTGGCTGTGGCTCAGAGGCAGAGCGGGTCATCCCCTAATTGGAAGGTTGGTGGTTCGATCCCGCCACATGTCCCGCCACATGTCTAAGCATCCTTGAGCAAGAAACTGAACCCCAAATTGCTCCTGATGCTGTGCATCACTGAGTGAATGTTAATGAATGTGTTAGTTTCTGTTCAATGGACTTTGCCATCACTGAGTGAATGTATGTGAAAGGGTGAATTTGGCACGTAGTGTAAAAGCGCTTTGAGTGGTCAGAAAACTAGAAAGGCGCTATATAAGTACAGGTCCATTTACCACTATCATCCATATCTTGTTATGCATACTTTTTATTCTTATACCTGTTATATAGATAGACACATACACACATACATGTATCTTGTAATGCACCTTTGCACCCAAACAAAAACAAAGCTCCCCAGCACACACAACACAAGAAAAGTTACCTTTACAACAGGGGTCTCAAACTTATATTGGCTTGGGGCCACTGTCGCTATTGCCATCTCATAGGAGGGCCACTTCAGTGTTCAAGTACAACAAGAATGTGCAACATTCTGAAAATATTTCCATTACTAACATCATTCTTAACAAAAAAAAATGCAACAGCAGGTTCTATACATTTTTATATTCTCTTCTTATCAACCGTATTTATGCATTCGCGAACATCTTTGACCTTTGTCGTTATTTTGTGCCAAACTAAATACATGTTTTAAAATATAATTAGAAAATAATAAAAAATAATCTTGGGGGCCAAATTATATAATGTTTTTCTAAATTATGTCACAAGCCTGAGGGAGGGGGATGGAGGACCAGAAATGGGCCCTAGGCCAGCAGTTTGAGCTCAAACTTTTATCAGGCTCTCCAGGAAAATATCAGGCTCTCCTTTATGACCAACGTTAAAATACAGCAGCGTATGCCGACCCAGTTCAGCTACAGACAGCTCACACAGGAGGCAGCTTTATTCCTAATAAGATTATTTATTGTTAACCGTTGTTGAATCCTTACCGGAACCGGTTCAAGAACCAGAGCCAATCTGGTGGAAAAGGGGTCCTCCTGGTCCACACTTCTCTTTCCAAAAGTTCCTGTTTGGAGCCACGATTGTTTTTGAGCCATTCATTTTACCTCCGTTGATTATCTTACCATCACATTTAAGCTCCGAACTAATCATGGATGTATGCATGTGCTACGTTCATGAACGTAAATATGTAGCAGGCTGATATTGAAACACAATATTACAGAAAATGCAATGTGTATTTTAAATTACATTTCAGTGATCTCATATTTAATTTACATAACAAACAGTGTTGCTAAAGTGTTGTCTTTTAAGAAAAGTCAGTGTTTGTTTTTCCTTCCAGTTAATTATGCCAGACCCGTCATAATCCTGGGACCAATGAAGGACAGAATCAATGATGATCTTATATCAGAGTTCCCAGACAAGTTTGGGTCTTGTGTGCCACGTAAGTAGTTAATGTGTTAAGTTACAGGTTGTATTCATGATAGTCCATAACAGCTGTAGCATGACGTGATGAGAGTGAAATGGTAAAATCATTGTCTTTGTTTATTGATGTGTTTACCTGCTTACTCATCATATCCATGATCATATCCACCATGGAGTTTTAAGTTTCCCCCCCAAGCATCACCCACTGATCCTTTGTTCTGTTTAAATCACTGATAGCTGTTGGTCTATGGGAGATTCTAAAATGCCTGAATGAAAACAAATACACAAACACAAACACAGTGCGTGGCAGCCCTTCAAGATTACAGATATTGTTATTTATAATGACATTTTCTTGTATTGAGCACCAAACAATGCCAATGGAGTAAGCCAATTTTGCTTGGCTAGAATTCTTAAAACTAGCATAAAACTCTAACCTCTGAATACTGTAATGGACCTTAAAACTAGAAAACAATGCCAAAAATATAAGCAAGTTGTGCTTATTACAAGCAATTAAAACTCAGTTATTTAAGATAGACTTAAGGTCACTTTAATGAGCTGAATGTAAGAATGTGTCCCTTAATCTAATTCTATCTTTCAATAGACTTTGTCTTAAATGAAGGCACCAGAAGCATTCTTATTTTTAGCGTTTCTTATTGAAACAATGACAAACCAAACAGCGGCTTCATTTCCAACACTGGGACTAGACTACTTTTTCTTAAACTGAGAAGTTGTGCAAAATAATGCCTCCTAAAATAAGGAAAATAATCCTTTTCCTCTGCTGGCATATTATGCAAACCATTGTTGAAACTTGTTAAATCTAGCTCAGTATTAGCTGTGATATCTTAATAAGACAAAAAATTTTTTTCTTTTTAGAGAAGACTTTTTCCCCCAGAAACAAGGCTTTCTTGAGTAAATCATGTCAGTGTTACAGTGCAAAAAATAAAGTGAATAAAGAATCTCACTATAAAGTACGAATAGCAAGTATGTAAACCCTATCAGATCACTATTGGGATATTATAGGAATATTATACAGGCTCTGAAATCTTCCAGTGAACTTGTGCTCCAGTTGTTTTTTAGTTTTTTATGTGTACTAACTACTTTTTTTTTTTTTACTTTTGTAAATCAAATCCTGATAATATAACATCTCCTGCCGCCTTCATGAAATATATTAATGGGTAACAAATTTCATATTTAGGCTTGTTCTTTCCATGCAGATAGAATGGGAAATGAATCCGCCACTTAATGAAGTGAGATTCTAAGACAGGAAATGTGTCCACCTCATTCTCAAGTGTTGGTAAATATTAGTTTGTGTGGATGCTGAAATTAACAGATCACCTTCTGTTAAACGGCGATGAGGTTCATGAATTCAGTAGACAACCCACACACCACTGTGAAACTGTAGGCTCTAGTCTCGTCCACACAGAGTGAAGGGCCTGATTTATGGCTAAATGAAACCTTTTTCTCTAATACCATGAGCCCAGCCCCATATTGACTCATCCTGACAGGATCATCCCACTCCTCTGTGCATTGTGTAATGTGTTCTTCATCAGGTCAAAGCAGTTTTTAATTTTGCATGTTTTGATTTACTCATCTCTTTTATTTCAATGTACCTTTTAAACCATATAAAGCTGCCAACAGTTCAGGGCACCAAGGTAAGTGAGCGGATCAGCTGAGTTTATTCTTCATCCCTTTATTTACAAAGTGAGTCTTGAAGTAATTTGTCCCCATAAAAACTTTACTCCTTCTGTCCTTTTAGAAGTACTGTTTGTGTAGAATCCGTTTGAGTGGTTAGTGTTAATGTACATATATTAGTTTGAAACAGATAATAGTACACTTACTACCTTTGTAGAAGCATTCATTATCAGCCATCTTCTTTAAAGGTATCCAGTGAAATTTGCTCAAAAGCTTTCAAGCACATTGTATGCTAACAGTGTTCAATTGTGAATTCATTATCAACATTCTGGTTTTTGTAGCACATTTGCCCTCCAAGTATTTGCTAATTAATAAAATAACACAGTTTTTTTACACTCAGCAAAACATGACGTGACAACATTGTATGTCCTGTTTCCCTACTTGCTTTTTTGTGCAAATTTCATGACAAGCACATGTGTTCGTGGATAACTTGAAGGTACATTTAGTTTATTTGCCAAAACCATTTGACCAAACTCTGTTTGCCACTTAGTCAGGATTGGTAGGATTTCTTTTTTTTTACAGCACAGAACAGCAGGGTGCTGCCCTATATAAAGAAATGCAACAGTAATGCCATTGTTTTTGTGATGTAAGACAGGTTTTATTGGTACTATCAATATCTGCATGGTTTGTGCTAATTACAACAAGGTATCCAAAAATAATCTGATGATAATGTACAGTGTTAATGGTTATATATACACAAAATTCATTAGCCACTATTTGTCGCACTAGAGCACTAGAATCTTGGACCAAAACAATGTGTGTTACAACCCACCGTCATTTTACCTAGCAGATAACCATAAAAAACACACACACACAGAAACAAAATAAAACTAACCAAAATTAGTTAGTCTTTCCAACAATCGCCTTTTGTTAACCAGAAACAGCCGTAATATCGTCACCAGACCCCATAGGCAAAAACTGTAATTTGTAAAAGTGGACAGAAACAAACTCAAACTCGCCAGAATTGTCTTTGTTAGTCTTTCCACTGTTCCAACAATCACCAACTCTGGTTTGGTGGAAATAAATCCTTCATTCACCGACGTAGATGATAAAAACAGCAGTTTCAGTCGGAGCAGACCGGCTATGGAAACAAACACAGAGAGGCTGTGATACAACACAGGCAGAGGGAGAGAGACACCATGACTCCACTATATCTTTACATAGAGAACAGTTGTTTGCTAATTTAATTATGTTTAAAATCTCATATAATATATCCTTTAATATTTCCTTTAAGAGCATTGCTGTGTGTTTTATGGACCTGAGTGAGATCTGCTGTGAGAATTAAAAAGGAAATGTAGAAAATGTCTGCTGTGTAAGTTTTAAAGGGCTTGTTGTCCTCCTTCCACCAAAGATACCACCCGGCCGAAGAGAGACTACGAGGTGGACGGGCGAGACTACCACTTTGTGATGTCCAGAGAGCAGATGGAGAAGGACATCCAAGAGCACAAGTTCATTGAGGCAGGACAGTACAATGATAATCTGTATGGAACAAGCGTCCAATCTGTAAAATATGTGGCTGAAAGGGTGAGACTCTTTACTTGTTTCTAAAAGCTATATGTTAGATAGATAGAAATGTAAATACTTTATTTATCCCCGAAGGGAAATTATAATAGATGCACCACAGACAAGTAATAGAAAAGCTATAATGTCGTAGATGTTGTTTTGGATATATTTACACCATATGACATTTATTTTAATTTGCATTGTGCAGCTTTATATCATAACCTGAGGTACATCTCTTGTAATTTCATGCCTGTCTCAGGGTAAACACTGTATCCTGGATGTGTCTGGAAATGCCATCAAACGACTACAAGTAGCACAACTCTATCCCATTGCCATCTTCATAAAACCTAAGTCTATTGATTCATTAATGTGAGTATTAATTTAGTCTTTTATTACAGTACTTATTTTTTTAATTCTATAATCTTCCACTAGCCTGTATGTTTCCTGTACATTAATAATCGCCTAAATTGTCCTTGTACCTACGTAAAAACTACATTATAACTTGCTTATAAATGTAAGAATAAAGTGTTAGTTGTAATTGGTTCACAGTTCTCATAAGCTGAAATAAAACTAAAGACAGAATCATGTTTATGTGATGCTTTGTGTCCTTTGTGTGCAGGGACATGAATAAGAGACTGACAGAAGAGCAAGCCAAGAAGACATTTGACAGGGCTTTGAAGCTGGAGCAGGAGTTTGGTGAATTCTTCACAGGTATGATGTTCATAAAAGCACAAAGCAAAAGAATCCTCTCTGTCTCTCACTGCAGTATACAAGCACACTGATAAAACACACTGCTGATTAAAAGGCTCTCCTTCCAGCCTACCACAGTACAAAAGGACTGCATGCACAGGGTCTGAAATGATCAGGATTAATGGAGAGACATTTTTTCTTGAGCCCAATCCAGACTTACTGGACTAATGATGAACTAACTCCTGCAGTTATATAATGAACAATGTTAGTGTGATGTGTCACTTCTGTAAGATAGTCAACAGTAGGGCATGGGAGGATTTTAACTTACAATGACTGTAATAATGGATTTTATTGAATTTCTTCAATTTAATTTAATCTATGGATTTTTTTTGTTTAGATTGCATGTGTAAAAATTAAAATATATAATATTTGTTTTATATTAGTGGTAGGATCCTGCATTTCTTAACTCGAACGAAGGGGTCCACTGGGTCTTTTTTTACTCTACCATAAGAAGTCATAAAATCCTATACATGGGGGCTTTAAAGTGGCAATGTTGAGGATTATATTTTCAATAAATATCTGTTAAGCCACTATTAACAAATTAGGTAACAGGGAACTGGGGGACTGTCAGAAGCCTTCTAGCTCCCACCTGTGGTGCTTCTTAACCAACTCTGAAAATGTTTGAGCATATTTTTGATTCACCATAATTTTTGTAAAATGGCCAATATTCAAAATCTACACAGTGGATTTCTCACTTGTAATGTTCTCAGAAGTGAATTTAGAGGTGAAATAGCGTACCAAAATAGTAAAAAACTGTATAGAGCCGTCTGCCTCGGCCATTGACCAGGCGGCTGTGGCTCAGAGACAGAGTGGGTCGTCCACTAATCGGAAGGGTGTTGGTTTGATCCCCGGCTCCTCCCGCCACATATCGAAGTGTCCTTGAGCAAGATACTGAACCCCAAATTGCTCCCAATGCCATGCATCAGTGTGTGAATGTGTATGAATGAGTTCTGTTTGATGGACTTCGCCATCACTGAGTGAATGTGTGTGAAAGGGTGAATGTGGCACGTAGTGTAAAAGCGCTTTGAGTGGTCGGAAGACTAGAAAGGCGCTATACAAGTACAGGTCTATTTACCATTTACCAGTCAGAAAAAACGCAATGCATTATGGGGCGGTTGAGTATGTGCAGTAAGCTCACGCAGCATGCTCAGAAATTCAAGCTAACCTAATATACATCTGGGCATTTCTTGCATACACAAAATTCACATACTGTGCAGTTGGAACACATTACATACTCAATTTAGTATTGAGTATAGTGTATACTATGTGAAAATATAGTTATAGTGTATAGAATGTGTAAAATGTAGTTAATAAATACATTTATTCTGGCCATTCAAATGAATGCAAAAACCATGAATGACGTCATGGACAGACAGCATCCCCAACTGACTGACTTCAAGTGCCAGTTTGTAATACTGCAAATATATAAATATTACAATACTTTCATCAGTGGGCCATGGGCTCATTGACCAATAGATAGTGACTTAACAGACATTTACTTAAATTAAAATCTTTCAGATTGCCACTTTTTACATTTGACAGCTGTGAGGCTTCCTGATTCAAAAGTTGCATGTGTGACTGTCATGATTTAAATGTGATGTCTCAGTGTTTCATAGTACATAAAGAGTTCCCTTTGCTTTGCAGCCCTGGTTCAAGGAGACACCTTAGAGGACATTTATAACTACTGCAAACAGGTCATAGAGGAACATTCAGGACCCTATATCTGGATCCCCTCAAAGGAGAAACTATAATAACTCATCACCCTGGAAGGGAGTCTGGACTGCTAGAAACTAGTAATAAGTTGTAACATATGATAACTGTGTGGCGATGATTAGTCTTCATAAATAACTATTGTGAATATATTTTGGGTTTTTTTTATCTTATTTTCTCGTATGTTTGGTTATTGCTTCATTTTTTTCACTCAACATGAATGTTCCTGAATGTATACCACAAAGTGTTAGGAAATTTTAGGTCTTGAGACATGAATCGTTTGTATATTTGTTGATTTTTAATTTGAACAAAGAGAAAACAAATAATGTAATGAAAACTGAATAAATATGGGGTGTGTGTGTCCACATCAGTGCTGTGCTGAATCGCAGACAGTAAACTGTTGTTGGCATACACAGAGTTCTCTGCTCCTCTAACATAGGAAGGAAAGTAGGTATTCCAGCTGCGACACCATTTCCCTCCCCCTCCCCTCACCCTGCGGCAAATAATCATATGAAGTTTGATGTTTTATCTGATTTTGCATCCCCTGAACACAGCTTCACTTTGTGTTTGTTTACATTGTCGTTTCTTCCTTGAATTGCTGTAATTATTTCTCTGACATTGAGGATGTGTGAGGAACATGTATTATTCACTGTAAGATTTCCATGTGTTTTTTTTTATTTAAAAGCAGACATTGCTCATCCAGCTGTTGCATTGACAATGATGAGAAAAAGAGAGAAAGCTGCTATCGGCAACAGAGATGTAACACTATATTTTGCTACTTAAACTGCTAGAGGGCACAAAAGCACAGAATTATTTATTATTGAAAATATAACTTTGATTAAAAGGTCATTTACAGAGCATATTTTATGTGAGTGATGTAGTATGTTGTGACTGTGTTAGGGTGGATGGTGAAAGAGACATTTGATGTTTGTATTTTGTAGACTTGGAGTGGAGGCGTGGTCTAAGTAGTGATTAAATTTATACTGAACACACATTTCTGTCTTTTGAAACTAATAGTAGGGACAGTGAAGAATAGAAATACAAAATAAAAGACCAATACTTTTTGAAATTATAAAAAATACCTTGTAGAAAATGAAAGTAAAGTAAATGCAGAAATTGCAAAAAATGCAGTTCAGTTAAACATTATGGAGTCGTTAAGGATTAAACAAAAGGTGAGTTTTCCTACTTTACCTTGAAGAGAATACTGATTCAGATGGCTTGTTCTCCTCGGACAGGCTGTTCCAATCCTAATGAGAAAGGTTTGATGATAATGATTGGATTTATAGCTTGTGGCCCTAGGCTGCAGCAGAGGAATAGTGAAACAAAGTGGAAATTCTGTACTAAAAAGACCTAGAAAGATGCCCAGTTGCCCCATGTCTAACTCAGACTGCGGGATTTTGCCCCCCATCATTTACACTAAGTTCATTAGGACAGGATCTCTTAATGTCCGGTCTGAACAGGAGGAACAGCAAGAAGAACCTGTTTCATATGGGCACCTGACAAGAGAGACAGACTTGAAAAAATGTCTTTAATTGTTAGATATGAAAATGTAAAAACTCAAACATACTGATTATGGACACAATGTACAGTGTTAGTCATTGGTGAGCCTAAAACACTTATATTGACTCTCAGGTGGATCTCCTGCTCCTTGTTCAAACAGAACGCTGTTTTAAAGGTCCAGTGTGTAACATTTAGGAGGATCTATCGTCAGAAATACAATATTATATTCATAGGTATGTTTTAATTTGTGTGTAATCACCTGAAAATAAGAATCATTGTGTTTTTGTTACCTTAGAATGAGCTGTTTTTATCTACAGAGGGAGCGGGTCCTTTCTGGCAGAGTTCGCCATGTTGACCCGCCATGTTTCTACAGTAGACCAGAATGGACAAACCAAACACTGGCTATAAATTGGTCTGTTTTTTTAGGCTCACCCATAAGTTAGCATTGCCCTGGCTCCTTTGACACAAAACCAATAGGATGTTTTGCGATTTTTAGATTTTGGATTTTTGCAAAAGAGAAAAAAGCTCTGTGGCAAACAAAGGTTACCTACACATTGTTCAGCAACATGACTTACAGTGTATGATTTTTGAAGCATAAATGCCATCTCTAGAATGGCTGTAAAGGCGTACAAGTGAGTAGATAAGTCTGTGTTTTAGTGTCACCAACAACCTCTGTAGTCTCATGTAGCCACTTGTTAGCAACCGCCTTTTTTAAGTCACGTAAAAGCTACAAAATTAACAGGTGGAGTATTTACTGACATATTTTATTGCTAGTGTTATAATGCACAGAACTTCTGGGTCTGAGAGGTGAAGCAAATGCATAAGTGTCTTAAACCTGCATTGTTTCTAATGGCCAGCAGGGGGCAGCTCCATTAGCTTAAAAAAAAAGTCTGATTGTATGGAGTCTTATGCAGAAATGAGCCGACTTCTCACTTGTTTTATGAGCTCAGTAAACAGTTTCCTAATGAGTGTATGGTCTCAATCTCTAGTTTCAGTCTTCTTCGATACAGCATCATGTTCATTTAGTAAATGATGGTCCCATTTAGAGTAAAATAGATGATAAAGCAGGGTATTGTTTAGGGCGTGCCTTCCTTATGATTGACAGGTCATTCTCAGTGAGTCCGTCCAGCTCAACGCACCAAACTCAGATCAAACTGTCAAACTAGGCAGTGCTGATCAAAAATAAATCAAGATTCTGTTACTGTGTTGTATCTCTCTCCTCATTTGTCAGACGCATATTTTAGTGTACTGATACAATGTGTCACCAGGCGAGCCACCATTGTTTCCTGCTACAGATGAGTTGAAACCAAGCGCAGCCAGTGATAGCAGCTCAACTTGCTGTACGTCACCTCCGTTGGCTCAGAAAAACCCAACATGGCGACAACCATGAAACTCTAGGCTTCAAAATGCTAAAATACCAATGGGTGACATCATGATTGGTTCGCACTTGTGTTAACCACAGACCTAATTTCAGCTCACTAACCAAAAACCCATTCAAAAAACGGAGGTGCAAAAATAGTATTTCAGTTTAGGAGCAGTGCTCCATACAAATGATTGCAAATTGAAACTACACCTCTAGATGCCACGAAATCCTACACACTGGTCCTTTAAAGCTACAGTCATGGCTGACCTCTAGGACCTCTGGCTGACCTCTAATCCTTGCCGGACCCCTTTTAACTTACAGATCTGGTTTAAAAACACCTTTAAATGTTCAGCAGAACACCTGACAGGACAACAAGGACCATCCTGAATCAGCCAGGAGACCTGGATGAAGCTTTCTCAGTATTTATTAGCCTAGAGTTTAGTTTTAGGAGTGGATGAGCTCTGATGTCCTGAGCAGACACACGATACAATATAATCCACTATGTATAGTTTACTCACCAGTGGCTTGCCTTGTTTCAAAGGGCATACAATATAGTACCTCGCTTTGTTAAAAATAAAAATCCATTATGTACTTAAAGCACTTGGAATGACTAATGCATCTACCAGTGTGATAACCTTCCTGTTCTGTCTAACTGCAACGCCATTGGTCGTTAGATTCCCATGACTACAATTTTTGAGTGATATATATTCGAGTATTCCTGCTGTTTGATTTAGACAGCATGTTTCACCCCAACCTCTGATCCAGTAAATATAGTAGTTACATTAATGCAGGTATGTTTCTAATCAATAGGACGTTTCAAAAGTGCACTTATTCATTGTTTTTGGTAAACAGGCACTGTATGATAACAGTAATTAATACAGTTTTTAAAGCAATTATAAATCAAATCCACTGATTATTGTGTAAGATGGCACAGTGAAACCTGAGAAAACTGACTGGTGGACCACGTACTGTAGGCCTACCTGTAGTAGCTTAAAACATTTCTCCTAATGAGTGTGTACCTTGAAGACGATGTTTTTATGTACAGATAGAATCATATTTCTCTTTCATCCCTTGTCATAGATCGGTTGAGACTTTTTCAGCTCTGAATCAACTCTAATGTTTCCTTTTTCTATTTGCGATATGTTTTGAGACATCTGCCGTCATTCTTTTGCAAATTTTTCCATAACGTATTGGTCACCACTTGCCTTAACAGAGAAGGTTTACTGTATATCAGAAATTAAAGCTTATAAATGTACCTTTCGTTTGAAAATAGAATATTTTATTGAATCTTCCTTCACATTTAACTCCAGTGAAAGAAGGCTGAATCAGATCTAAGGTAAAAGTCATTATACTGAGGGTGTTGATGCCTTGTACTGATAAAGTTAAAGGCTTAACAGATCTTTTATATTATGTAATTTTATCTTACAAATGAGCGTTTCTGTGGCAAAAAGATTTTAAAATGGTTATGATGAGATCAATATTTTGACCACTGTTTTTCAAAAGTGTTACTGGCCAGCAATATGACCAGATGTAAAAGAAAATATATCTTCATACGCTGGCTCGATACTAATGCTAAACCTAATACAGTACTTCCAAAGTCATTGTGAGCATTGTAACACGTGATATTTTACAGGCCGGTGGGGATTTTTGTGTGGAAATGTAAAGGATGTCTGACCTATGCATGTTGCAACAGTCTTCTGTTTCCTGTGGATGTGCAATATTCAACGCAACTGAAGCATTGGGGTATCTGCTGTGTTATAAGACATGATCAAACTACAGATTTGAATCATTTAATCAGACTTGTGTCTATTTTAAACTTAAATAAAAACACTGTTGTAAGAGGTGTTGTCCAAGAAATATGTTTTGGTAAATACACATTGCCTTTTCAATCAGTAGTAAATTCATGATTTATGATCGACGTTTCCTGTTTCCGTTCAACAATATTTTTAGTATTGTTCTCTTCCTGGGTTAATATTGCATTGACATTGTGTCCATATTCAGGGGTTGCATCTTTAGAAGAACACTGCCCATGAAGGTGCATCCTTCATTAATCAGGGTGTCCACAGGGTCTTAAAAAATCCAATAACCTGAATCTGTCTCATGTACTACTGTCAGGATATAGTGAAAGTTTCAGAAAAAACCTTACAGCAGCTTTAAATTAATAACTACAAAACAAAACCAATGTGGAGGCAATACAGAGTTTCCTTCATATGCTTTGTGTTTGTTTTTTTATCAATATAGATGTAGGTCTTAAATTGCATTCATAATAATCTTAAAAAGGTTTGTTAAAGTCTTAAATGTATCGCGTTGAAACGTGCAGAAACCCTGATTAATGGTGGATGGTAATGGTGCTCCTCAACAATAAGGTGGTCCAACTGGAACCAGCCTGGTTTAACCTGTGATGACAGAGTGGACTTAATGGCTTCCATTATTTGCATCCTACAGTGCACTGGCTTTTCCACTGGTCTAGTTACCAGTGACTGATAAATACAGTAAGATCTCACATGATACTTCCTGCTTCATTAGTTGGTGACGTTCGCCTGAACATTCCATTAAACAGCAGACCTGCATGGAGATTTAGTTGGGATTTGGAGGACAAAATGATTGTGTCCTTCAAATTTTATGGGAATTAAAGCTGCATTCCCTCCCTAGTTGTGGAGGAGAAACTGGTCAGGCCACAAGGTTGGGCTAAAGTTGCCTGAGCAACAGCCCATTTGCCCTCCGTGCCTGAGCTGCCCCGTGCAGGTTGTGCCTGCATAAATATGACTAGCCCCTACTTAAAGTTAGACCAATCTAAATCACCATGTCATCCAAATTTTTTAACTTTTAGATAAGCATGTCTTCTACTGTGTCCCAACACAGAGCTGGAAAAACAACAAAAAACCATGATGCTAAGCGATAAAGTGATGACCTTTGTCCCCTGTCTTGTGACATTATAGCATATCAACAATGAGTGTCAGTCCGAGGTTGTCAATTACCGACGCTTTGGTACAGAAGCGTATTGCATTCACTTGTTGCATTCACACAATTATTTGTGTTTTTCAGAGTAATTATTTCTGTTTTTATGAGTAATTTATTTTTTGGTCTGTTTTTCGGACTAATTTTTTTTCTGAGTTTAGAGAGCATTTGAAACAAGAGACGCATTAATTCCTTTATTGAGAGCTCGATTTAACGGAAACAAACATGAGCGGCTTGTTTAGTTCAATCAAGTTATACTTTGATCTGGGTTTCAGACACTGGGAGATAGCCCTGTCTTTAAGTCATGTAGATGGTATTATCATTAGTTTGTCGACTCTATGCAGGCACCTGAGGACTTTGTGGTTGTTCAGAAGGAAAGCCCATTCAGATCTGCTATATAGCAATATATACATAGCAAAATTGACCCGGTACGGTAGATAGTTGAAGATGGGGCATGTATGTGCGGGCAGGAGTCACCATAGGTCCATGGGAGTCACTTGCAGGTTGGAGGTTCTCGCGGGAGTTTGAAGTATCTCGATAATTCAGAAAAAACAATTACTCAGAAAAACAGAAAAAATTAATCCGATAAACAGAAAAAATTACTCCGATAAACAGAAAAAAATATAAAAAAAAACAAACCCAAAAATAAATGACTCAGAAAAATAGAAATAATTACTCCAAAAAACAGACAAAAAAAAAAAATTACTCAGAAAAGGGTTTTTTTTTTTTTTTCAAGTGAATGCAATACGCTTCCGTACTTTGGGACCAGGGACTGAGGCTCAAAAATCATGCCGTTAGGAATGCTAGAACGAGTCAGAACAGAGCCTGATTGTTTCACAGATCATCTGTCTCATGTACTACTAAAGTCAAAGTTTCAGAAAATATGACAAATTGTTATTTTTATAAAAGTTACGTACTGCAGTTTAAATGACGGATGTTTTTTTATTCTCAGTTTGCAAGCTTCAAATTAATTCCATCATTTTGTACATTGAGTCTCACATGAAATGTGGAATAACTTTTTGCAGGAAAACACTTGCTATGATCATTTCCAAAAAGGATTTGTTCAAGAAATGTTTACAAATTATCAAAAACACAAATAGTTAGGCCAAGTTTTCACATGTTCAGTTTTCATTATTGGTGGAAAGTTGACTGCACCTGAAGATAAGCTGCTCTATATGCATGTAAACCTTGGTTTTATTCAGTGTTGTTTGTAAACCTTCATGTCTGTTCAATAACAAGATGCTGTGCACTTAAGATGAAGCATATATGCCATATCTGATTTACACATTTGACTGTTGGTGTTGTTTTGGAGTGATGGACATACAGGACACACTTACACTTACATACATTTACATTTACTTCTCAACAGCTGATTACGTTTTTTTATATAGATGTTTTTTTTCTGACATTTTCATTTATTTAAGTTTATGAACATGGAGAACATGGAAGTTGTGTTTGCATTATGCTACTGTATGCACATCTGTTTGCTTTAATGACCTACTTAAGAGCATCGCTGTATGTATTTATATATAAATACTTACAGAGATACATATATCCAGTATATATACACATTATTACAGCAACCATCGTTTCAAAAGGAAATTAAAAAGGGTGATAGTTTTGGCTGTGTGTCTTATTGTTTGTTTTGCTCTGTTTGGGGTTTGTGTTCATGTGTGCATAAGAGGTAATAGGTAAGGTACCACACGCATAATTATCGGTGCCAACGTGGAATATCTGTGTTTACACTGGACAGAGTAATACCATCTGGCACAACTGTGTCTTTGTGTGTACTAGGATACATTAGCTTACACAAGGAGCCTGAAGGTGTGTGTAGTAATCCAACGTCTTCCTTATGACAACAGTCAGTATGTATACAAAATATACATTGTGCAACTTGTGCAACAGCCTGTTCAACCTGACTTGTTGCTTTTTTAATGAAATAAACGTTTATATATATTTTGTTAATTTACATCATTTCTCAGTTCAACCTTTAGCGCAAACACATTTGTGCTGCGCTAAATGCATAACACATGTGTCTAATGCAGCCCAGATTAAACACCTGTTGTGCATTTAGCGCAACACAAATGTGTGTTTATTCCACTTCTTGCAGGGACTGCTCACTAATTTATACAGCATGTGTGGAGGACACCTGACACCTGACACCTGACACCTACTATAATGAACTAAAACTAAACTAAAAACTAAAACTAGGGGTGCCCTGGTAGTTCACCTGGTAGAGCTGGGTCCACATGTGCCAAGGCTGAGTCCATGCTGCAGTGGCCAGGGGGTTTGGTCTGGGTCTGATTCAGGCAGCCATCATGACCAAAGGTCTTCAATGAATGACATTTTACACATATATAAGGACCATAACAGGAAAGATTAATTAATTAATTAATTAATAATAATAAATTGAAGCAATTCATAACTGAGCAATGTGCAACTGTACTGTCTGTATTTACACACCTGCTTCCCCCAAATTAAATGTAGATGTACACATTTGAGTATTTTTTCTAATTTGATCATTATACTCACACTACACACACTCAACAGCAGATACTGTATGCCGTGTCATCACCAATCCACAAGAGGGCATAAATGTACCACTGATGAGGAGTGCACGTTTCCATCATAAAAGCAAAACATGGCTCATACTGTAGCCTGTGACCTACTGTTTCCTTAAATATTTAAACATAGCCCGTATGCTGTGTTAGTAGTAACATTCTTATGGTTCAAATGTCAGTTGTAGTTTAAAGATAAAAAAAAGCCTTACAAAACGGGTGGAGGAGTATGAAAACTGCATCAGGCTAAATTTGTTTCACCTTTTGTGTCTTTCACATTGATGTGGTAACACCACCCTGCACTCTCCAGTCCCCTGCACTCTCCAGTCCCCTGTATCCTTGCAGAGTTCAACCTGATTGACCTTTTGAGTTGCACAGTGCAGTGAACTTATCACGTGCAAGTCCAAGCAACGGAGGGAGGCCGCCAGCCAGCCAGCAAGCAATGCAGGAAAATACAATAACATTAATAGTGACCCTGTCGGAATCATACAGCAATATTCTGAATTTGTTCACAGGTTTTGGTAGAGAATTCTGCAAGCATGTTTGTAACTATGTGGGCATAGTTTTTCTTACATGCACATTTTAAATTTGTTATCTAATATAATGCAGTATAGTATGACAACATCACAATGACAATAACAGGAGTTCCATCAAAACCTGCATCTAACACCGAATATTAGATGCTTTAAAAGGTAAGACATCTTTGTCTTTATCAGTAAAAGCCACAACTTCAGCAACCACAGAGGATATATTTCTTATGGGCAGACCTATAGATATAATTTGTTGATTTATAAATATAGAGAACATGACAGGGCTTGTATAGATTTTTATTTTGGGACTCAGCTGCCATTGGTGGTTCATGTTTGACAGCACTCAAGTGCTGTGCTTAAGTACAATTTTAAGGTTCTTTCCTTGAGTATTTTATTTACGTTTTACCTTTTGTTGACTACATTGCAGAGGAAAATATTGTACCTTTAACTCCAATGCCCTTATTTAGGTGACCTCATGTGCGACACTTGTGTAGGTGTGCAGGGCTTTTAAACCCATGGATTCCAACCTTTGCGGCTTATCCCTTACAAAAAGCAGTGTTTTCTCAGGTTTAAGAGCATCAAGGCTATTTTCTCCTGGTGCTCCTGATGGCATTTGCATAATTCCACCGCGGCTGAATGAAAACAACCAATCAAAGCAAAGAAAGATGAATTAATTGTTAAGTCACATTCTCAGGTTGTGTCAGGGAAAGACAAAAAGTTATTTTAATGAAAGTTACGTATTGCAGCTTTAGGCAATAGTATCTGCTGTAATCTATTAACTGATTGTATCTTGTTTATAGGTTACACTATATAAAGTAGTTAAAACGACATGCACCTACAGCAGTAAAATACTACTTATACACTGTTGAACCATAGGAGCTACAGGTATACCACCTGTTTCACCACTGAGGGCACACCATCAAACTCAGGCTGCAGCACACCAGCATTCAATCAAATTCAAATCACCTTCTTTATCACCATGGACAGTAACCATGCAGGGAACTGTGATGGAATCTGGCTGTGTCATGACTCTGTGATTAACATTTGTTTTTAATACCTCCAAAGTCTAAGAAATTCTGAACAAATAGTGTTGAGGATAAACCAGGATCTCTGAAGCACATATACAGCCTCGTATGTATCTCTCTGCTTTGAATCAACATTAGGACACAACCATGTGAGAGAGTCCATAGACTGGAAATGTTCAGTTACACTACCCCACAAACCCCATTTCCTCTTTTCCATAAACAGTGCAACTTCATGTTCCTCTGGCAGTTGACTCTTGTCAGTTCCTGTCTTTCCTTCTTTATGTGTATTGTTGGCCATCTGCTGGTGAAGTTGTGTATCAGTGAGGTCCTGTGCTAGGCCCTGATGAAACCCCAGGTGTTACTGAAGACATTAACAGTGGCTCCGTTTTGTTCAAGTGTTCCAGTGACAGTGAGCCAGCATGAACAGGACCCTGAAACTGAAGCAGCTAAATGGAATCCAGCCATCAGTAAGGTTATTTATACCTGTCCTTTTCACATGTGTCATTTTTCATGAAACAGGCTTATGGTGCCACCATTGTTGCAGTCATTAGGTTGTGCTGGTATAAACGGCTATATTACTCTGGATTTGTGGCATTTGAATCCAGGCAAACCTCACAGCTAATCAGCACAACTGACCGTGGAGCAATCACAGTAGAGATTGTTTGGGATAAATTAATTTAAATATATCTAATTGTTCATGCTTTTTGCCATGGAGCTGAAGATGACAGGTCTGCGTTGAAAAAGGATGTTTGGATAAGTGCTATCTCAGATAACTGAGATTTTAAGATTTCACTGATCACCTTTAAAGCAATTCATATGCTGCAGACTCTTTTTATTTCTTTTCTTTGTTCCACATTACTTATTTGGTTATTTATTTAATACATGATACACTTATTTGTATTATAATTATTATACTATGATATATAATATATATACTTTTCACTGTCCTCTTGCCTTTTAATTATGTTATTCCTCTTCTCAATACCCCCACAGATACTCATGCCGTTACTGTTATGCCCACCCCGGTATTGTTTACAATGTTGTAATTGTTTTATGTTTTGTCTTGCTGTATGTTGCTTGTATGTGTATTCAGTTTAATGTCTCACAGTAATCACTTGTCACCAATGTATCATGTATATCAGTAATAAAAAATAAAAAAAAGAGCGCTAGTGTTGATTTTATAAAAGTCCCTCTGTACTCAAAAATCAGTGTGCTGTTTGAATGCTGTCTGTCCAGAGTTTGACACTAGAAGGATGTTTTCACATTCATCTGCTGAAAGTGGAAAGTTTCTCTGAGCTCATTGAACATGATTGTAAGGGGCGGGGCCTACCAGCATGATTTGTGACATCACCAATAGTTAAGAAGTCCATCCAGAAACTTGAAGCCACCAGTGCACATCCACTGAGAATGGACTTTACAGTGAAGTAGGAGACATCTTGTGTCCAGCAGCAAAACTTTAGAAATGAACATTAGATTCTGGAATTTTGAATGAGGTAGGAGTAGATTTTAGTTTTAGACTTTTTAAGGATTTTAATGTGACATGTTCCAAGAAGACTATCTGTATATACGTCTTAATGTTTGTCTTTGCATTTGTATTGTTCTAAATGTTATATATTGATTTTCCCAACAAACACAGAGCATGTTGTAACCCTGTTTTGATTATTAGTTGATTACTATTATGATTAGATCAGTCCGTGCTCTTAATGTATATTTTATTTGATGCATTTTACAATTATCTCATATTTTTAAGGATTTCAGCAGTGGCAGACTGCAGATTCTGTATTTAATTAAGTTCTGCTACCTGTGGAGAAGGTGAATGTTGAGTGTATATCATCATTGTGATCAAATAATGTATTTCTGGTATTCGCCTTCCTGAATAAGTGATACAATCAACCACCAGACTGAAGTCGCAAGGCCTGTTAACAGCTCCCCCTTACTGTCTCTTCTGAAGAAAACCATTTAAAGGCTGGACAGGCTATAGCCTAGTAGCGTTTTTAAATGGATTAAAAATACATGGAATTCCACAAGGCCAATGTAGTTCTACTACTGAATACTACTACACATACTAAGTTTAAACTGTCGTAATTTCGTATTGTTTCGGCCTAATTTTACCACACGTGTCCCCAACATTAAATATGAGGACGTTACACTAATCTCAAAACACTAGAATGTAACGTCGCTTCTGATTGGCGAAGCCAAGCTGTCCATCATGCGGACTGTCCACTCACATACGGCATTACATGACGGGGGTGGATGTTTTCAGTGTGTACAGTATGCTGCAAAACTGTTGATAATTTCACGGCTAAAGCTTTTAAAGAAGGTTTAAGCAGCTAGCTACTTGCTTGCTACATTGCTCCAGAAAGGTATGTACTGTTGAACGACATTTATCTGATCATTTGTGTCAGTTATCACGCGCACAAACACCCAGGAAGCTTATAACAAGTAGTCAGTCAACTGAGATAGATTGTACCCAGCGTTTAGTGGGTCGTTATCGGGTTATTCTGCTTTAGCCCGCACCTTTTCGGTGACCTTTGGCAGTCGGACAGCGCTGAAAGATAAAGTTAAGTCAGGGATGTTGTTAGCAAGTACAGGCCATTCTGGGTATGAACACTTTGCAAACCGGGGGAGGGGAGGGATATAGCTGAGATGAGAATTTTCTCCCACCGCGAGGAAAACGAAAGTGATTTTTATTACATTATATGACTGAACAAGTGTGTGTTTCTGTCGGAATCAACGCGTTACGGTGTTATTTCGGTGGCCTGAGGTCGTTGAATGTGTCGCCTTCGCCGACAGTAACATTCATCATCTAGCGAAGTGCTGCGTTTCTGTACCACTGTCACGTTAGACGGAGTGAAGAAGATGACTTCCGGTTTACGTTATGAAAATAAAAGCGTCCTCTGGAATTAATGCAGATATTGCATGCAAATACTTGTTTGAATTCCTACTAGCAGACCAGAAACATGAATGAAAAAAAAAATGTAACCTAAGGTTGGAAGTAATTATTGATATATCGAAAAACATTGTATCCCAATATTTAGTTTTGTGATATTGTATCAATTCTCAAAAACACTGTATTGATTATTTTGTTTAAACCCCCAAACACTAGATAGCAGTGTTGTAAACTTTCTTCACTCGGATTTTATGCATATGGTAGTGTGCTCTTTATACTTTCTTCAACAAATAACTTCATCAATGAATATTTAAGTTAATTATTAGGATGCACAGTAATTATCAGGACTGATGCATTTTCGGCCCATAACGAGAAAACTTGAATTATTATTAATTATTCTGATAATTAAATTACATCTGATAAATGATCGGTCCATAACAATAATTATAATTTATTTTGTGTTCTGAGAAAGCCAGAGTATGTTTGTGAAGTTTTCTGGTTGAACTTTAGTAGAAAAAATGAACAAGCATTTTAAATCATCTATATTTACTCTTGACATCTTACCCTTTCTTCCCCTCAGATGTGTAATAGCTACAGGTTATACACTTTTTCAAATATAAAAATGTGAAATTATCAGTTATCTTATTGGTATTGGCCACGAGAAGCAGATATTTTTTGGCTAAAAATAATGCATATCGTACATCCCTATCAAATATTTTTTAACATGTTAAATAATTTAATATATACATTGTCCACTGTTTGTGAGGACGCAGTGGTCCGCCAGGGTTTGCTACAGTGTTGCTACCATGTGACATAAATTTCGTCCTCAGAGGGTGTATGTGTAGGCTCTCTGCGAACATCTGCGTACCACCAATTTGTTGTGACCACACAGTTTTTATTGGCGCATATACTGATTGGTCATGATAGGCCAATATAGTCAAATCAAATATCAAGTACAATAGGTAAGTACAATATCAATATCAGCGAGCCAAGTATTAGTAGTACCGTAGTACTTTTATTGTACTTTACTCTTCTCTACTATTTGCCCTACATTTACCCTGTGTGGCTGTGTCAAACTTGAATTTCTCCCACGGAGGATCAATAAAGGAGCATCTTATCTCAGTACTGGTCTCTGGGCATGCAATGAAGCTGTCGTGGGTTAATTGCAACTTTCTGTCTAGGGTTCCTCAAATGTTAATCTGACCATAATTATACCATTATATTCTGGCCATAGTTGGTATAAACTGTTGACAACATTAATATCTTATTCTATTTTATCTTAATTTTGTTTTTGTTTTTTTACAATCCTATTTATTGGTATTTTTTATGTTGTTGTTAGTCATATATCTTTAATGTCTTCTGTAAAGCTCTTTGAATTAATTCAGTGGTTCACAACCTGGGGACTAGGGACCCAAAGGGGTCTTTGAGGGTGTCCCTCAGAACAAAATGGAAAATATTTTAATTTCACTCTTATTTCATTGACCAGAAGTTAGCCCAATGAGAGAATGTATAAGAATGACTGACACTGTTCATGTGCCAATCTACAGGAGACAGTTATGGCATAACTTACTCTTATCAGACAGGGATCTCTGGCCCCCAATGTGGGGGTCCTTGACACCAAAAAGGTTGAGAACCACTGTTCTAATGAATCAGAATCACTTTTATTGGCCAGGTATGTGTACACATTCAAGGAATTTGACTCGGGTTTAAGTTGCTCAAATAGGACAACAAGCTCAACAAAATAGACCAACTACTAATTATAGATATGTGTACATATACAAAGCAGCAATAACATATGTTGAAAGCAAGACAATAGTACAGTGTTAAGGATGCTAGAATATATATTTTTGTGCAGAATGTTTTTATGTACATGAGGTAGGTGGCTATGACAGTATATACAATGTGCACAGCATGCATATATGTGATATTTGATGATGATATTTATAGATAGATATTTTAAAAACTGAATTTCAGCAATATCAAATAATTTACAGGTACAGTGGATGTTTGAGCCACAGGGGTTGTTCCTGACACTGTGTGATGGCCTGTGGGTAAAAATGTAAAGCTTTTTAAAAACTTTTTTTCATGATTGCTGAAATGTTGTGTCCTGACAGTAGTAAATGAGACAGATAATATGTGAAATAATCGGGTTCCTCTGGCTAATCCTAGGGCTCCTAATGACATTTGCAAAAATCCACCCGGCATGGACGAAAACAACCGATCAGAGCCGAGAAAGATATAAAGATGCTTTGGGCTGGCAGTTTGAAGATAGTTGATTGTTCAGTCTCATTCCCAGGGTCCCAAATGGACCTGCATTTGCCCTGGGAATGAGAGGAAGCTGATTTATTCACAGATTATTTGTCTTGTGTACTACTGTCTCACTATAATGTAAGTTTCAGAAAATAAGACAAACTTCTTCTAATTAAAATTACCTACTGCAGCTTTAATGTATAATAACCATCATATTATAGCTCAAAGACACTGATATATAATAAACTACCAATGTTTGCCAGACGTGGAGGAATACCAGCTGCTACCTCCAGTTACACTCATTTGATAGACTTGGAGCTTCGAGATTTTATTTTGGTGAAAATTCGCTCTACGTCCGGTTTCCGCGCGTCTAATTCGGACGGACTTGCCGCCACTGTGCCGAGTACAGCCAGTGCTGAACTGTTATGATGTGTCAATAAGTTAAAAAGGTGGACGGCACCAATGATGAGAGGCCCCCCCCGGTACCTGAGCGGGATATTAGAGGTATGTTTAGACACCAAGGAGGCGTTCATGACAGAGAACTTGTGCTTTTATCGGTGTTCCGTTGAAACCCGGTCGCTATTTTCTCAACCTCTCAGTCAGTCACTCTGAAAAATTGTTATTATCGCTGCTGTGGACATGATGTCCGCCTGCTGGCTTTCCCCTTTTCAATTTGTTTGTTTCCCATCGACATTTCATTGATAACCGGCGCTACAGACCGCATATTGTTGTCACTGTTGGTGTATCGCTTCTGTATTTCTTCCCTCCTGTTTGAATTGGCCGTGTTAAATACATGGAAAGCAACTGTTCCTCAGTGAGGTGGTATGACCCCCCTCCTCCTCCTCCTCCTCTTCCTATCCGCATCAAACACACAGCCACAAACCTGCGTTGTATGTACGCGAACAGTAGCAACAGCACGAACAAGTCTTTCTAATGGCAGTATAGTGTGTGAGTTTTGTCAGCAACTATTCGAGAAGCTTTGGAAACCATCGCATGTTAAAACCGTGACACGTCCAGTTAGCAGCTAGCAAGCTAACTAGCTACTTTTATTCCTAGTAACGCTGCTAGAAAATGGAGCTACTGCCCAGCAAAACACTGGCCACAGATGCATGTGCCTGGACAGAAAATCCCCAGTTTAATTAACCAGTGTGGATGTTTTCCCCCTCGGAGTGGGAGACGACATTGTCATCGGAGAGTTTGACAGGAGTGAAATATCCCCCCAATACTGTACTGCACTTGGGTTTTCTCCTCCAAACCGAAGCAAGATGGACTCTCATTCGGCTTGTCTGTCTTGTCAGAGCTCAGATCGACATTTTGCACGGAGATGAAAATGTGTGCTCAGAGGCAGGAGCACGTTAGGTAGGCAAACTGGTGGTTTATTCGCACAGCTCGGACATTTTTATGCTGTTATTGTTTGTGAGAAGCTCGGTACAGTAGCTCAAGACTTCACTCCCGAGACAGACAGACAGACCGATCGGGCATCAGCAGTTTTACCTGAGAGCACAACTAAACCTCTGCGCAGCAAAATGCTCACTGCAACTGTGCCTGCTTCATTTAGGTTGTATAATGCTGTATGAAATGCATCCAGTGGTCTCAGGGTTTTGGCCTACATGTTTTGGTTTTGTCCACAAGGGCGGATCGACTGTGCGATTGAAGTGATCGGTAATCAGATCAGACAAAATGTCCCACCGTACTTTGAAGCCGATGGGGTCTTGTGCTATGCAGTATCACTCACTTAAATGTTCTATTAAAGTTGCTTTGTGAACATTTTCTTCCCGAGCTCACGCCGTTGGAAAATTGTTGCAGAGATGACAGTGTAACGCATGACTGAGAGCGGTGTCTTGTATTTTATAGGTCACCGTCATTGCATGACAAAGGCTGTGGCAGATTCATCTTCATCACTCATACAGCATTTCCATAGTTTTTTCTTCAGTAAGTATCCCGTTTTTTCCACTCGACATCCATAAATGCAAACATTGGCACTACAGCATAGAGCCATTAAATCATTCATTCATTGATTGCTAAGTTCATTTGTGTCATGTTTAGAACACGTGCAAACTTTTAGAAATAAAAATGAAAACATACAAATGCTTAATTATGAATGTTGAGTGTAGAACATTAAAATGTACTGCAGCTAATAGTAATTGAACATGTCTAGCATAGGGTGCATCTTTTTTAGGGATGCCTGATATGGATTTTTTTCAGCCGATATGATAACCAATAATTACCTGCTTCCCATTATTAATTATTTCTTTAATTTTTGTATTTCAAATTTCATAACCTGTATTTGTGCACACTTGAGGGCAAAATGACCCCCGCAAAGTGTCAAATGCAGGTACATTTTGGGTTTGATGGAAAATGAAATTGAGGTCACCGGCCAGTAAATCATGTGGCAGCGTAGTGCCAGGTTTACATCACTGTGTTTTATGTATATCAGCTGAGACTAATGCGATGATATGCCATATTATTGCTTATTGCAATAAAAAACACATACTAATTGTGAATATCCTCACATGGCTTAACTTGAAAAAGCCTGTCACCATGGCTGAAGGCTTGTCTTGCCTGTTGTATCCCCCACAAAAAAACAAGTTAAACTGTGTGTGGAAATGGTATAGATTCCAAAATAAAGACTAGGGATGAGGTGTCTCTCTGTGATGCCATAAATATGGGTTTTTTAACAAAATGTAAGGTGAAGTGATATTTTTTTTGTGACATTTTAGGTATATTTTCCACAATAATGTGTAATGTAATTATTTCAGCCAAGATAATAGTGACATGAGAATCTAAAATCGTCCCATGCTTACGCCGTACCTTTCATGATATGAGCAAATCAAATTAAAGGACCTAATACTCATTGGCACCTTCTACACCAGCGGTTCTCTCAACCAGGGTCCTTGAGGGGGTTCCAAGGGATCCCCCCCAAAAATGGGAATTATTTTAATTCACTATTATGTCATTGACCAGAAGTTAACCCAGTGATAGAATGTATAAGGATCACTATTCTGTTCAGGTTACACACTCTTCACTGTTAATCTGCTTATCTACAGCATAGACAGTTAAGGAATAATTACATTTTATCAGACAGGGATCCCTAAGACTATATGATCAAATACAGGTCTGGTATCAATTTGAGGGTCCTTGACACCAAACTATTTGAGAACCACTGTTCTATACAATGTCTGTCTTTGTTTTTGCTGTGAGAAATAACATTATCATAATTTTTTAGAGATGTAGCGACACATGAAACATTGCCTCCGAAATATGGCACAGGATCAAGTCAAGGAAGTATTTCACTTATAAATCACTTTATGTAACCATTGAATTGATGGCCTGCAGCAGTTTTTGAGGTCTGTGGCTAACTTTCTGTTGTGACTTTGTTGCAGTTATCGTTTTTTGCAATGAAAACTTGCCAAGGACAGCTCTAAGAAAGTCTGTTAGTGATCTTGTGCAGCTCTTGTAGTGACCAATATCAGAGAGGAGCTTGTTGCCCATTGGTCAAAACAATGTTATTTTCTCCATATTTTTTTGGTCAGTTTCAAATCATCAGTCGTGGAATGTTTTCTTCCCTCTTGTAGGGTCACTCACAACTGTAATGGAGGTTGTGTACTTTTCATTTCAAGTGATGCAACATGGAATGAACTAACTATTTTCTTACTCATAGAACAATGTAAAAACAAAGTTGTGGGCTGTCACTCCCTACTTGCTGCCTAGTGCACTACTCTCACCATCCACCATTTTATTTGAGAGTCCAAATTCTTAGCATAAAATGTATACTTAACAATTCTCACAATGCAACAAAAAAAATGCAATGTCCCCGGCACACTTGGTCCACTTGTTTTTGGGAACAGTCCCACAGTGTCATCAAGCCTATTTGTTAGATGTGAAAGTTCCAGTGCTGTGACACTTCACCTGTTGGTGATGATGCAAACTGATGTTTGATGATTTCACTGTTAGCTGCTCAGTGGTGTTGTATGAAAACCACAAGCTTAAAATAGAGGACAGTTCAGGAGTCTACTCCTACTTTATGACAGTGATTAAACATACACATCACAGTTTTACTGAATATCTAACAGTCCAATTAGGGGATGACCTAATTTTTTTTTTAACTGATTAGGAAACAACAAATCTTTTCCATCACTTGATGAGGTACCATCCCAACAAACGCACCATTGTGTTGTTTCATTAAGTAGGGCTGTACAATTAATTGCAATATTATCAAAACATGAATACCTGATCCTAATGGCAGATACTGATAAGATCATTTCACATTTTTGTATTTGAAAAAGTTCATAACCTGTAGTTTTCACACACCTGAGGGTAAGAAAGGTGGAGGTGTAATGATTAAAGATGGATGATTTAATATTCTATAGCTCTGCTCTAACCAAATCTAACTGATCTCACTATTGTAAACACCAAGGCTGCACAATTAATAGAAATATTATCAAAATCACGACCTGTCAATGGCAAAAGCTGCAGTTTGTTTGATATAGGTAAAATGTGACAAACAGCATTATAATGAAGTACTGTAGTTCTGCAGAGATGCCCAGGTCTACAAATATTGTTCTCCATATTTAAGAAAATGAGTTTGTTTGGTACAGACCCCCAACAATCTATTTCAGTGAAAATTAAATTTGTGGTGTGAATCTAGTGTGCCAGTACAAATAAATCTTAATGTTTATATATGTTTGTCTTAACTTTGGGGACACTAGCTTGTGTCATGAATTCCCATGATCCTTCTGCTTACATATGTTTTTTTAAAATTTTGATAAAACATTTTTGATTTGACCCCAACTTCATTTAAGATGGCCACTCCAAACTTAGCACAACACATATTATGAATCTGTTACATGGTCTATTTTAAAATTCAACCTAATTCTGCCATAGAGAAAAGATAAATGAAGTTATTTTGTTCTTTCTCTGATATTAAAGGGTGGTATTGTTTACGTGTTTTGTTGAAATGTTGGAGATTTACCCAAACTGCATTGAGCATCTGTTGCCTGCAGCTCTATGTCTTATTGGCTCATTTTGAATTTACATTCTTTAAGCATTTTACTTGGAAATATTCCAGACTGGTCCTCCGATAAAGTGTCAAAAATGTCCCAGATCCTGGTGACTGCATCCGTTCCTCTTGTAGCTGTGTGTGTAGGAAAATAAGCCATAGATGAAAATAATTAGAATTGTCCTTGATTGTAATGCTTTCTTTGCAATCGCAGTGAGACATTCTGGACGAAGGCTGCAACAAACAATTATTTTCATTATCAGTTATTGTGCTTAGTTGTTTGGTCCATAAGTCAGTGTTTACCAAAGCCCAAGGTGACGTCCTCATATGCAAATATTGAGTTTACTGTCACAGGATTAAAGAAAATTTAATATATTTACACCTGAGAAGCTTGACTGAGAGAATTTGGACATTTCTTCTTAAAAAATGTCTCAAAATGATGAATTGTTTCAAATTATTTTATATATTTATCAAAGTAGTTTGCGATTATTTCAATAGTTGACTCATCTACTAACTGTTTAATGTAACTTAATACTGATTGGTATCAGTACTTCTCATTGGTATTTAAGTGCTGTTCTGTGACCTTGTAGACCATGATATGATAGTGGGTGGTACCTAACTCAATATCTAAGTCACTACTAAGTCCAGCAGCTATAAATGACCATCCTTTGCAGCCCTGTTTCATGTTACTCATGGGTCCCACAGTAGGGGGGATTCCTCCAAGGCAAGTTAAGGGAGAAAATTAGCATAGTAAATTAAGGCTAATGAAATGATGGTCAGTGGGGGGATAATGTGGCTTCATCACTTTCTCCCTTGCTCATGTTAAATTAAACCAAATATAGACAGTAGCTGCAGTTCAGAGGTTTAAAGAGACCTTTAGCATGAAATCAAGCCCTCTGAGAAGGGACAAGCCCCTAGTTTAGTACTTATCATTTATTTTACTACAGCGGGAAGCCAGTGACTTACACAAGTAAAACTCGTTTTGCTAATTATTTTTGATAATGCTGTCAGTTTTAAAAAACATTTTAGACTGCAATTACCTATTAATTATTTATCAACATCTTTTGAAAATATGGCCTTCAGGAGAGTTCCAGCAGGATCGGTTTCTGTGTCTCCCTGTTTCCTCCGACAGTTTTCTATCACTGTCAGTTGATTGTTCACATTTACCCACATTTTTATGTTCTAAAAGTGGGTGCTTGTGTTTCCCATGTTTTCTTTTTACTTTTTATTTCATTTCAACGCCAAATATTTGTGTATGTATTAGGACTGCACAATTAATCGCAATATTATTGAAATCGCAACTTGGCCAAGTGCAATTTAATTTTTTGATAAGGGTAAAATATGTGACAAACAGCATAATAATGATATGTTGTAGTTCTGAAGAGATGCACTGGTCTACAAATGATGGTCTACAGATGTTTGTTTGCCACAGAGCCCAACAAATTTCAGTGAAAATTACATTTGTAATGCAAAAATGATCATTCCCACTAATCGCAAATCTGTCAAAATAATTGCAACATGATGTATTTTGCCATATTGTGAAGCTTTAGTAAGTAAGTAGTTTTAATTTGATTTAAAATTAAATTTCATTAATTCAGCATTATTTATATTTATTGTTCATCATTTCTGCTATAACAGTGTTAAATAAGATACACATTATTATAAAACAGTAACTAATTTAAAAAATCAAAAGATTTATACTATAAACATACTTATGTACATAATGCAACTTTAATCTAGTTTCCTGTCATAAGAGTTGTTTTCTGTTATACTAAAGGAGTAAATACTCAAACCACAGCAGAATTTTATTTTTGAATGTTTTTAGTTGACTGGCTATTTGTGTACCACCATCAGGCAAGGTAAATGGTACAGATTTTGGAATATGAAATGCTTTACATATATGTTATGTTATAAGACTAAGGGCATCTATCTTACAGTAGGTGTTCATACAACTTAAGTTTGTCACACTCCCCAGCAGTGAAAAAACTATGAAACTATGTGGAGAAATGAAAAGACGGTAGACACAATCAAGCCCCAGGGAAGAACGCCAGGCTTTGAAGCCAATTTAACATAGTGGTCAAACAGTTTAATGATCATGTCACGTGATGCACACTGGCCAAAGATACTTTTTAAAAAATAAGCTCGAATTGTGAAAGAGGCAGCGTCACAATCCCTGTGAATGACCCATTTCACTACCAGAATTTGATCCATTCAGTCAACAACATTTTAAAAAACCTAGAAGAGGTGCACGATAAAATCATTTTATCCGCATTCAAGTTAGCGGAGGGCTAAAGTGAACGTTAGCAGCTTGGCCAGCAGAAGTCTCTAGTGCTCTTGCTCTACACAATGCGGAAATTCTGGGTAGTTTTGTACTAGGAATTCAAACGTACTTCTTGCACTACTGAGCAGCTTCCACAGAAATGAACAGAGCACTGTCTCCAGTGCTGTATCTACTTCACCTTCAGTACATCCATGGGTCCAATCCACAGTGGAAAGAGTTCAAAAATTAGGCCTTTAGGTACAGTGAAAATGTGATTACTAATATTTTATTAAATTCCATACCTATTTTGCAAACCTGCTTACCAGTAGTTACCATGACACTTGCAATCACAAACCTACAACACTCGCTGTTTTGGTGTCAGATATCTCTGCTTCCATTAGATAACACAACAAGTGCATGCTTTCACTGTGCATGTTGTGTATAGATGTAGTCTTATGTTATGCCCAGTCTGATGTTTTTTTTTTAGGTGCGGTAGTACCATGAAGGGTGGAGGAAGGGGTAAGGAGCCACCTGTTGCAGGGGAGGTCACTGGCAAGCGCCCCAAACGTAAATGCCTGCAGTGGCACCCACTTCTCTCCAAAAAGGCTCTCGATTTTTCTGAGGAGGAAGAAGAAGAGGATGAAGAGGAGCTGGAGAAAGTGAGTGTGTTTTATGGCTTGACAGGGCCTTTAATCATCTCTGTCCATGAACTGAACAGTTTATCACATAAATGGGATGGAAAACATAGCATCTGACAGTTTATGGATGTTTTATCAGCAGCCAGTGCTGTGTGGCCAGGAGCAGGGCTCGCAGGTGCAATGTGGAAGCACAACAGAGGAAGTAGAGGAGGACTCGAATGAACAGCGGGCAAGGCGGCCTATGAATGCCTTCCTCCTCTTCTGCAAACGCCACCGTTCCCTGGTGCGACAGGAACACCCTCGCCTGGACAACCGTGGGGCCACCAAGATCTTGGCCGACTGGTGGGCTGTGTTGGAGCCCAAAGAGAAGCAGAAATACACAGATATGGCCAAGGAGGTGAGACTGCTCTCTTGCACCTGTACTAATATTATTTATTTACTTGTATAACAGTTGCATCAAAGTGACTAAATTCACTTAAGAGCTGGTGCCTCCTAGATTGTCTAAAAAGAGTTATTACTGGTGTAGTAAAGCATTGTTTTTGACTTATGGAGCTATTCCATCTTAATATCATATAGTAGCAAAGAAAGGTATACAAAAAGGGGTTAGGCAGAGAGGCAGAAGACCAAAGGTCAGGCAGGGGGTCGTGCAGGCCGAAAAACGGCTGGAGGGCTAAGACATAAACCCACCTGTTATAACCAATTGGGCTATTCAATCAGAGCGTTCTGCGTCGCGGAGCACTGTGGCCGGCTTGCGACCTGCTGCAATAGTTTCAGTGTCTGTTCTGCTAGTTTCTGTAACGCAGGTGAATTTGGCAAGACAACACACTGATTATTTGTTATAAAGAATATAAATTATGTACAGTAGGATATCAATGATCTGATTCTGAGATATCATGAAATATGCATCCCATACGTGCTTGTCTGGCACAGTACAGCACTGCCCAACACAGTCAGACCAAGAGCCACACTGCCCAGCAGAGTAGAAAGAATGCACTGCAAACTGCATCTCAACTTTACATTACTGTTTAATACTGACATCAGTCTTGGAGATAAGTTTACCTGATTTCTGTTCCCACAAATCATCCTCTCATTAAAGTTGTAAACACTGACACCCGTGGGGCCCTTGCATGATTTACAGGGCCCTGAGCAGCTTGCGTATTGAGCGTTTAGGGCAGACTATGATTCCATGTATTTGTTTGTTGTGTCTAAACAGAGAGTTAGAGACAAGCAGACACACACACAGTGTCAAGTTGTAAAAAAGCAATGTCACAATTTCCCCATTCCAACCACAATTCAGCAAAATTTGATTGTCATTTTAATTTGTAAGTGCTGCTATTTTTTACTTGAATGTTTGTTTGTATATTATGTTGTTGTTGACTGTCTGCCATTTTTGTTAAACGTCTGTTCTGAATCAGAAGATGATCTGAAGTTTATGTTCTATGTAATGCTGCAAAGATATGGAATGAAAAAATGAAAAAAGAGTGTTCATGACATGAACGCACTACTTTTTGCTGACATTTCCACAATACAGTTCATCACATCTGATCTAAACTCCCCATATAATGGACACTACTATTACTATATGGGCAGGAGTGAATGAGGGAGTGATTTCATACACAGTTAAATGACAGCTGATGTGTTGTTTGTTTATGTTGCCAGGCCACTGTCAATCAAATCTGATCAAACCACACCCACACAGTCCCAGTGAAGCAGATTAGCTGAATATCTGACTGTTCATAAATGTTTTTTCCTCAAGTTTAATTTTGATTCTGTCCAATTTTGTCATCAGTGTTTAATGTTGAATATATGAGAAATACTTTAATTTAGATGTGAGGATTTTAAAGTTTATCTTGTAACCAAATTGATTCTGGATGTTCTTCCAGTACAAGGATGCGTTTATGAAGGCAAACCCAGGCTACAAGTGGTGTCCCACCACCAGCAAACCAGTTAAGAGTCCTTCCTGTCAGCCTGTCAGCAACCCCCGCAAAAAAGTTTGGTCCTTCTCTTCCAACTCCACCAAGGACTCCACCACTGCCAAAAAAGTGCCCAAAACTGACAGCATGCCACAGTTAAACTTTGCCATGGCAGGTGTGTATAATAAAAGATGTCAGTTTAGTGACAACTTGACAAACTGTAGGATCATTTTTGTAACTTACTCTAATTCTTCTTCAGATCCTACAAAGATGGGAGGCCTTAGCATGCTGCTGTTAGCTGGGGAACATGCCCTCACAAACAGAGAGGTAGGTCACTGTTGGAGGTCACCAGAGGGTGGATTTTTGTCATCTCTAATCTCCAGTGGATGGCCTCAAAGACTAATTGCTGATGTTGGTTTATCTGTAACACAAAGACATTTATTTTTTACATGATGCTTTTTTTACTTTTTTTATTTAATAGACTGACTAACACCAGTTTTGTTTACCTTTCTAGATCCCCTCCAGCACTAAACCTAGTTTACCTGACACCGCCAGCGAAGGGAGCTCCTTTCCAGGGGATGAGGAAGAGGTGCGTTCCCTTTTCTTTATACTCTGTATATTTTAGACCAGATACTTGAAGTTGTGTTTTCACTGATGTGGTCCGACTACACAGAGACAATAAGACCTGCAGTATGTACATCACCATTTACAGTAGGGCTGCAACTAAACATGATTTTCATTATTGATTAATCTGTTGATCATTTTCTCAACTAATTGATTAATTGTTTGGTCCATAAAATGTTAGAAAATGATGAAAAATGTTGATCAGTGTTTCCCAAAGCCCAGGGCGACATCCTCAGATGTCTCGATTTGTCCACAACCCAAAGATATTCAGTTTAATGTTATAGAGGACTAAAGAAAATATTCACATTTTAGAAGCTGAAATCACAGAATTTGGACACCTTTTCTTTAAAAAATAACTCAAATCGACTAATTGATTATTAAAGTTAGTGCTTTATTTAATAGTTGATAACTTTCGATTAATTGACAAATTATTGCAGCTCTAATTTACAATTTACAGTTATATTTTAGCCAGTCCTGCACATGGTGTGTTGTAGTAACCAGTGGTAGAAAGTAACTAAGTACATAGTTAAGCACAGTTTGGAGATAGTTGAGTATTTCAGTTTTATGAAATGACAGACCCAGCAGTATATAGAGTAGTTCAAATAAGTCACACCATTACCAGTTGCAGCATTAAAGTGATGCTTACACGTTAAAGGTGCAATGGGCAGTTTAAAATAAAAATAACGTTTTGTTTATTTGCTGAAACTTCCACTACATCCTGACATTAGTACACGAGACAGATAATCTGTGAAAAAATCAGGTTCCTCTGGCTCCTCCTAGTGCTCCTGATAGCATTTACAAGAATCCACTGGGCCTGAATGAAAACAACCAATCACAGCCGATAAAAGATAGTTGCTTATTGAGTGTAGTAGTAGTAGTTGTAGATTTGATTCAAAACTGCCAGAGGACTACTGTCAGGATATAGTGAAAGTTTCAGAAAGTATGACAGAAAGTTATTTTTATAAAACTCACCTACTGCAGCTTTAATGCATCAATAATGACAATCTACTGTGTGTGTATATGTGTGACAACAAAATTTGTGCTAATAAATTGCACACTTTTCCTCAATTTTCTTCAAAGATTGAGGACTTGAATAGTGATTGGCTGAACCCAATGTAACACTGATTTGATATTTAATAACTTCTGGCAGAACTGACTTGTCTTTGCTTCCCCTGTTTCAATCCACAGATGTTGTCTGGGACAATACCGAACAGAGTGCCTGACATTACTGAAAGTAGGGTCAAGTCTGCCCTTTCCCCACTGGCAGAGGTATGACTGCATTTCAATTCATCAATGGTGTGCAAGTTATTATGACTGAATGAAAAACGATTGCTAACATACAGACAAAGGTGCTCTACAGACCTTCTCCTCTGTAGTTAAAATAGCAACAACAAAAACAACAAAAACACTAAGGGCCTGTACCACTGAGTGAGATCAGTGTGTTATCCAGCTATCTTTGGGCTTAACTCAGGTTTCTCTGTATCATGAAGCTGGCTAACTTTTAAGGGGGGACACTACAGGTAACTTATGATACTTTACACCATGATACTTCCCCAGTTAATAACATTAAGTTTTTTTTGTATTACCAGTATTCTGAAATGTTATGTTTAAATATGTAAATAAGGTATTATCTAATTAAAAATGTGCTAATTTGCACACTTCCAGAACAGAAATCTGAACATCGAGTAGAGCCAGGTTCAAAATTGTTTCATTGTGTTGGCATATTAGAGTTAAAGGTTTTTACTGAGGGAATTTGGATATCTCTTTTTATCACTCCATAAATCATCGATACAGCCATAAAACAATATCTCTTTTCACTCTAATTCCATCACTGCAGCTCAGAATAACACAAGGCCACTTTGTTGTCTTTTGTCAGAAAAATAATTCACACAATGTAACATTTCAGTCAGAAGGACCTTATCTGGGATTAACAGCTTTTCTTCTTCTCCTCTATCCTCTCTTCTCTGCTTTGGCAGCAGAAACATTATTGCATTACTTACTTACTACGACTTTTGCATAGTCATATTCATTTCTTCATCATCAGACAGAAAGAAACAATACTTACTCTATACTCAACACAAATATAATAATTCCCACACATTTAATAATTCAGACATTATTTCTACTGTTACTACTTTTTATTCTTCTCTAGTTGTGTGATCATATTGTTTCAACTTGTTTAATATAATCACATTTTGTTGCTGTAACCACATTTTCCAGTGGGTGTCACTGTTTCATGTCATTTAAGGTACCGATTTTGGGGTCAGTGAAGCCTAAAGAGATTAAACTAAACTTGCTTTGTGGTGCAGGTTTAATCTTACCCACAATAACAATAAACATGGTGAAATGTGATGTAGAAAGTAAATATTGCTGAATGAAAATAGCATCTGCAGAAACCTGAGCACATGATGTCATAAAAAACACAACAGGTATCAAAAAATTTTACTGTATGTTCACAGTCATCTCTCTCTGCGGCACCTGAAGGAAAACCATGCAGACAGTCTGCTCTCTTTCAGCTTGCTGAGGTAAGGCAGTTAACCCTCTGCACACACTGTGTGTGTGTGTGTGTGTGTGTGTGTGTGTGTGTGTGTGTGTGTGTGTGTGTGTGTGTGTGTGTGTGTGTGTGTGTGTGTGTGTTGTGAAAGTTAGTCTTTCCCAGTGTGTGAGGAATAGTTCCGTTACTGAAGTCAGCAATGAAGTGTATAGATGAGTTCAGGTTGCAGTATAATAGTGACTGAAAGGGTGTGTGTTGTGTTTGCTGCCACGGACAATAAATAAAAAATCCCTGTTGATGTAATATTATTACTGTGTCTTCTTGTAGTTTCTACAGTAGTTATCAGACTGTGAAAAGCTAGTTGATAAGTAGCTACAAGTCAGGTAAAGACAATTAAAAGTTCAACTCTGCTGTGAAGAGTACCAGACACTGTAGTAATCACATAAACACACAGCCTTTTAGTAACTGTTACACTGCCACCTGAACTTATCTACACACACTGAAAACTTCAATATGACAATATATGAGATAAAGTTTTAACCATGACATTTGCGCCCTACAGTTTTTTTTTTATCACCCATAGGAGGAATAAAACATTTAGTCATAGCAAAGCAATTATTAGAAAATTAGAATAGAAATTTCTGATCAGTTTAGAAAAAACTTTAGAAATTCAATGTAGAGATGTATTGTTGAACATAGAGCGTTGATTGTTGTTATTTTATATTCATTACTTTAACATTGAACTTTTTTGTTGTATTTGTTAAGATGTGCTTAGCGTCTGAAGCTGGAAAGATGGACACAGTCGTATCTCAGCCTGAGGACAGCTCCTCTTCAGCCTCTCTCCAGCAAACTACAGTCAAGGAGGAGCTCAAGGAAGAGAAAGCAGGCACTGACGACTGTCCTCCTTCCTCTCACACATCGGCCCTCCTACCTTTGCTTTCCTCTGTCAGTTCTACCTCCACTGATGCCATTCCCCCGCAACTCAGCAGCCAAAATGCACGTGTCAAAAACAAGAGCAAGAAAAAAGAGGTGGCCAAGGTAAATGATAACGATGACATCCCCTGTTCAGCAAAGAAGATCGTCAAGAAGTGTAACCATGCAGAGTCAAACGTGGACAGCATCTTCAGCACCATTGAGGCAGTGGCCAAAGGGGCCTGGAAGGACACAGAGGAGAAGCCCAAGAAAAAGATCCAGAGCAGTCCTACTGGTGGAAACTGTGGTGTGTCCAAAAAGAAGAGTAAGCCCAAAGTCAAGACCTTCGTCAAAGAAAAAGAGGAGGAGATGGAGGACGACAGCGGGCAGTGTGGGCAGTACACTTCCTCTGAGGTGGAGATGAAGGAGGAGATGGCTGACGTCAGTCCCAAGGCAGAATCAGAAGAAGGAAGTATAGGAAACACAGACCTCCAGGGCAGCATGGCAGAACCTCATTACTCCCCGGGCAGCGCCTCACCTGCTAAGCTCCGAGAGGAGGACAAGGGGAAGGAGAGGTCAAGCGATGGGACCTTTGAGTCCAACACAGAGAGCCGCTCCGGCTCCAGGAAATCAGAGCGGAGCTGTAAAGGCGCCTTGTACAAAACTCTTGTTTCTGAGGGAATGCTGACTTCACTGAGAGCCAATATTGACCGAGGTATCCACTTTGATTCCAGTGCAAACTGATGAATGTGTAATCCTGTCTGTGTGTGTGGTGAATGATCTTTTTCCATTGGTCTGCAGGTAAAAGAGGAGCTTTACGTGCTTCTGATCATGATGCAAACTGGAGTGACGACAGCTGGACAGTTGCGCAGATGGGACCTAATAACCCCAAGAAGCTGAAAAAGTCCAAGTCCAAAGATGAATCTTCACAGGGGTCAGTCTGTATACCTTGTATTTAACATACTAAAATCTGATGTCTGACAGTATATATTGTTTGTAAATGTACTTCAATCTGTTACTTATTCTACACAAGTCAATAATCACATTTCTTGGATTTAAAGATACACTGCTGTTCACATTTAGTTTGTTACCTTTAAGATGCCCTTTGGACAGAATTGATTTCTTCAAGAATTTATAGGAAAATTCCAGCATGTTTGAGTAATTGTGGCTATTCTAACTGTCGGTCATTGTAATTGTACTCAACACCACTTCTGTAGAGATTTGAGAAACGTGTACAAGGTCTCAGGCCTTCATCACCTCTCGTTAGGCCAAAGACATGCCAACAATTATGGTTACGATAACAACTCTGAATGCCTAATTGACAGTAAATATATTAATTAATAATAGTATTAAGTGAAATATCTTAACAAGCCTGCTGGTGATGAAAGGTTTTCCTGCAGGATATTCTTCTACACAGAAACAGATCCTTTATTTTACCAGTGGTTAAACTTAGACAGCTCCGAGCAGATCTTGGCAAACTAGAAAGTAAGCTGTCCATGGGCAGGTCATTTAACGCTACGCAGTCCGGGCTGGAATAACAAGTTAGTGTTGTGTACGAAAACCGGATTTTATTTTCAGTGCACACACTGAGAGTAAAGCTAGCGCACCGTGAGGAGATATTCACTGAGTTTGAAAAAAAATTTGTAATGGATTTGAATCGCATGACCTAGAATTGCTTACCCCACCTTTTAAACAGTCAACTGAGTAACATTTGGAATTGAAATAGAAACTATGCCACCCAGTAGTAATTGTGTGGAGTGGGCGTCTCACTTTAGTAAAGTGAGGAGAAAGGTAGTTCTGACGCTTTCACCGTTTCCCCTGCAGGACTAGGGCCAGACCTACTTAACAGCTCTCTGTAGGGAAATGTACTGTATAACTTAACAGACTGCCTTTTTTTTATGGTTATGTTAGGCTTTCGATTATATCCTCAACTATGTAAACTGTGAACTTCACTTGTCAGCCTAGGGAAACTGGAGGAGGAGTTTGAAAGGAAGTTTAACAGCCTGCCACAGTATAGCCCAATGACATTTGACAAGAAGGGGACAGCTGTCACAAAGAAGAAGAAGAGCGATAGCTCCACTGTCCAAGAGGAAGTCTGTAAAGCCGGAAAAGGTAAGAACAAAATGAAAGATTTCTCCACTAATTATACAGTGACTGCTCTTGCTTCTGTACGTGTGTCTGGAGTGACTACCCCTGTTCCTACTCAAAATGTTCTCAGTCAGTGTTCATTACTGTCCTTTCTTTCAGTTCAGTGACACACTACCCCCTCGTATTTACCTGTGCTGGAGGAAAGATGTTGCTGGACTGTGGGAATTCATAGCCTAACTGAACTTTATGGGCAGGACTAATTTTGCTTTTTCAACTTTGTGGAAATATTATGTTATCACATCACAGATGACAAAGAAAGACATTAATGCCAGCGAAAGTAAAGTGGGCTTCGGGCTCCCTTTTGCAAAGCGTCTCTTGTTTGTACTTACAGGTACAAGTTAAGTAGGCCGTTGTTCTATGTGGCCAAGGACGCATTACAGTATACACTACAAAAGATATGTGTTCAAATGCGTCTTAGACCACCTCAGCAAGTGGTTTGAGGGATCGGATCAGAATGCGTGTCGGTGGTCGTTCATATTTGTATTTAGAACTGTTATCAAACAGCAGATCACCCAAGATGCATTCTAATACCAGGTATAAACGGGCTCTTTAATATCCCCTCATCTCATCCATGGCCCACCGTTTGTAGAGTCATGTTTTCCTCACTTGTGGTGTTCAGGACCAGCTCTCTCTTTGTTACAGCAACATAACATAGCATTTCCATGCTCTTTTTTTCTTTTTTTTTTTTTTGCTATATCAGGTTCATCTCCATCTCAGAAAAAGACTTCATTCCACAAGATTGTTAGGAAGCACAAACACAAAAAGGAGAAACCAGGTGCAGTGGACAAAGGTGAACTAGAATGTTGATGTTTGTGCATTATAAAGCAGAGATATTTAACAGATTCCTAGTGCTGGGCGGTATATAGAAACTTTATGAAATATTTGTGTCACTATATGATTCTGGTGGTTTCATGGTATATCTAAAATGTTTTTTTTTTTTTTGCATGACTGGGCCTTTATAAACCAGTATGTTTATAGTGGCTTTTTCTACTGTCAGGAGTACATGGAATATAAAAACATTTTAACAGCATTATGTATGTATCATTGACATATATAAAGATGGATGGCATGATAGCTCTTTAAAAGTGAAGTCAAAACGTCTTGATCGCCCCCTGGTGGCTGACTGCAGTATAGGTCATAAAGCCTGTTGTTTCTATGTTAACAGATGGGCTAAAAAAATCTAATTACACGTCAAATAAATTTTTCCCTAAGACGGTTTCTGGCATTTAAGGTAGTTCTTATCATGCTGGTGTATGTTCATTTTTCTGATCAGTTTGGTTTTAATTCGTTATTTGAAGCTATAAAAAGGGGGTTTCACGTCATGGTTGACGAGCCCTGCTCGTGATTGAGTTGGCCAGGCAACCCTAATCACTACTGCAAAGACTCTGGCTCTGAGTGGCAAAAATTGGTTCATCTGGTATATCGCCTAGCACTACAGTCACCTATTACCACATATTCTGTACACTTTGAATATCTAGTTATGCTGAATTACTCAAAAGAAATCTATGTACTATATACTGAAATTTATGTACGAGACTGGCATGTTTCAACTTGCACTGTTTTAATAATCAAGAAACGGATATATTCAGAATCATCTGGTTAAATCACAGTCATATTAAACAAATGAATAAAGCCTGTGTCTGTGTGCAAAGGTCAGATAATTCAAATCTACTTTGAACCTTCTCTCCACAGCAGTGGTACAGAGTGATTCTAGCACGCTGGATTCAGCTTCAAAAGCCAAATCATGTGCCCCTGTTGCCATAATGTGCCCAGATGTACAGGGCACCACTAGTATGGAGATGCTAGTTGGTAGCCAGAAGAGGAAGGCAAGGAAGACCAAGATCACACACTTGGTGCGCACAGCTGATGGCAGCGTGTCTCCAGTTGAGGGTGAGTAATGAATGAATGATGGATTGATAGACTGATTAGGAAGAAAAAATCTGTCTGTATCCGTTTCTCATTTAGCCAGAATTCACCACTGTGCTTTAAATGGAACATTTTGAAAAAAAGTGAACACACAACTCAATAATTTGGCTCATTGAATTTATATTATCAGTTGGTAAATACATTCACTTAATTATTATTTTTTCACTACTCACACAGCTCACTGAGCTGCATTTTAAGAACATTCATGCATTAAGGAACCTGAAACAGGAAGTACTTCAGGCCAATCATTCCGAGTAAAATATCCAATAAAGTTCAGCTGACAACACAAAAAAAGATTTAAATTAAAAGTCTATCAACATACAGATTAATGAAACCCAAGTCAATATTTTGGATATTGCAATTATGACATGTAGTTTGCTTGTCATGTCTTTGTTTACCACTTTTTGTTTGTTTTTTAATAAATGGACACTAATTAGAGATGTAAAAAACTTTTTGTTTTATTTTCATGTATTATCTTTTTGTTAAAACTATTTTTATATTTCATTTATTCTCTCTATTTTCAGTTATTTACTTACTTGATTACCAAATTATTAGTTCTAAGTTCTCCTTTCTGGTATCTGTTGTAGAAAACGAAGCAACTGAGTTGTATCTTGCAGATTTTTCAAAATGCTTCAATAAGAATGAAAAAAAAGAATGTTCTTTTAGTGAAAGTATTAACATTTCAAGTTCCTGTTTCCTAGAAATCTGAAAAAAAAAAGAAATGCAAATGAAATGCTCTGCTTACATCATTTTTAGTGGCTTTACTGTGAATTGTACACATCTTTACTTTCTTTACAGAGGACAAAACTAGGGACCCGACCCAGGAACAGGATAAGAAGCCATTACCCCAACAGAATTTATGCAATGATAAAGGGTGCTACAGTAATCCCAGAGCAGAAGAGGCAGAGAGGAGCACCGTACCGCAAGAGCTACCTGCTTTCTTCAGCTTGGCAGCCCTCGCTGAGGTAGCAGCCATGGAAAATGTTCACAGGTAGACAGCCTGGCTTCTATACAACACTGCTGAGTAGATTATAACATATGCTATGGTATATATGTCCATTCACAACAATGCCCATAGATGATATTATAGACAACACTCGACTTATAGTTTGCAAACGTTTTGCTGATAAGCACAGGCTTTAGCTTATTTGGTGGATTGTTTAGAAGTGTGTTAATCTTTTACTAATACTGGAGCATTTTAATATACAATAGATAGAATAATTGAGTGTAAATGATCTATTCAGTGTCAGAGGACAGAGATTCTCCTCTAATATGACATTTTACTGAAAAATGTGAAATTGTAAATGAATACTCTGCACCTCAGTTCTGACAAAGGAGAGCAGGGACAGTACTTAAAACCAATGCCTTGTGTAGATTCTACATTTGCTTACATATCAAGAAGCCACTGACGGTTTGAAGTGTGAACACACTCTTTAAGTCTTGTTCAATGTTCTGTTTCAGAGGTCAGAGAGGCTTGGCTGAGAGTCAGAAGAAGGAGCTTACCCAGACTCCGGTCCTCATCTCCTGCGCTGATCAGTGAAACTCTGTTGCTGTTCTGAGAAGCCACAACATGGACATTGGCAGTGGAGCTTTATTTCCTCAGCGGTAACCCCACGCTAAAGGGACACTTGATCAGGAAGCTTTGGACAGACTCCACCTTCCCTTTGTGGTGAATTTGCTTGAGCTCGGGTTCATGGTGGAGGAAAGAGAGCCTCTCCTCCTCCTTGCTCCTTACTATCTCAGTGTTTTCCCCCGAAGCCTTCCTTTGGTTTGAGGGAGGATGCCTTTCTGAACTCCTCTCCACTCCCCCCTTAGATGCTCTGTTAGGGCCTGTGAAAGAACCAAGCTGCCCCCCCCAGTGCATGGCTTCCCTTATAGAGATGGTTGTCATGGGTTTATTGTACACCGTTTTGTCAAATAGAGGCCGTTTTTAAGGTCTTGCGATTTAAAAATAGCATTTTAGGTAGGGCAAAAAAACCCAACACTGCATTCGTTTTCTAGACGAACACAGCTTTCTGTTACCTTTTTACCTCACACACGCCTACTGAAGAGTTCCCTCCACCTCTGGTAGAATACCTCTGTATTTGACTAGCTCTTATCCCGTCTATTCCTTCCAGCTTCAACCCAAAAGAACTTTAACCAGGGTAAATGATCATGATGGATAGACTTCCATTGCCAACTACTTGCTTAGTGTTTCCCTGCGGTACACTGATGTGGTGTACTCAAACTATGAAGAAATCATGGTTGAGTATTTGATGTGTATGTTAAGATGATGCTACTGTAAAACAGTATGTGGTAGCTGCAAATAATCATGTTAGACTGAATGTGTAAGAGTAGACCTGTGCAGACCCTTGCATCTGAACTAGAGTTGACTAATAGCTGAGGGTGTTTGTCCTGTTTATCCTTAAGTAGTAGGTTCAATGTCCCCGTCAAGCTTATGAGACAGTAGGTCGGCTTAAAAACTGCCTCTCGTGATGGGGATGTTGTGTGAAAGTGATTCAAATATAGCCTTAACCCTCCCTCCTAGACCCGCTTTGCCACCACAAAGCCCTCAACCAGCTTCTTGCTCAATGCCATCACAGTCCTGAAGTCAGTGTAAACATTTTTGAATAGTGAAATGCAGTTTTTTTGTCAATACTTGATCTTATTGCAGTTTGCGTAGCAAATTAGAGAGGTTAATTCCTTGTGTGCATCTTATTTCACAGAAAAGTGTTTTTATTTTTGTTTATTACGTAAACACTGCACTAATTTGTAGCCGAAGTTTGAGTTGCTCTCGGAAGGGTAATAAAATGCCTTGTCTCCACCAGTCACAGTGGTCTTACACCACAGCCTCTCAACAGTGTCTTCAATGTCCTCCGGTTCTGAGGAAGATCAGGAGTTTGTCAGTCTAAATGTTTTATGAAATTTTTTTATCTACATGTCTCATAAAATGAGCAATTTGGAAAAAAAACTAAAACACAATACAGAAATAATTGAAATTTTCTGCCTTTTTCTGATAGAAAAACATAATATTGATTTAATGTGTGGGATCACTATGCTATTGTTCCTCTCAGAGCTAATGGAGACAAGGCATTTGATAATAATTTCCCCATTTGTTTCCTATTGGCCTTTTGAGATTGTATTGCCAAGTAATGGTCTACTCAGAGGTCACATGTAATCAGTGTGTTGATTTATTTTTATCATTTTTTTTTTTTTTTTAGAAGTATTTATATTTAGATGCGACTTTGTGTTCTTTATTTTAGCTTTGTTTTGGCAATGTTTGGTCAGAATCATTCCATTTCCATGCCTCTGTCTTGGCCATACTTTTGTTTACAGTTTATCAACTGTAGCAGTGAGGGAAAAGTAAGAATTGATGCAGTTCAGCTGCAGGTTTGTTGTCTTCAGAGAGAGAGGGAGGGGGAGAGAGAGAGAGAGAGAGAGAGAGAGCTGGTTTTGAACCTGGGCTGCTCCGGGTAAGGAGCTCCAGGCTAATGGAGGTTAACTGAGAGCTACACAGACTCCCCAGCAATACCCCTCACCTCCTTACCCAGCAGCCTTTTGTTCCTCTGTGTAGACCAATACTTAATTTATCAAATTTTAGATTCAGTCACATCTCTATGTTTAATAGCTCTTTGTTTTCTATTTGATCATTCTTCTGTTAATGTGTGTGCTTTGACGATGTTCTTTTAACTAGGTCGTCTTTATGAACTTCAATGGGTTTTTTTCCTGAGGTCAAGTTTACTGGATCAAGAATGTTGTTTAGAAAGATCAAGCTCATAGGTGATGAATGCATCAATGCTTATCTGCTAAGCAAAAACAGGCACTGAGATAAAAATGCACCATCTCTTGACAATGAGCTTGCCTTTTCACCTTTGGAGGTGTGTATTTGACTGCGACTGCATCAATATTTCTTGGATATGTGTTAAGATGTGTTCAGAGTGCTTTTGGACACTAGACAGGACAGACAAATAAGAAATGAATGGGTCCTAGAGAACTCATGCGTCTTGAAATAATATTTTTCCTAAATCAAGGCATTGTTACATGGTAATAATGTTTGGCTTATGTAGACCCTTGTGTGCAAATAGAGCAGTACATGCAACAAATCTATAACTCTTCTCTAAATTTGTCCTTTAAATCTAACAAACTAACTGCAAATGTTTCCCAGTTAAGCTTAGGGGAACCACAGTATGCTTTACGATAATCCGAATAATAAACGGTATATATATTTTTTCAGATATGAGAGAAGTTACATCAAGGATGATGTCATCCGAGCAGTAAACTGTATAGTTCTTTCACTGGTGGACATCAGTGTGGTTCTTTGCAAAGACAAAGAAATTGTCTTCCCCCAAAACAGAGATATATTTGCTTATAGCAAGTGAGTTTATTGACATTTGCCAAAGAAAAGGAAAAGGTAGATTCAAATGAAAATCCTGTTTTAAAAAAAAAAGAAAAGAAAGCTATTAGAACAGTTGCACTGCATTTTCTAGGCGTAACTATATCTTCAGGTAACTATCAGCACAATTCATCCTGTGTATCTAATGGGATTTCCTTGGTGTTTGAGCCCAGAAGTTGGAATGAAGTGCAACAAAAGGGCACCACTTAATGCCTCTTTTAATATACAGTATTTGCACCTTATGACCCAAACCAAAATGATCATGGTCTTTGAAGAAAATATATAATTTTTACCCACTCTATGGAAATTATGCATTTTAACTATTATATATGCGAGAATCCAGTCAATAACAAATCCACACATCTACCAAACAGCCATAATACTGTCATTCCCCCATCCCCTCACTTTTTCTATCTAGAAAATGCTTCTATAAAGTTCCTATATTAGTTACCTAAATGACTATAAATACCCTTTTGTGCTAGTACTGTCTTCTTGAATGTAATCATTTTGTACCTGTATTTTTCTAATTCAGTCTTGATTGTACTGTATGTATGCTATGATGGTATACTGTTCCTTAGGTGCATAGTTCGTTACAACCAACAGTTCTCATGACAGGATAGCTGCTGCGCCGCGAACTCAGTGGAAATGTGTGGAGGTTTTAAGTCCAAAGGACTCCCTGTACCTTGTGAGCATCCATGAGACTGATAACTGAGAGATTCTTGCATTGTGAGAGGTAGGACAATAGCTTTCCCTGGTTTGCTACTTTGTTTTTTTTCCTTTGCAGTAAAAGTGAAAGTATGTTCAGGACAGTTTATAAAACAGGGACGCTCCTGCAATCAGATAGAACAATTGAATGCTTGAGTTTCAACATATTTATTACTGTTCCTTTTTATAGGTTTAGCTGAATAAAAAACAATAAAATATACAACTGAATATGCATCCATTTATACATGAACGTGTATAAGATTATCTACCCTTTACTGGAATGTAGATCATGGCTTCCTTTTGGGTTTGTTTTGGGTTATGCCAGATCTTGTGAGTCTCTTTCCTCTGATAGTTTGTACAACATGTGCTTCATCTAATTTATGCTAATGTTAATCATGACGGATATGTTTTTTTCTTTTTTTTGTTTTTTTTTATTGTTACAGCCCAGTTGTTAAATGCAGCCTTGCCTTACTGGAACCCCTGCTTAGTGAGGGATCCCTCAGCCACCCACCCCACCCCCCTTCCGTACCCCACCCCACCCACAACTCCTATGTCATAACACTGTTTGCTGATGCAACTATTATTCCTTTTACACTTTATGCTGACGCAACTATTACTTCTTGAACACCTATTAAAATAACATCTATTACATCTGTCCATCTGTGTGAAAAGATTTTGTTTATACAGATTTGTTAAAGCCCCCCTCCAGTCATAAATGTGTTTCTCTTCTTGTTGCTACAGTGTAATGTTTGAAATGATGTATGTGCAGTTTGACACTAGAAGGATGTTTTGGGATTTTAAGGGGCGGGGCCTACCAGCATGATCTGTGACATCACAAATAGTTAGGAAGTCAGTCCTGGTCCAGTATCAACTTGTACAGTGTGATGTAGAAACTTGAAGCCACCAGTGCACATCCACTGAGAATGGACTTTACAGTGAAGTAGGAGACATCTTGTGTCCAGCAGCAAAACTTTAGAAATGGATAACATTTACCAATTTCATAGATTCTACATCCAACTGTAGCAACAAGAAGAAAAACATATTTTTTGAGGTGAATTCATACTCAGGTTAGACAATAAAAATATATGCTTCTTCTCTCACAGTTGAAGCCCCATAAGATTACAAGTAACTGAACACCACCAGGGGTGTTTCCAGAAAGGGGATCTGGGCACCGCTGAAATCTGATTGCCACCCCATTACCCTTACCTATTCCACTCAGACTCTTTCAGAGGCTGGAGCAGACTAGATGACATAAATGCCTCCATTGGTACCAACCCTGTCATGCTAGCTTGTCAAAAGGGTAAATAATGTTAAGTTAGGCTAAACTAAACTAACATCTCTGCTCCAAAGGGATTCCTTGAATCCTGACCTCAAGATATAAATGAAAACGGGTTCTATGGGTACCCACAAGTCTCCCACTTTCTACTCACGTATGCATTTAATGACCTGGGACTGACAATTGGCTGTGAACTGTGTAGGAGACTCTACAGGTGCCACGAAAGTCACAAAAAAACCTCAAGGCCCCATGGCCCCTATCTAGAGCCAGTGTTTGGTTTGTCTGTTCTGGGCTACTGTAGAAACATGGCGGACTCCATGGAAGGCGACCCATAGCGTCTGTACATAAAAAAAAAGCAAAATAGCTCATTGTAAGGTAATGTATACAGAATGATTCCTATATTCAGGTGATTATACACTAATGAAAACATACCAGTGAATATTATATTCCATTTCTGCCAATAGATCCTCCTAAATGTTACACACTGAACCTTTTTAAAATGTACGACGGAGTATTATTAGGGCCATACTAAGAGAAAAAAACATTTCTTTTTTTTTGGGGGGGATTACAAGAATAAAGTCATAATATTGCGAGAATAAAGTCGTAATTTTGTGAGAACTGTCAGCCTGTTGGCTCAGCCAGCAAAACTGTTTAACGACGGAATGATCAATCCGTTAGTTTACCTGTTGACTGTACGGTAGGACTGAGACAAACAGCGGCTGCTGGGCTCAGGCTGAGGCTGCTGATTGGTTGAGCCGGTCACGTCAGATCTTGATAACTCTATCGAAGCTTTTTTCTCATTAAAACGATTACATTATTCTGGTATTATTACGACTTTATTCTAAAATAATTTGTTTTTCTTAGTCTGGCCCTAATACTCCGTCGTATAAATGTTCAAATGAAGTAAATCCAAACATTCTCTCTATATTCTAACTGTACACTTAAATAGCACTGTTTTGTTTGTAATAAAAAACATACATCCAGATGCTCTAATACTGGGAGTTAAACCTTTATGATATAACGTTACACAACTGTAAATGAAGGTAGTTGAAGCATTTTTCGGAAGCGTCGGAACACCGGTTCGCTCACGTGACTTTTGTGTCACATGACAACGCCCTGTTAAACGCTACTGTGCTAACGCTAACAAAATGGCAGCGTTCTTACAGTGGAGAAAATTCGTCTTCTTTGATAAAGACACGGTGAAGGATCCTGTGGATAATGGGAAAAACTTTGCCCTTCCAAGCGGAATATCGGCGTGTGACTCCGGCCGGGGTCACATTGTTCTGGGAGATATCCTTTAACAGCACTGTGTTGATTAGCTAGCTAGCACAGCTAATGTTATTGACAGCTGATGCTAGCCCCGAATCAGCAAATGTGAAAGCAAACTTCAAACCGAGGTAATTTGGTAGGTGTCTCAAACTGTATTAACAGTGAACTGAAGAAAAGAGCTAAAGACTAAACTGTAGAGCCAGGCTGTGCTCCGTTTCCTGGTGTTTGAAACAGCGTCACACCAAACTCTGTTTAAAAACATTCAAATTAAGTATTAACTCGCTGCTCGGCAAAGAACACGTGATAAAACTGACTGTACGTTAGATTGTATGTGTCCTCGGGAGCTGCTTTGCATTTCGGCCGAATCACATTCTATACATTGAACAGCAATACACTAAATGACGACTGTTGATACCCCTACAGTTAACTTATCAAACTGCCTTAACTGGCAGGCGACAGCAGCGCGCCTGATCCGGTTTAAAGCTGCAGTAGGTCATTCTTATAAAATAACTTTGTCATATTTGCTGAAGCTTTCACTCTATCCTGAGTGTAGTACATAAAACAGATAATCTGTGAAAAAAATCTGGTTCCTCTGGCTCCTCCTAGTGCTCCTAGTGGTATTTGGGGCCCAAATGAAAACAACCAATCAGTTTTGGGCTGGTGGCTTGAGTCTCATTCCCAGCACCCATATTTGATAAGGTGGGAATGAGACTCAACAATGAACGTCTTCTTCTCTGCTCTGATTGGTTGTTTTCATTCTGGCCTGGTGGATTCTTGCAAATACTATTATGAGCTATGAGCTGGACTGTCTCATGCACTACACTGTTTTCCAGTGGTTTTTGATAAGCTGTCCAAGATTTTAGTCGAGCCTAATGACCGAACAAGTGTATGGAGTGTATTACACTGCCTTCCACAAATACTACATTATATAATTGGTTTATAGGGTTCGAATAGAAAGGAATTCATTTTAACTGTTAAGTGTTCAGTGATGGACAGTCTAGCTTTGATAGCTACAGGAATGACCCCTCTTGAAATGCCACACATGGCATACATGCCCTGCATCTCTTACTACAACTGTACTTTAATTGTCCTTAACCTCCATAATGTTACATATGGAGGGCAAGATATGGCTTTTGACTCGCTCCCTGCAGTTGGCATCTTTTCAGGCCTACAAGTTGCGGGTAACACATCTCTACCAGCTGAAGCAGCACAGCATCCTTGTGTCGGTGGGGCAGGATGAACACGGAATAAACCCTCTAGTAAGTGTGCGGTCCTCCAGAGAAGCCAAAAGCACAGAACTATGTCAGTGTTTTTAATGGACCACTAAACCAATTTTTCAGGTGAAGGTCTGGAACCTCGACAAGAGAGACAGTGGAAATCCTCTCTGCACAAGGATTTTCCCTGCAATTCCTGGCAACAAACCAACTGAAGTGTCTTGCCTCAGTGTGCATGAAAACCTCAACTTCATGGCCATTGGTAAGACGCAAAGAAAGGTTCTGCTTTCTGCCCATTCACCCATTCTTCCCAGTCTGTAATGGATGCTGTGTCTTTTGACAGGCTTCACAGACGGCAGCGTGGTGTTGACGAAAGGTGACATCACCAGAGATCGTCACAGTAAAACTCTGACTCTGCACGAGGGAACCAGCCCAGTCACTGGCCTCGCTTTCCGCCAAGTGGCAAAGGTCACCCATCTGTTTGTGGCCACTCTGGAGAAAGTCCATGTAAGTCTGGTGACTCCCAGAACACTAGTGCTGCAAATAACTATTATTTTCATTATTCATTAATGTAATGATTATTTCCTTAAATGGCGAAAAATGTCCATCCTAGTTTATCAAAGTCAAAGTAAAATGTCTTGTTTCTTCAGTCGTTTTGGACTGAAAAAACAAGACATTTAACTTGACCAAAGATATTTCATTTAATTTGATATAAAACGGAGGAATGCAAGAAATCTTCATATTTAACAGTTTTTGAACCATTCATTGTACCTCCGCTCACTATCTTACGTGGATATATGCGCACATTAATAAACGAGGCTGATATTGAAACAAAATATCACAGGAAATGCAAAACTTTAAATTACATTTTAGTGATCTCATACTTTAAGTATTTGATAGTATTATGTGTTTTTAATTAATTTAATTGTTGCAGATCTATTCTGATGTTCTGTTCACTCCCTTCTTGTCTCTGCTTGCTCAGTGCTACACCCTGTCCATCAAGGAGTATCCTAAAGTGGAGCTGGATACACACGGATGTGCTCTACGCTGCTCCTCCCTGGCTGATCCCTCCCAGGATTCCCAGTTCATTGTGGCTGGTGATGAATGCGTGTACCTGTACCAGCCTGATGAGCGAGGGCCCTGCTTTGCCTTTGATGGACATAAGCTGCTGGCCCACTGGCACCGTGGGTATCTGTTTTTACTCATCAGGGAAGCAAAGTCACCAAACAAGTAAGGACAGCACTCAGTGAGTAAATGAAGGCGTGTTGATCATTGTTGAAATAAAAAAAATGATTCAAAGTAAAATATGTACAGAAACACATTCCACAGATAAAGGGGGGTATTTAGTATTTGTGGGATTTGGAGCTTCTTAAGGCGCTTACCATCAAATTAAGTTCCTACCTATTTCAGGGTTCCCACACGTCCTGGAAAAGCTAGAAATTTAGAGACTAGTTTTCCAGTCTTAAAAA